GATCATAATATACAGTTTGGAACTCTAGTCTTAGTTTCTTGAAACATATCTTGAAATTGTGTCACTGCAGCCAGCTCAAACTCACTAGCATCTCATCTCTTATATTTACAACCATCACTTGCTTATGGAACAACTGCCAGTTTCTCTGAAAGTTACAGACTTTAAAAAATATATTTGCAATCCCTTCCACAAGAGTGACATTCTTATAATTTATAGTAGTTTTAATCTCTATAGACATCTTATGCATCTCTAGATCTAGCTTCACAGCCAATTGTGAACTGATTATTAGACATTAACAGTCTGAATCTATTAATGCTGACCAGATAATACTTCTATCAGTTAGACTTTACATGTCTAGAATAATAAAAGAGAGAGCAAGAAGACTGTTCTTGAACAACTTCATTATATTAATTTTATCTACTTGCAGCTCTCTAACTTTTTATTTACTACTCTTCTTCTTAAGACAGTCTTTTATGAGATAATTCTTTTGGCCACACTCAAAGTATCTCTTATTCTTTTTCAAGACTTTATGATTCTTGATAAGATTCTTTCCCATCTTCTAAGCAGATCTCTGAGATTAACTTCTCTTATTTATTTGTAGTCTTGAGTTATTAATCTTTATATCTCTGTAAGCACTTTCAACTAAATTAATAGACTTTACATATGAGACATTCTTTATATAGACTACTGATACACTTAATTAGAGCTGGGTAGCCAGTACTACTATATTATTAATATTATCTGGTATCTCCAGCTGTTTATTCAGTTTGATTTGCATGAGCTTATCCAAGCTTTATATAAATAAACTCTTCTTCATTTTTATAAAGTCTTCAAATTCTTTGCCAATCTTTGTTATAAGCTTTAGAAATTATCAGTAATAAATATAATTAGTTTTATTCAAACTTTTGTACAGACTAAAAATTACTTATCAAGAGTTTTGTATATGATTTGCTGGGTCTTCTAGTCTTGTGTGTAGAAATTCTTTAAAGCCAGTCCAGTTGTTTTTTAATAAATTATCTTTGTGGTGGGCCTTCTAAAAATCTTTCTTAATATAATCAAGTTCTGTAAGAGCATACACAAGAGTATTTTTATTATTTAATTTGCTTGCATCACAAATGAATTCAATATCTAAGATAAACTGACAATATTCTGTATAAGTTTCAGTCTGGTAGCACTTTGTGTGTTGTGATGGTCTCAAGATTAACAGACACTTTGTGGGTGTTAAGTTGAAGATAGCTATATCAAGAGATTCACTTTATAAGTGCTTTTGAGTATTCTAGAGAGCATTTAACTTCTCTTGTCATTTTATTATTTTCTTTAGTAGTTTGGTCTTCTCATAAAGCTGTTGAATTTTATTTTTTAGTATCAGAGTAGACTTTCTCTTTAAGTTTACAGTGCTTGTTTTATCAACAGTTAAGAAAGATAAGATGTTAAGATTAGTTATCTCTTTATAAACTTGAGTTTGTTCTTCAGATAGATTTTTGACTGGTGTTTCAGATTCATGAGTTTCAGAGAGTTGGCTTCTTTGTGTTGATACTATTATCAGATGTCACCAAAGAAGAGTGGCAAAATGTGAGAATTATATATGCAGATCAGCATGACAATGAATCTCTAAAAGAAATATATATAGAAAAAAAGTACACAAGATAAAAAATCTGTATTCTGGCAATTATATACAACTTCTAAACAAGATTGCTATTAACTTTCAGCAAGAAGTTCATACAGTAATGGTCTTTTATATATGCTTGCAAGCATGTGACTTAGTGCCTTGTGAGAACACATGCAGCTTCCAGCAGCTTGCAAGCTGAGGCCTCTGGCCCTTGTAGATGCTGTTTATTCATGTAAGAGGTTCGCAGTGAATTCTTACAAGATTTTATTTATAAGATCTTGAGCATTAACAGCTAGTGCTTTAGATGCAAACATGGTTTCTATATTCTGTTAGATCTTAATATAAGATAGGGGTTGTATCTTTATACTTTAATATAATGCAGAAAGTTTTTTCTTTATATATAATCTTTAAGATCTCAGATGTATTTTCTTCTAAGTCAGAAGTAATTAATATATTATATTAAGTTTGAGATGTTATGCAATCTGTAATTCTCTCTTAAGCTTTTAAGTGTATAAATAGAAGCAAAGATTCTAAAAAGAGTTATAATAAATTAGAGATAGTAATTAATAATTTAATAGTACTTTGATTGAGTGAGCAGTCTTACTTTAATAACAAAGAGTTTCTGTACAGATATATTAGAGTTAGAGCAAGATTATTATATCTTCTTAAGAGTAGCAGAATCAGATACAATTATACAGTATTATAGAACTTTAATAATATAAAAAATAATCAAGATATGAGAGTATCTGATTTAAAAATATCTATAAGATAGGTAGAAAGATTAATTATAATAAACAAGTTTATTAAATCTCTGATAATAAGTGTTCTTATATACATGATGCTTTTGGTAATAGTTCTGCTAAGCTGTTCTATTCATTCTACTACAGTATGCTTGTTATGTTCTCTGATCAGTTCTATTATGCTTGGTGCAATCAGTCAGCTTATCAGTTCTATCATTGGTCACATGACTTCCTGTTTTAAGATTTCTCCACAACAGTCTGTGACTCTGCCTTGTCAGGTTTCCTCCAATCATTCTGTGTCTTCAGCTGTCATGCCGTAAGATTCATAACATGTTGGTAGAAATGGGTATGTGCTGGAGCTCCATCTTCTAGAACAACAGTATTGAGTCGGGATTCAAGGCATTCCTTGACAAAAGGGAATAATTTAGCAAGAAGAACCTCCTAGAATGAAAGAAGTATCAGATTAGCTAGAGAATTCAATAGTAAGATGATAGAATTTTAGCACCTTCTGATACCTATACCAATCAACTCCCCCCTTGCCTTGTCGAACAAGCTTGCCAGTTTTCACAGTGAATTTGAAAGTTGGCTTTCTTCCACAGTTTAGGGAGATACCTGCTACCCCACCAAATTTTGGTGGGGCTGCAGGTAACTGCAATACGTTGAAACATAATAGAGTTTCCGGGAACTTTTGTTCTACACCTCCGTACTCCGTACTTCATAGTGCGAATAAAGTATTTTGAGGAAATACAGATTCCGTCTTGACTATCTATATACAGTAGATCTCCACTATAGTGATTTAATTTTGGAAGCTTGTTCAATTCATTATATAGGGGAATACACTATATAGAGGGTGCACATTGAAAATAGGCTATATAGAAGGTGCATATTGAAAATAGATATGAATATCTTGCTGCTGCTGAATTTGAAGCCTTCTTGCTGCTATTTTGCTCTTGTAGCTGTTGAGCTGCTGAATTACCTATTAATCTTCCTGATCTTGCTGCTCTTTATACAGCTGGAGCTGTTTAAGTAGATCTAAAGCCTCTAAAGATATAATCAGTAAGAGCATCTCTGTAGTTAAATCCTCATTCTCTTCACTCTCATCTGCTAGATTTAGCAGTGCAATAATATACTGCTTAATAGTCTTAGAAGAATCCTCTACTACTTCATCTGCTGGATTAAAAAAGTGCTGAATATTTATTAGATTTTGAATTACTGAGAGAAGACAAAGTCTTTAAAACTTACTGATTATTTCTATAATTAAATTATTCTCAGAATTTAACTATACAGGTCTTTTGAAAAATAAAACTCTATTAAAGCAGTAAATAATTAAGACTGTAAATATGTTTATATATTATATCTTGATTCTCCAGCACAGTATTATCAAAATATTAACTATAGCAAGAGAATTTCAGCCAGACTTATACTTCTCAAGTATATACTAAATCTACTGCTGCTTCTAGTATCACTTTCATGTATAAATTATCTCTTGATCCAGTAGTTAATATTTACTTGTTGCATTTGGTGAAAGCTAAATAACTAAAATACTCAGTAAGAGATAGAAGCTCTGCTAGATATTTTTAAATGTAAGCTTATATACAGAGAAATTATTTATAAGAAGTATAACTTTACAGTCTGTTATTTGAGAATTAAACCAGTGAAGTTATTTCTTTATAATATATTCTGTCATCCATATCTTCTTATTTAATCTTTACTTGAGTGACAGATTTTTAATTTTAATATCAGTAGTATAGAAGACATGTGATTATTTAGCTGTACTAATAAATCAGATAGATAGTTTCTCTAATTTATCTGTATTGCAATATATATAAGCAGTAATTTATGTCTTCTCTCTTCTTTATCCAGATATTAAGTATATAAAAAGCTCTTGATTCAGTGTCAACTTTTAAAAAAGCTCAGTTTTATTACAGTTGAAGATATTTTTAAAGTTATATTGTTGAAGAAGCTGCTCTATATCTCTTATCTCTTGTTTTACTGTCACAGTACTTTCAGCTTCTTTATATTGTATATAATTCTTGATAAACTTGCAAGACTGAAATTGATGAAGTTAACTATTGCTAAATGCTGGCATCTTATAGTTTTTGTAAACTGATAGATTTTTTTAAAAGAACTCTGCTTTATACTGAATCATCTCTTCTAAGATAGAGATGTGGTTCTCTATCTGTTGAATCCACATGTAAAGAGCTGTTTCAAGCTCAGGCTAGTACTTGCAACAGTAGCACTTCTGCTCTGAGCAGCAGGTAGTCTAATCAAGATAATTATAATATAATGATAGAATCTTGAAGACAGAGAATGAGATAATAATTTGATTATAGTGTTGCTCAAACCACTGCTTTAAAGTCTTACTGCTAAGACTTGAATACTGCAGCTTGCAAGCCTGGAGAGTCTTCTTTTACTTGATTAAAATAGCAGTTTGACATAGCATTGGGTCTTGTTATAACAAATTGCCTATAAAATATTCAAAATAGTTAACAAATTTTGTATGGAGATTCAAATTTGGGAAGAGATTTTGTTCATTATATAGGGGAATTCGTTGTATCGGGGTTCGCTATAGCGGGGATCTACTGTATTTACCCGGCTCCTGTGCTGCAACAACACCACATTCGTTCCACCACCAATAAGCAAGCAGCACACTCAGCTTTTGTTCGATTTTCGATTATCTACTCGGCACGTACTAGTTAGGCTATAGAGAGAAATGTTGCAAAGCCCTCAGCTCCCGGAACCGCGGCCGGCTTTTGCAAAGCAACTCGCGCCATATATCAAAACGCGGGATGAGGTCCTCAAAATCAGGCGTGCATTGACCCTTTATTTACAGGCTCAGGTCATATTTTCGGATATTGCTCCTGCTTCACATATATCGCTGTGTGCTCCTCAGAATGTCGCGGGCATCAAACGAGTACCGTCGGAGTTCAGCAATGGACTTCGAGCCCAATATTTGAGAGCCGTACAGGCCGACATTGCCGCGAGGAAAGAATATCGTGGTCTGCTGGAAGAGGTGAAGGCTCTCACCGAAAGGATGAGCCGCTGCAATTCAGAGGAGTGTTCTTCGTCGGGAGCTCAAAATTTCCAGACTCATCTGTCTCTGCTTCGAAGCCGTAGGCTACGGAGCAAAATTCAAATCTGTCAACATTACCTGGATAAGTTGACTACAATGGAGGCAGCTAGCTCGAACTTTCTCGATGTAAATCGCGAAATGAAAGAAGTTTTTTCGTCCTCTGAGCGGTTCGTTGTACATCAATACGAGGCAGGATATTCTCCCGGGCACGGAAATCATCCTGATGGCTTACTCTATGAGTTGGAGCGGGCTGTGCTTGTTTCTAAGGCCCGGGTGGACAACGAAAAGAGCCTGCTTGGAAGAATAAAGGCGCAAGTGCAACTAACCCGGGCCGACCAGGGAAATATAAGCCCGCAAGCCAGGTTGAAAGGCCTTATGCGAATTCGTGATGAACTTATCAAGTGGGTTGAACATACACTTGCTACATCTGGTATGGAAAATGCCAGCAATGTTGACGAGAAGCAAACCCGTAATGAATCTGGCGAAAATGAGGCTCGACTTCTGCTTGATGGATTGAAAACTGAAATTGAACAACAATATGCTGCTTATATTTCCGCCCGTCGAAAACTGCTGGAGACAGTATCTGCTACGTTATGCATATCAATGAAACCCCCCTCTCAGCCTCCACGGACGAGGTCCCAGCATCAAGAGTTAGAACCTTCTTTTACGGACTTTGCGATTGTGTTCCCATATGTCCATGAAAACCTGGCTTCGGTTTCGAAAGCTCAAAAGACCACTGCAGGCCACAAATCTTTCCTCTCTGCAATCTTATCTAAAGAAGTATTGCATTCCGGGAAAGTTTTTGAACGCCTGCAAAATGAGAGCCATTTGCTACCGGAGTACCCGATTCCAGCCCGACACCAGCGTGTCAAACAGGTCACAACCACAATCAACTCTCGATCCGAGATCGACGCGTCACCAATAAGCATAAATCGCGATTCAGGAGCTGTTATGCATGCGAAAGCATGGGCTTTCGCTTCTGGGATAGCACGGGATTCTGCAAAAGACCATATTGACCAACAGCTGGCAATTGGGACAGAAGCGACCAAGAGCGCCGACCGCACATTGAGAGACATTTACGAGACTATGAATCAGAATTATGAGGACGTAACATCTTCGGGCGACGCCGTGGAAGGGCCGAATGAAGGCGTTTGCGCCACGGGTCTAGGGTTCTCAAGAAATAGAAAAGTTACCGGTCGGTTGGAGAATCCGCGTAAGGGTCCGTGGTCCGGACTACACGGGAAGATCGGTGTTACCGGAGACTGAAAAAAGATTGACAATGTTAAGTGGACTCTTTTCCGCTTTGCTCACGACGCTGTTCGGACCTTTTTCTACACCCGAGCCCAGTATAGACTTCATGAAATGCACCCACGAAATACACATGAACTTTGTAAGACCAGCTGCCCAGATACCCATTTTCTGTATGGTGATAGCATGACGAACCTCAAATCATTCTTAGCGAGATATTCCACTCTCAAGACCTTCCTATAGCCAAAATAGTAGTTATTATTTTGAAATTATATTTATATAAGGAATTGAAGCTCAACAAGTCGAGTGAGTCACACGCTAAAATGCCATATCACCCTAAAAGTTTGGTTCAACCCCAGAGACAAGAAAAAAAAAGTTTCAAAACCAAAAACTTTCATTTCCACAACCAAAGTCGAAAACTAGCTGGTTTTCCAACACAATTGTTCCTTTCTCTCGATCCCTATACTGATTCTTTCCCCTCTTGCATATATTGTTATCCCTTCTGCGCCAGGCACGGCGGCCAATGGCTCTCTCAGCCCGGTGTGGGCAACGGGCGATCTCGCACCTTTTGCGCCAACGATGCCTTTCCACTGTTGAATCCTCTGCTCCGTCGGCCCTCCGAGCATTTTCGACGCAGACTTCCTCGAGAAAGCTATATTCTCGATCAAAATTACAGGCATTCACGTCATGGCGGTCCACCCGGTCGTTCGCTCGCTCGGCTCGCAACTTAGCGGCGGCTCAGGCTGAGGCTCCAAGCGCGAAGTCGTTCTCTGCCAGGGGTGGAGTGCAAGGCCCTGACCTTGTCGACGTTAAAAAGGTCCTTGTCATTGGAAGTGGTGGATTGAGCATTGGTCAAGCGGGTGAATTTGATTATTCAGGTAAGCCATGACTGGGATCTTGTGCCTTGAATAGCCGCGTTCCACGTAGCATTGGGGGAATTCCTTGCGGGTCCAATGCTTCAAAATCTTCGCTCCTCCTACAGGTGTTTTCGAGAGGGAAGTGCTAATAGCTTGTCCTTTCGTCTCTTTTTTACAGGCTCGCAAGCCCTCAAGGCTTTGAAGGAAGCTGGGGTCAAATCTGTTTTGATCAACCCCAACATTGCGACGATTCAAACCGACCACAAACTCGCCGACGAAGTCTATTATCTCCCCGTTACCCCTGAATATGTCACGCACGTTATTGAGAAAGAGAAGCCGGATGGAATATTCCTCAGTTTCGGTGGCCAGACGGCTCTTAATCTTGGTGTGCAGATGAACCGAATGGGTATCTTCGAGAAATATGGCGTGAAGGTGCTTGGAACCAGTATCAAAACCCTCGAAACCAGCGAGGACAGAGATTTGTTCGCAAAAGCCTTGAATGAAATTGATATCCCAATTGCGGAGTCTATTGCCGTCAGCACCGTCGACGAGGCTCTCGAAGCCGCCGACAAGATCGGCTATCCCATCATCGTTCGGTCGGCCTATGCTCTGGGTGGCCTTGGATCCGGTTTCGCTGCAAATGCTGAGGAGTTAAAGAATTTGTCTTCCCGATCATTGACCCTGGCTCCACAGATTCTTGTTGAGAAATCTCTGAAGGGATGGAAGGAAGTTGAATACGAGGTTGTTCGTGATGCAGCCAACAACTGCATCACTGTTTGCAACATGGAAAACTTCGATCCTCTCGGCATCCATACTGGTGATAGTATTGTTGTTGCACCCAGTCAAACCCTCTCTGATGAAGAGTATCACATGCTTCGAACTGCTGCCATCAAAATTGTTCGACACCTTGGAGTTGTGGGCGAGTGTAATGTTCAGTACGCTCTTCAGCCCGATGGCCTTGACTACAGAGTTATTGAAGTGAATGCCCGTCTCTCTCGCTCGTCTGCCTTGGCGTCGAAAGCCACTGGTTATCCGCTAGCTTACACTGCCGCCAAAATTGGCCTTGGGCACATCTTGCCCGAACTCCCCAATGCCGTTACAAAAACCACAACTGCCAATTTTGAACCCAGCTTGGATTATATTGTCACCAAGATCCCACGATGGGATTTGAGCAAATTCCAGCATGTTAAGCGGGATATCGGGAGCTCCATGAAATCCGTTGGGGAAGTTATGGCTATTGGCCGCACATTTGAGGAATCTTTCCAAAAAGCCATCCGTCAAGTCGATCCTAGATTTGTCGGTTTCCAAGGTGATAAGTTTGAGAACCTTGATGAAGTGCTCAAGAACCCTACAGATCGCCGATGGCTTGCAGTTGGACAGGCAATGCTCCATGAGAATTACTCAGTTGACAAAGTTCATGAACTGACGAAGATCGATAAATGGTTCTTGTATAAGCTGCAAAATATCGTTGACGTTGACCATGCCCTGAGAGATATCGGAAGCCTGTTTGGAATTAAGAAAGAGATGATGCTGAAGGCGAAAAAAATGGGCTTTTCTGACAAGCAGATTGCATTGTGCGTTGGTTCTACAGAAGAAGAAGTCCGGACTCGTCGGAAGAGTTTTGGCATCCACCCCTGGGTCAAGAAAATTGATACGCTGGCTGCCGAATTCCCAGCCGACACCAACTATCTTTACACCACTTATAATGCTACATCTCATGATGTCACGTTTGATGACCATGGCACAATCATCCTCGGAAGCGGTGTGTACAGAATTGGTAGCTCTGTGGAATTCGATTGGTGTGCTGTCAACGCAACCCTCTCCCTCAGAAACATGGACAAGAAAACTGTCATGATTAATTATAACCCTGAGACATACTCTACTGACTTTGATACCGCGGATAAGCTTTACTTCGAAGAATTGAGCTTCGAGAGAGTTATGGATATCTATGAACTTGAGAATGCCAGCGGCGTTGTTGTCTCGGTTGGTGGGCAGCTTCCTCAAAACATTGCCCTTAAACTCCAAGAAACGGGCGGTGCTCACGTCCTCGGTACCGATCCTAAGGACATTGATAGAGCCGAAGATCGTCACAAGTTCTCTCAGACTCTGGATAGCATTGGCGTTGACCAGCCAGCATGGAAAGAATTGACTTCGGTTGCCGAGGCTGAGGCTTTTGCGGACTCCGTTGGTTATCCAGTGCTTGTTCGACCAAGCTACGTCCTTTCGGGTGCTGCTATGAGCGTTATCCGGAGTCAGGATGAACTTCACGACAAGCTTGTCTCAGCTAGCGATGTTTCTCCCGACCACCCTGTGGTCATCACGAAATTCATTGAAGGAGCCCAGGAAATTGACATCGATGCCGTAGCTTCCGGAGGCAAGCTCCTCCTCCATGCCGTCAGTGAGCACGTTGAGGCAGCCGGTGTTCACTCCGGCGATGCCACCCTGGTTCTTCCTCCTGTTAATTTGGACGAGTCTATCATGGCTCGTGTAAAGGAAATTGCGGAGAAGGTTGCCAAGGCATTCAGCATTACCGGACCTTTCAACATGCAGATCATCAAGGCCGATAACCCCGACGGTGGCGAGCCACAGCTGAAGGTTATTGAATGTAATCTTCGTGCTTCGCGATCCTTCCCCTTCGTCAGCAAGGTGCTTGGCACGAACTTCATTGATGTCGCAACCAAGGCGCTTGTCGGCAGGGATGTTCCAGAGCCCAACGACCTCATGAGAGTAAAACGCGACTATCTTGCCACCAAGGTTCCTCAGTTTAGCTGGACCCGTCTTGCTGGTGCTGATCCATACCTTGGTGTTGAGATGGCAAGTACTGGTGAAATTGCCTGCTTCGGCAAGGATTTGGTTGAGGCCTACTGGGCTTCCCTTCAATCCACGATGAATTTCCGTATGCCAGAGCCAGGTGAAGGTCTCCTCTTTGGCGGTGATACCGATGTGTTGACGGAACTTCCACATATTGTGGACTTCGTCCATCCTCTCGGTTACAAATTGTATGCTGCCAGCCCAAGAGTCAAGGAATATCTTGAGAAGGCAACCAAATCCGAGGTCGATATTCAGGTCATCGAATTTCCTAAGGAAGACAAGAGAGCACTAAGAGAAGTCTTCCAAAAATACGATATCAGAGGTGTCTTCAATATTGCGAAGCAAAGAGGAAAGACCCTGCTCGATGAAGACTATGTTATGAGACGAAATGCTGTTGATTTCGGTGTTCCCCTTTTCATGGAACCAAAGGTATGCTGCCCTCTTCCTCGCCCTCGATAAATTCTTTTTACTAACTCGAGATTAGACCGCCCTTCTATTCGCTCAATGTATGAATGAGAAGCTTCCTCGCAAAGAAGGAATCCCGTCTGAAGTTCGTAGCTGGTCGAATTTTGTTGGCACTAAGAGTTTGTAAAACAGTCGCGTTGTTTCCAGGAGAATTCTTCGATTCTACTTTTACTGGGGGTCTGCTTCAATGTCCGTCTAATTTCGGCAGCGCTATGGCGTCGAGAAGAAAAATACCAAGCCTGGTTTTATATCCTCCAAGTTCGTCACAGCTTTTTACGTTTATTTTTCTTCGATGATTGTAGACTGCTCTTTTGGTGTGTACTCTCGGCTTTCTTTATTTGGCATATTATATCGAAGGGCTTTTTTTTCCTTTCATTTTTCCTTTTTTTTTTTTAAAGAGGCTTTGGCCCGGGGTTTTTTTCTTTCAAATACGAAAAGAGATAGATAAAAGTCTCCATTTGATGCCATGTTTCGTCCAGCGTTCCGCTCATTTGGACCCGTTCGCTACCTGTAGGCCCGCTTGTGCCTTAGTTGAAACTCAAGCGTGGATTGCTACAAGAGAGATGTTGTCATCTCCCAGTATTCCCAAGTACGCACATCCATTCATATCCTCGAAACGGATTGTCTCCTGGCAAAGCTAGAGTCACTGAGAACTTGCCAGTGCGTGCGGAGTACCCATCGATTTCTTCCATCGGCCATTCTATCTATGGGCGGAGCGGATTATTATTAGCGCCGAGCTATTTTAGGGCTTTGTGTTTAAGCCCTAATTGGGATATCGAATCTGACGGCGCCAAACTTTGCTGGACTTGTCGGAGGGAGTATCCCTAGAACGGTCAGTGTCGGGGACGCTTCTTGATTGAGGAGACGTGCATTTGTCGTCTCATTCAATGCGTTTGTACATACTAGTTGGGAGGGATACTCTATTTTGCATTGGCAAAATGATACATGAAAGTCCGTTGCAAATACAAAGAAGCTACTATGCCTCTTGAGCTTGGGTGCATGTAGACGAATACCGATACCACATTATCTCCAATATGAGGAACACAGATGGAGGGGTTTTGCGAGCTGCTCCAGGCGAGACGCCGAATGCAGGAACCGGCCTATTCGCGACCACCAGAATTCTTATTGGGCAACCCATTTTAGAGCTGGACACTTGGTTGGCCGTTTTGGATACGGCTCGATTGGCAGATACCTGCTCCAACTGTTTTGGTGGTAAAACACTTCGAGACCGGGAAGTGGATGGCGCTCCTCAAGTGCCTCTGAAGTTATGCACTGGATGCAGGACAGTGAGGTACTGTAGCAAGGTATGAAATAGCACTTGGCGTAAAAGGTTGCACAAAACGGACTGTCACCGTCGCTGCTTCCATGTCGTTCTATTCCGTCAGAAAACTTTAGTGGCCTATGCTGACTACAATGTAGGGTTGTCAAAAGGAAAATTGGGCTGCAATCCATAAACACGAATGCAAGATCTTCAAAAATCTGTATCCAAATGTTTTACCGACTCCCTCAAGAGCGGTGTTAAGGATCCTTCTTCTAAAAAAGCATCAGGAGGATCAAGGGGACAGACTGCAACGCTTTGATTCTTTGACGAGTCATCTAACGGAGACTATACGCACGAAACCGGATCATTTCCAAAATCTAGTATTGTGTGCCAGAGCGATCCATGAATATTCCAAAACGGAGTTGAGCCTTCAAGAAGTCGTTGATTGTTTTGGCAAAGTACGTGGCTCGCCGCTTTGTGCCCTGATCCTTGATCTATCATGCGCTGACACAGACCGAAGCTTGACATCAACGCTTTTACTCTAACAACTCCATTTTATGATCAAATTGGCGCCGCCGTTGAGCCTCTTGCATCTTTGTGTAACCACAGCTGCGATCCTAATGCTGCTGTTGATTTTGATAAGGGAAAGACTTGGCTCAGGGCGCTACAGCACATTGAAGAAGGAGAGCAGATATTTGTTTCTTACGTTGAACCTACTGATGCATGTTTACACCGCCAGGCGGAACTCTCTAAAAGATATTATTTTGAATGTGAATGCCCCAGGTGCATTAGAGAAAAGGAGATCGGCGACGGCGAATTTCTAAAAGAAGTCACGGACCTTGACTCGAAGCTGGTCGACGATGCACAAAAAGAAGCTGTCGGGCTCTTGGAAGCTGCGAAGTCTAGAATTTCCCCTGCCGCTTCGATCCGCAGCCTTAAACGCGCAATGAGCATCCTGCGAAAAACATTAGTATGGCCATTGACTCGTCAGCCGTATGTCAGGCTTCGGAACGAGCTCATCGCATCCCTCATGGATGCACAACAATTGCAATGCGTATTTGTGCAATGCGCGATCCGCCATCTCCGTATCGATCCCGTTGTATATCCAGCTAAATGGCATCCGGTCGCCACTATGCATAAATGGATGTTTGTCAGCTTAATGAGGTACCTTACTCAAGCGGGGAACCTGGGTTTTGCGGAAGGTATTGATCTCTCAAAGTATCAGCTCAACCTTTTCTTACTGATTTATTCCATCCTGCTTGACCTTGAGGTGACCGCTTCAAATGAGCTGCCTACTGTGGAGGATATCTACAGAGGCTCGCTCTCGCTCTTTGTAGACGCGGAATGGACACTGGAAGCGATGCAACCTGACATTGATAAAGAATGGGAGAAGGTGGAGAAGCTTGTGGACGACGCTTTGCGAATAGACGAGGCCTCAGTTTAGGTGACAGCCAGGCTATGCCTTTGGCAGACAGCATTTCTAAGATTCTACACGTCAGATTTCAACCTTCAACCCGTCTAATCCCATTTAAAGTGGAGTTGTGTGAATCTCGAGATACCCCTCTGTTGATCTGACCAGCGTTTGTGGTTGAAGTGATTCCCACCCACAATTTTTGCAAAGAAAACCCAAGGTCGTCTCTTAAGCGGGCCTTCAACACCTTTCGCCAGCAGCATAAGGTTCAGGTGAAGTGATATTTTTGTTGTTCCCGCTTGTCGCGGGTCATACCGCTGAAGCTGTTTCCAAGCAACAGCAAGCAATCACATGAACTAAGATTTTCTTTCTCAAAACATCCACAATCAGCCATATTGTGATTTTCTTGTCTTTGAATCAGGTGGCTATCTGTTCCTAGAAAACTTCTACGCCTTTCTCCAGATTTTTATATTTCCTTCCTTTATAAAACCCTATCATATTCCTTCACTGTCTGTAAAAGACCCACTTCAATCATACATTGAACTCGCAACTTTCCAGCATCTCATTTTTCCTTCACTCTCCTTCTGTTGTGGCCTTGAATAATTCCGAGATCACCTTGTATTTCCCTACCTATTACACGCGCCTATCTATCTCCTAGTTATCGAGCTTCGTGTCCTCCGTCTTCCGTTCCTTGGTACCCACCCGCCCGGGAGTAGACTCCCTTCGCTTCACGAGCTTTAGGCTCTTGTGGCTTCTCCTTAAGCTCCCAGCCCTTAAGGGCCAATCCATAATCATAGTGTGGGCTAAATATGGAGGAGACTAGCAACGAATGGGCACCATGGGAATCCTATGGTCTGGGTGCCCCTCCCCAACATGTGTCTCGCGATGATCCGACCTTTTTACTGCTTCTCGCACTAGCTGCTCACCCTGATCTCAAGCTTGATTACGAGGCCATGTCAGAGGCAAGCTTCGCGGTCCCGGATCCTCGCATGTGGACCACTCCAGCAAACCTTCGCCACCATCTCAGACCCCTTGAGCGTCTAAGCGCATTACTTCGTGACATGCCATCGGGAATTGACGGAATACGCGTCAGTTCATCCACTTCGCGTAATCGCTCAGCTGCAGGATTGACAATAGAGAACGGAATCCACGCAAATGGGGCGCCTGGCCCTCGATATAGCCAGCAAACGGAGATGAGAGCCATGCAAGTCCTGAACGGAGCTTGGGGCAGATACGTCGCTTTATATAATGACGATAATTCTAGCATGGCTGGAAACGCGTCTGAATCGCCGAGGCAAGACTTCCGGTGGAGAGGATCCCAAGCTCCGGAGCGTAGTAGATCACCCGAGTCAGACCGTAGCCGGTCGTTGTCCTCAGCCATGTCACAATTGGACTTGGTGCAGGAACCAAATGCTGATTTTGGCTATGAATCCGGCCACGGGGTCTGGTTGGAGCAATGTCTAAATGTCCACGAACGGGTCGCCGCAAGTGAAAGACGTGCAGCTCGTGCTGCACGGCTGGCAGCATTGCGGCGTCGGAACAACGGCTCTTCCGCCAATAACCCATCTTAAGGGACAGGGGGATTAACGGGAATGTCACGCTATAAATAACGAACACACCGACGTCGAAGTGCCGTCGTACATTCGAAAACGCCTCCGACTAGCTACCATTTGTGAATTTTAACCCCGTTTTCGAGAACCTTGGTGGCTAAGCCAACATCCATGGAGTCAACCTTTGGGGCATTGTGGAATCAATGAACTAGGAACGGATTTTTTATGCATAGTGATGAAGGAATTCCAATGTCATTGCTACAGGTTCGGCATTGATGGTGGCTGTTGGCAGTTTTGAGTCATTGCCTTGAGGCTTCAGGGTGCCAGAAGGTTCTGATTGTGTTCTTACTCCCGCATGTGTGTAACGCCAAGCAAATTATTCATGGGATTCAATTAGAAAATGGAAACCATTCATGCCGCATCAGACGACCAGAGGATCGATTTGTTCAGCTAGGATATAAAACCGTCAATATTCTAGCTAACATGGGCAGCTTAGAAAAACAACGTTCCCTCATATGCCGCTGTTTTCTAAGGAAGCTAAATTTCCCCCTCCATATGCCATAAAAGGAGTATTTTACCCATTAAGCAAAACACCCTGCCTTTAACGAGCCAGCCAGAAACATAACACGACATATAATTCTTTATTTGAGAGGAATGAAACGAGAAGAGTGGGTAGCACCGATACCAGGTCTACCGTGCTTGACGGGTTTGCTGGGGATAAATGTTAGCAACGACACCGGTAGAAACTCCGTGTACGAAGGGCGAGTAACGTACTATGAGATGGAGAACTCTCCCAAGTAGTGCCCAACCATTTCAGGCTTAATTTCAACCTGGTTGAATTCCTTGCCGGAGTAGATACCGACAACGCTGCCAATCATCTCGGGGACAACGATCATGTCACGCAGATGTGTCTTGACGAGCTCGGGCTTCTCGTTTGGCTTGGCCTCCTGCTTGGCCTTTCGGAGCTTCTTGATCAAGCCCATTGGCTTTCGCTTGAGACCGCGGTTGAATCGGCGGCGGGCACGAGCATGAACGACATCGCGGAGCTGTTCGGAAGAGAGATCAAGGAGTCTGCGATCAAATTGCAATAATCAGATTTCTGTCACTCGCGGCAACTATTGGGCGGCCTAGATGGGCTTAGGAACGTCGGATCCAACATACTGATCAAGGTCGATTCCACGGTAGGAAAACTTTCTGAATGCTCTTCTCTTCTTCAACTCTGTGGGAGAACGTCCAGTCAGTCAGTCCAGTTTCTCGTTGCGCCCTTATTCCCAACGCCTGGTCATAAAACGACCGCATATCATCCACCTCTTCCTCTCCCGCTGTAAAAAAGGGCCTCCAAGCGGTATCTTTCTGGCATCGCCACACACAAAACACTTCGGAAGAGATCATTCGAGACACGTACCGGCAGCCTCCTCCGCATTCTAAGAGACAGAAGACAGGTTAGTTCTCCATCTGCCAGCATGCGTCCATAATCCCACACCATAGGTAATACTCACGTATTCAGTGTCAGCCATGATTGCGGATTAGTCTCTCGAAGCAACTCGGCTTGTCGATTAGAAAGACGGGCGATGAAAGATTTGTCGTTTGGGCTGATGACCGTTCCACTCGCCTTCAAGCCTGGTTTGGGAGGGTGGAAGTTTGAATGGCTCGGCTAAGCGATCACGCTAATGAGTCAGCAAGCCCTAAGTTTTCCCCAATCCGGCAACCCAGCCCTATCAAGCTCTATCTGTGGCGGCCGGCGATGTCTAAGGCGGTCCGGCGAGGGCCTGCTGGGCGATAAAGCCTCGCTGGAAAAGGCTATCAAGCCCCTTTTTGGTGCGCGTTGCTTTGTCTACTTACGAGAAAGAGAAATTTGTACAAATGGCAGATTTACAAGGGGCGGTGTCATACGGGCTAGGATAACCGTTGTAATGACCGTGTTTAGAATGTTTTCAAGGACGACCAGCGAATTCATTACAGCAAGAGCTAGAAGTATATATCAATAGAGAACGTTGCATAGCGCCCGAAAACTAAATGTACGGGCCTATGCATACTTCGCACTGAATTTAAAGATTCCGGAAAGTCGACGATTTCGTCGGAATCACTAGTGGACCGGGAGATTGCTAGAGATACGGCCCTTGATTTCATTCTCTTAGGGAATCTCAAAACCTAAGCGTACATCGTATGGTAGAATAGCAACTCAATGTTGGAAACTCTTTGACCGCATGACCAAATTTGGCGATCCCATCAATACTTAAAAAGAATTCCCAGATTTCATACGTTGTCGTCGTCAGTGTAGAAAACAAAGTTCTCGTCCACGCGCCATCGAATATCAAAGCATATCTGGCGGCGACCGTCTCTAACGTCCTTTTTTTATTTTCATAAGGAGGCGCTCGTCGTTTAGTCGAAGAGACCGAAGCCCATGTCCTCATCGGACTCCTCCTCTTCCTCCTTTTTCTCCTCCTCAGCAGCTGGGGCAGCCTCACCAGCAGCAGCACCACCAGCGCCAGCAGCAGGAGCAGCAGCGGCACCACCGGAGGGAACGGAAGCGAGTTTGGTGGTACCTTCAGCGATCAACTAGAGGAAATGTCAACATACCAAGGCGGCGGTCAGGCTTGGGAAAATAATCAAAACGAGTTTAACACTGACCTCCTGAAGGTCCTTTCCTTTGAGCTCGGAAATGAGCTTCTCTAGACGCTCCTCATCAGCATCGATACCGACAGAGGAGAGAACGCCCTTGATATCGCTGGCGGAAGGCGACTCGTTGCCACCGAGGCTAAGGAGAAGGTAAGCGGCGAGATGCTTCATTGTTGTTGAGAAAGTAGCTGCAAATGAAAAAAAAAAAAAAAAAAAAAAAAAGTCAGCCGGTTGTTACTTCGCAACGAGGAGTCGCAGGACCCAAGTGACGTACACTGCTTTGAAATAAGCGAACAGGAGAATCAATCGATTTAACCGCGAGTTGGGCGGAGACTGAGACGTCAAGTTCGTTGAATGCGTGGTCGAAGCGGATGAACGAAGAAGAGCAGCCGCAGAACGCGAAACGAATTATTTGAACCAGCGTGTGGCTAACGGTGCGAGGGGCGCACCAGCCACTGCCAGTAAGCGAGCTGCCGTGGCTTGACTACGTTTGCTGAGTCAGCCGTGCCTTACCTAAGCCTGGCGCCGGCTCGCCAGATATAAAAGGGCAGTGCGCGCCCGCCTGGCACCCAGCGCCGGCCTCTCTCCTTTTCCCTCTCGCACAGTCCTGGCTTGTCGACGTGGCGCTCTCCTCCGGCCTCCCATGTGGCGTGACCTAAGATTCTGATCGCTGGAGACCCTCCGGCTCCCAGTATCTGACGAGATCTGCGCTATCCTGAGGTCGAGGTTGCTATGACCTGCCGTGGAACACTGAAATCATGATTGATTTGCAGATCCCACTCATCTTTGGCGAGCGGTTCCTATCCTACCTGCGCTTCCACACCGTCAGACTTCGGTCACCATGAGTGTGAGCTTGACCTCCTGGAGCCCCAGTTTTCTGATATCAAAGCTGATCTTAAGTCCCAGTTCCTGAATTCAGTTCTCACATCCATCGGTACAGGGGATGCATCGATCACCCCACCCCCAGCCCACAGAAAAGCTTCAGCAGCCCCCATACCTTCTATCACCAACAAAACACCTTCGACCCAGAGTTATAGCTCTGGACTCGGCCAGAAACGAAAAGCTGGGCAAGATGTACCCCACCCTGCCAGCAAGGTCGCTAAGACTGCAAAGCCGGCGTCACAGCTGAGCCTGCAGAATCGACCTTCCCCCCCTCGGCCATCCACAAAGGTGTCCTTTACTCCAAAACCAACTACCTCCTCGACACCAAAGCCTGTGAACTCTGCGCCCACCAAGCCTCCACCAAAAGGCTCTTTTGCCGATATCATGGCGCAAGCCAAGGCTCTTCAGCAGCAAAAGCCACTCAACGTTGGCATGATAAAACACCAGACGGTTACGAAGGAAAGAATGAGTAAGGCGAAGCGGGAACGTTTGCTGAAAGGAGCAAAGCACCGGGAACTAGAGGTTGGCAGAGGCAAAAAGTCAATCACGCCGGGCGCCCCGCCTAGTGTTCCTAACAGGATGAAATCCCTGTCTCGCAAAACAAGTGCTGAACCAGAATACAAAGGGACTGCACGTCCATCAAGTGCCACTAGCTATGCCGGCACCGCAGGGCTTCCATCGCGGCGTGGTGCCAGTGCGGGCGCGCAGAAAGGCAGCCAAGGAAAACATGCTCGTCGCCGTGTAGTGGACGAGTACCTCGGGACAGATGAAGAAGACGAAGGCGATTACTATGGTGCGGATGACTACGACGATTACTCGGATGCTTCGTCCGACATGGAGGCCGGAATTATGGATATGGAGGACGAAGAGCAAGAAGCCCTTCGCCAAGCCAAAGCTGAAGATGAACGAGAGTTGAGAGCGGAAATGGAGGCCAAGAAAGCCAAGTTGGAACGCAAGAAGAAGCTCGCTGCACTCTCCAAATCGAAACGCTGATCGAATATCGAATTTTATTTTTTTTGAACATGTTTTACCTACTTCATCTTATTGCCTTGCATTCTTTTTAGCTTGGTTGGCGCTGTGGTTTCTTCGGCGAAACTGGGTAGATTATGTGCTCTCGCGACAGGGTGCATGGCTGTGCTGCTTGGATGTTCAAGACATGGAGCACAGCCGCACCAGATAGATACAGTGGGCTGGTCTTTTGATTCCCTTTGTTGAGCGGTCCATTAATTCTTAACTTTCTTGTGGATATAGCATAGCGTGGGTATTCCCTTGATGTTTGTTCTATTGTTGCATAGCGATATGGATTAAGACAGTTGAATGGTTGTTTCACAACTACTTCACAGATATACTTTAATTGTATTTGAGCCCCGGTTCTTTGTCTCTGCGTCTCAGAAGTTGTGTCACTGTCGTGATGGCGAAACACGCTGTTCATCATGGTTCGCGTCCTGCTGCATTGGCTGTGACATCATCCATGCCTCGGGTCTTTTGGAACCTCCATTCAGCTGCAGCAACATCCATCCTCCAATCCATCACCCTCCCCAACAGCTTGTACTATTAATGAATGAATGAATACATCTTAAGGTCATCATATTTCATAAGAGCATATCGTTACGACACTAGGATTCGAGTTCTCGCCCATGCCTAGTCCTCCAATTCCAAATACTCCTTCTGCGCCCAGCATGTCGGCCTCCACGCGAAACCTCCTAGGCAAAGTAAGGAGACTCGTCCCTCCAATGCTGGAGAAATTTCATAAAGGTATTACGCATTGCCACGGAACCGTTCACCATTCTACCAGTCGATGACCTAGGCTGATGATCTGAACAGGGCAGCTTGGCCGTGTGGCCGTTATTGGGGGAAGTATAGAGTAGGTTCTCCATATATACGGGAGTCTTTCCTTTTGTATTTCCCTTGATGAGAAAGGAAATTTGATAGTGGCTCGCGTGGTTCCTTTCCCCGGGGAGTGTTTTATATCTGCTCTGTGTTCGTTTATTTGGTGCACATATTTAATACCGGGCATTCCTTCAAAGGAACAGAATGACTTGGGTTTCTTGTCCGTACCAAATCAGGGGGCATCCATGCTATAAACCGGTCTCTGCCCTTTTTTTTTTTTTTCCATACCCCGTTCGATTCATCCCTATGAGGATCCAATTTGATTCCAACGTGGTTATGGTGAAATTGACGAATTCTGGTTTTGATTATCAGTTACACTGGAGCGCCATATTTCTCTGCAATGGCTTCGGCAAAGTTAGGTACGTAACTTAGTCTGCCAGCTATCCTTGGGAGGCACCGCATTGGTCTCGAACCTCGGAGTGACCTACCTCGCTTTTCATAATGAAGCCTGGAAAAGAAAGCTGACTGGGATATTAGGGTGTGATATGGTAAGAGTCGCGTTCAAATAGAACAAACCTATTACCATTCGCCAGCGTCCAATCCGCTAAACGATTTCCTTCATAGAGCCATGTAATTTGTGAACCATCAGCAGCAACAGTAAGTGATTCCTCTCACGGATATGGGATACACGCCGCTTCAATACCTCCCATTTCCTCTATCTACCCAAAAAAAAAAAAAAAAAAAAAAAAAAAAAAAAAAAAAAAAGGAAAAGAGGAACACAAGAATAACACAAACCCTGTAGGTGATCAAATCCTACTCCCCAAACCTTATGGTCCACCCCATCCTACAAAGCTCCAAATCCCTCTCCAATCCCATCCCCGCCCCCGATCCCCGCCACCATGCAGAGCCCATCATCTCCTTCCTTCCACGCGTGCACGTCCTCGTCATCGGTCCCGGTCTCGGCCGTGACCCCATAACGCAAAGCATCGTCGTGGAAGTACTGAGAGAAGCTCGTGCCAAGGCCATTCCCTTGGTCCTCGACGCCGATGCTCTGCTACTCGTGCAGAATCGTCCCGATCTCGTGCACGGGTATGAAGAGTGCATTCTCACGCCGAATGTGGTTGAATTCCGGCGGTTGGCTGAGGCGTTTGGGGTGGATGTTTCGGTGGCAGGAGAAAGGAGGGAGGAAGGTGAATGTGAGGCGTGTGAGCGGTTGTCGAGGGCGCTGGGTGGGGTGATGATTGTTCAAAAGGGGATTCACGATGTTATTTCGAACGGGGTGACGTCGCTGATTTCGGATGTACAAGGTGGGAAGAAGAGGAGTGGTGGGCAGGGGGATACCCTAACGGGTTCTTTGGGGACCTTTTTGGCCTGGAGGAAGGCGTATCATGAGGGCTTATGGGATGCAGGTGAGGAAGATCGTTCAAAGCAGGGAGAGGCGGAGAGCAGAAGTGACGTCGAAGTTGAATTGCAGGAGGATGGCGGTAAGATGATGAAGAAAATGAGCCGCAAAACTACAATGTTGCTTGCTGCGTGGGCTGGTAGTACCATTACAAGGGAATGCTCACGAAGAGCATTTCTGGCCAAGGGAAGAAGTATGCAAGCAAGCGATTTAACGGATGAGGTCCACGGCGCCTTTCTGGACTTGATTGGAGAGCCCGAAGGGTCAAAGCTGTGAACAAGTAGCTCTTATCAATCTAATAGATGACGTGATGCTGCGGGAATTGTTTGTACCATCCATCAGCTGAATATTTCCCCTCGCTGGGAGAAAATTCGACAGTGAGAAGGCAGAGACGTCTTACAGGAGTTGATTTTGAGGACAGGTTGAACACGAAGACAAAGATGGTCATAGACTCATGGCAAAGCTATATAGTTACGCCCCTTGGTATGGACGCATATATATATAAAATCAAAATAAAATAAGCATTCTCAAAAAGGGTCAAAATACAGACTATGGCCTGTGTAAGCATGTTATATAGTTTCGGTTCTGTTGACCATGTAAATATGCAGGCGAAGGAGGCAAAATACCGAAGATTCCCAACTCTAAAGACGACACAAACGGGAACAGAATGTAGCGAACCAAACATCCAGGGTATCCAAAATCCTTCGTAAAGTGTCGTAGCCGAAAAGAAACAAAATCTAAAGCATATGTATATCCAGGAAAGAAACCAAAAGTCAAAAATTGTAAACACCGGCTGCTCACTCGTCAACCCGTCAAGGTCATTGATTGTGTTAGCAAGTCGTGAAGAGGGCGAAGACATCAGTCATTAGATTTGCCGTAAGCACAGTATCCACAAGGCTGATGCATGCAGACGGTACAGCGATTTTCTAGGGCAAGAGTATATGAAAGCTCGCACTGGCACTATATCACAGCGTAAGCTCTATAGACCCAGGACGGTTAGGGGAAAAGAGGAGGGGGTTGTGCGTCTTACACAAGTAACGCATTGTTCTTGATCTTCGCGAGGGTCTACTCGCTGAACGGGGTTAACGACTGGCATGAGCGAGTCGGCTATACTTTGTCTTTGAGTCGAGGAGTCGTATTGACTGAAGGAAGCGGTAGGGCTCATTAGAAGTCTGGAGCTCGTCTCACTCGGCTCTTTGAAATTTTCGGAAACGCAAGATTGAGATGGCTCGCAAGTTCGAAAAGGATTTACTGCGCGTGTCTGGTCGACATCCCGCGATTGCTGGTCAGACACAGAGGTATCATCGCCAGCTGAAGAGATACCAGCATTCGCAGGGGTATCAGTGCTGGTCACGACTACACCGCTGCCTGATCCCAAGGAGCTCTCAATTTTTCTTCGTCTTACCTCTCCCTTCGTAAAGTGACCTGAAGGCAGAAGCCAATCCTCAATGCTTTGGCCTTTCCGAAAATGCTCCACGTCAATATGGTTAATCCTATCCTTCCACGCATTCGAACCCCTAGGTTCCGATTCTACCAGTTTCCGGCAAAACCCGCACCAAAACCGGCCTTGTCCGTTTCTGCCTATTCTGTTTGTGCGCAAGCATTTCCATATTCTGCATTCGTCGAGGCCGTGGTCATTTCGTAAATGGCTTGCGAACTGTCCAGAACGAAAAAACTGGCGAGCACACTCGCGGGTATCTAGAGACTCTCGAACTTCCGGCTCCTGGCAGCGCCAGCTTTCAAGCTGGAAGTGTGTCGCATTCTCGTGGCGCTTCCAGTCGCTCTTGCTCCCAAACACTTTATCGCAGTTCGTAAATGTACAGCCGTACGGTCGAGTGTGGCGTTTCATGTGCTTGCTACATACATAGATATTAGCGGCCATCTCAACCATTGAACCATGGGAAAGGTAAAATTGAAGCCATACGTCATCTCACATTGAAGCCGGGTGGTGGTCGGGCATTGAGGACATTTGAATCTTTTTTTATCAGAAGATTGAGAGTTGTCAGCAGCCGCGTTGGAAGAATTGGGTTCATTCCCACCGCCAGCTGTGCTTTTAGACATGAGTTGGGTGTAACTGTTCTGGATCAGCTTGTGGAAAAACTCCCGTTCCCTTTTTCCAGAAGTTGAGAGCAGGTCTAGGAAGGATGGATTGTGCGATTCATCTCCTTTATCACTGGCATTGTTGTTTTGAGGACCTTGGCTATTTTGTCTCCTTGATTTCTCCATCGCCTTTTCCAAGGCTTTGAAAAGGCCCTGAGTTGCTTCAGAAAGGGAGTCAGAGGATGAGGAGCTTTGGCCATCAACATGGGTATCGGTGGAAAATTGAGCACCTGCACCACTTTCTTCAGGCACAAGTGGATTCTCCAACGAAATGGGAGTATCGTCCACAACAGTACTTTGCTCATAGAACGTCGGGGCACGTGATTCGTCCGGCTGTCGAGCCTCTGAGAATGTAGGAGCATGAATAGAAGGAGTACCGAATGCTGGCGCTGTTGCTTGGGAATGCTGGGACTGTGAAGGCCCGGGATTGGCGGAGAGGGCTTGGATAAATAAAGGGCTGGTTGTGGTAGAAGGGGCGCTGACTGTGACGAGGTCGGCGGCATTAACAAACAATTGGGGAGCGGTGTCGCCTGGCTCAGGGTCCTGAGAACCACTATCCGAAAGCACATTCTTTCTGGATTCATACCACTGCTCGGATCTAGCATGTTATAAGCAAAACGTCCAATATAGCAGATTCGGGACAACCCACAGGCGAACCATTTCACCAACATTACAATCTTTATGCACATTTTGCAGGTGGGCGCGGAAATTGTCCAAGCGGAGCCAATCCTTCTGAGATTTGGCGCAGCCCCGTACAAAACATCTGTATATCTTTCCCGTTCCGCTCTTGTGGACAGCTTTCAAGTGCCTATTCAGATCGTTGGAAGTTGCAAAGCCGTCTTTTCGTTTACAATTCGGAACATCGCATTTGAATCTCTTTTCATGACGATCTGTGTGTTTCCTACAACAAAAAAAAAAGAGATGGGGCGTAGTCTCTCGGGTCAGTTTTACTGTACTCAAGGGAGTTTGATCGCCTTGAAGATGTGAAGGTATACCACTAACTTTAGATCAGACCTAGTTTTCCCAATCCAGTCACAATCAGGAAAGGGGCATTCGTAAGCTTTCCTGGGACGTGTCTTCGCTTTTGGCTGCAGCGGTCGGCCACCCTCCTCTGTTTCTCTCTGAGGGGCAACTGGAGACGGAGGAGCGGGAGTGGGAGTAGGGGAACGGACGATTGGGAGGTAAGTGTCGGGGTTGTTTGTTGACGGTAAGTTCTCGAACTGCTGTTCAACGGGGTACACGCCTGCGACAGATCTGGTGCCGATGCTTCTCGTGGCGTAGCCTGAATCCGAAAAGAGATATGAAGTTATGTAGTCTCCAACATCCGACATATTCTCACTGTCCCTCGAGAGCCTCGGGCGCTTGGAAAAGGGCGGTGGGGTGGAGGGCCTTGCACTGCCAGGCGCAAGGCCAGTGACACTGACTGGATCCCAGGCATCGTATCGGGAAGGCGTGACAGCCGAGATCTGCTGGGTTGTGGAGGAGGCATAAGGTAGAAACTGGGAATTGGCAGCGAGGGGATCGTTGGCCCAAAGGGCGGCGGACGGCTGGAAGCCGGCTGTGAACTCTCCCAAGTTGGCGAGGTCTATATTGGACAAGTTTGGGGAGTAGAAGCCGGAAGTCTGGCCATCATGAAAATAAGACGGCACCATGGGTGCGGTAGAGTTATTCATATATAGATCTTCATCCGAGAGCCCAAGTTGGCCGCCATGGGAGCTGCGTCGCTGGTATTGGGGCTGCTGTGAGCAACGTCGAGGGAGAGAGGAAGCGCATTAGTTAAGAATAGGGGTACAAAACAAATCGGACGAAGAAAAAGATTTTTAAGGATGCTAAAGAGGGGTGAGGGGGGTGGAAGAATAAAATAAAATAAAAAAAAGTAAAAAAAAAAAAGGAAGAAAGAAAGAAAAGAAAAAAAGATTAAACAACATACCAGCCTGCGCGAGTCCTGGGCAGCGGGATCGTTAGGGTCGAATTGGGCCTGCGACTGGGCCATGGTGGACAACATCCAGCAAGGGCCGCTAGAACGGAGGAGAGGGACGATGCCGTTGTAGAATTTCTTATTTTCCTTTTTTTGCTTTTTTCCAACCATTCCAGGCTTTGGCGGGGACAGATAGGAAAAGGGTCTAGATCATGGAATAGCGATGTCTCGCAAAGATACAGGGGTGGCCGCCAGCCCGCATCTTGCGCCGATCAGACCGGGGAGGATGGCCCAGCGAGCAGCCGAGAGGGGCCAGACACTTGTTCTCATGCAAGAGGCAGGCAAGAAGATGCATAAGATGATGGCCGTTCACTAACTCAAGGGTTAGATCACCTTGGAGAAAAGCAAAAAAAAAAAAAGAAAAGAGATTCGCGGATACGCGGATACGCGGCAGGCAAGGATCGGGGATGCTTGAGAGAAGGCTATGCATGTATGGATGTACGAACGGGCAAGTGTGCGTCAGTATCATGCAGTGGACAGTCTGCTTTCTGGAGGTTATTTTGGCCGGCTGTTGGGCCAGCAGAGCAGAAGGCAAGCAACCCCAGAGAGCAGAAGCGCAGGCTAACTAGTCAACGGGAGCTGGGCGTGGTTTGACGATGCGCGGCCAGCTTGCGGAGAGACGCTCGCGATGCCCAATCCGGCTGCCTCACGCTCACCGCTCCGAAGGTTAAGACGGCTCAACCAGAGAGAGGGGAAAGGGCAAAAAAAAAAAAAAAAAAAGAAAGGAGAGACAGAGAATGACGGAATTAAAAAGAAGTGTGGAGAGAGAGAGAGAAGAATGAGAGCGATGAGAGATGGAGGATGGAAGATGGAGATGAGACCAATCAACCCGAAGAAGAGACGCTCTGATGAACGACGTCCGTCGAGCTCACGTGGTTTGATATGTTTCTCAAATACCTTTTTTTTTTTTCGAGTGGCTCAACCCGATCTAATATATAGAGTACACGACAGAAGTGAGGTGTCGGGGTTAAGATATAGCTTGCGCTTCGCGAGTGATCCGCCCACTAGGCGGATAATCTCTGGCCTTCTGTTCGCCTCATTATCTGGCTTGGCTCGATTCCCGGAGTGCGGGCGCTTTCTCACTGGCCGGAGTTGGGAAAAGGCCACCGATACTGACGGATTTTTCCTGAATTTCCCGAAAGGCAACCGGATCGCCTGTTAGACCGCGAGAGGAAGACTCGAGGAAGCAGTATTTCGATCCTCAAAACGAAATACCTGACCAACTACGTGAGGAATACACTCTAATCGCATCGTCGTCGCAGTCAGCCTATGGAGCAAGGCTACCGTATAATACAACTCCCAATAGCATCAAAGGACATACAGTACATTCATCTGCTACTTACATCGACGCTGACCTCAAAAATAATACCAACGGGGTGTGTTATATCGTTGCAGTCCCGGAAAAGCAGCAGAAGATGGGGGTAGACGAACAGGTGTTTATGCACTCATGCACCATATCATTTAAAAGGGGAAAAAACAAGGCAGGAGAAAAAAGGGAGCCAAAAATCGAAAAAGGCGTGGTAAGATGGCCACTAATATGACATTAATTCATTACGTGGAACCAATGACCGGTTTCCAGAAGGGAGGGAAAAAAAAAAAAAAAAAAGCCAAAACCCATGCATCACGAAAGTCATCACCACGACGCCAGCTAGAATGTCCATATTCTCCGCTTTGGAAAGGCTTCCCATCAGTGGCCATATTGGCCACCCGGAAATACAAACCCCTGTCCCGACCCCGTCGCTTCCATCGGATACCCCATTCCTGGAGAACTGCTATCACTGTATCCCATCCCCCCCTGTTCTTCGGAGTACTGGATGTGCTCGACCGGGGATGCATATATCTGCCCGCCAGTAAGCCCCATCATCGAGACCGCTGACGCTGATACGTCCAGATTGTACGGCATATCGCCAGAATGCCGTGGCTGGGTGCTAAACGGCGGGTACGTTGCCATTTCCCCACGCCCGTCCTGTCCCTGCATCGTGGGAAGCGCCGTGTAGTCTCCTTGCATCACCGGCAAATTCCCCAAAGAGTACGACTGCCGCATGTGGTGGGCCGGCATCGAATACGGCTGCTGCCCACTCACCCCGTACAGCACGTTGTGCATCTGCAACTGCTGCGAAGAAACAGGAGGCTGCTTCACCGCGAACGCCTCTGGCAAGAGCGCTGCCGTGCCATACATGGCCCTCTGGCGTCCGGCTTTCCCCTTGCTGCGATTCTCTTGCTGGTTGGAGGACGACGTGCGTTGAATCGGCGTGGAGTACCCCTCGATCGGCGTCGTCACGTTACTCTGCGCTGGAGACGACCCTGCATCTTCGATTGGACTGACCATCGCGCTGGGGAAAGTGGTTGTCTTCTCCACCAATTTCAGCACCGGCAGGGCGATCTGCTCCATATGGTCCGCCATGTGCGCTGCCAGCTTCTTCCAGCTGTTGCATGTCTCGCCACAAAATCGACAGGCTTCCTGGGTTGGTTGCTTCTTGGTCTTGCGGTGGCACCTATCTACCAAAATGTCCTGCAAAGGAATATCCGGATCTGTCATGTTTGGTGGTGCGCCGTCATTCTGTCCTCCTCGGGCCCTGACACGGTTCATCCTTGGCTCTGGCATCTTGTGCTCTCGAACAAGATGCTGCACGAAGTTGTTTTTGCGGTAGCATATGTGGGTGCAATCCTCCATGTTGCACTCCCACCATTCGAGATGCCGATGCGTCTCATTTTCATGCCTCACCCAGTCCGCTTTGCGCTTGAACGATTTGGGTTCCGTACACTCGGGAAACGTGCACGTAAATGGCTGCACATCCTCGTGCACGTGTTTTGTCCAATCAGAAGGCTTCTGGAACTCCTTGACCTCGAAACACAAGGAGCATTCGAATCGGGCCGGAAGCTGCTTGGCCGGTGGTGGGGGGATGCCTTTGGATGACATAGCCTCTAAGGTGGCGTTCTCGCCCGCTGCTCCTCCGTTAGCGTCGTCGTTGCCCGCTCCCGTTCCGGAGATTTGGAGCTGAGGATAAGTCGTCTCGGAATCCTTAGGGTTCATCCTGGGTGGCAGAATCGTAGGGCCGCCGCCCTGAGCAAAGCAGTGCTCGCCGGATTTACAAGCACGTCGTTTTACCGCTTGCGCATGTCTTAGCCTGAGTTCAACAAGCTTTTGATATCGTCGCAGTTGCTCTTGGCCTATGCGGTCCACCAGAGTTGGCTGCAGCTGTGGGAAGAGCCGTTGAACATGATTTTTGAACCCTTCGAGCGTGGGCGCTCTTAACTCCGCATGATCGCCAAAATCAATTTCGTTCGCCGTTGCTTCGTGATCCCCGTCATTTTCGTCTGCATGATTTCTGTTGACGGGTGATTTTTCAGGAGTAAATACCGGAGCTCGGCCTTTGTCATGCAATGGTTAGTATAAGCTACAAAAAAAAAACAGGTTGATGTAGGAAGAAAACCGCTCGAAGCGGTCATAAGTTGATGCAACCTACCAGATAGGGGTTTCTGCAGGACCTTTGGCACATCACTTCCGCTGCGGTTACGCCTTATGAGGCTGCTCCACGGCCCGTTGCTCTTGACCGGTTGAATTCCAACAGGTCCACCGACCCCGACAGATGCAATTTGCCTTCCCATCTCTAACAGAGCGCCGCCGGTATGTGATGGGGTCCTCGATCGTCTCGTGAAGCTGGGCTTCCGCTGGGGTGGAACCGAGCTACTAGAACTGCTTTTCCCAGTTTCCACCGATTCCATACTCGGTTGCGTCTGCTGTGCTAACGAGATATGTTTTCGCTTTGAGCTGCTGTGGTGCCGCCTGGGAAGGAGTTTGCTCGCATGTTCCAGGATACTACTTCGACTTATTTTTTCTTTCACACTATCATCGTTGATCCGCATGCTCTCGAAACGAAGACTCTCAACGTCCGCTTCGGTAACGTCGCGTGTGCCCCACGTTGCCCTCCGGGACGCGGCGTCGGTATTGTCGGCCTTTCGCATAAATAAGTACATGGCGGCACTGGAGGTAGGAGGCTGCTCCTTCATATCTCCATACCGCGGGTTCCTTGGAGGATCTTTCCAAGGTCTCGCTCGGATAAATTGACTGGGAAGAGGTTCCTCGTTTGAGATGCTGTCGTTCTCGGTTGGAGCAGAAAATTCGTCCTGTGAATCTATCTGAGGGGTTGGTCCGACGCTGCCGGGTGATTGCCAGGATGAGGTGTCGGCTGTATGGGGATCGCCCACCTCGCTTTCTTCATGGATAGGCGAAGTCTCGGGGACGCGAGAGGCAGGAACATCGAAGCCTTGCTGACTCGGCCCGATTGCGTTACGAGGACTGAGCGGGGAGTCTCCCATGCTCTTCGTTCTGTGTCTCCCGCGGAGCCGCCATTTTTTCTGCTGCTGGAACCCAAACAGACTGTTGTCCTCCACTTCACTGTTGGCTTCGCTCACCGACAGCCAGCGTTCCACATCCGCATTCTTTTCCTCTATTTCCCGCTGGGCGATCACTTCCTTCAAACTTGGAACATACTCATCGGTTCTAGAAGATGGGTCCAAGCCCCCAAGCCCAGTAGAAGGGTTGGGAAGCCAGCTGCCATCAGCGGCCCGCAGAGTCGGGGATGATGGCGAAGACCTAGAGGCCGGGCGACGATCGTTGTCGACGTCGTTGTCGCCGTTGAAGTCGTCGTCATCTTCCCCCTCAGACTCCACCGATGCATTGTCGCCGGGAGCAAGGTGGGACGAAGAGACACTCCTCGTCCTTCTTGATTGATTGAGCGGTGCTTCGTCTCGTGACGGAGAATCGCCTCGGCTATAGCTCGATATTTTGACGACGGGGCTTGGGGGTCCTGGGTGGTTAGGATTGTTTATTTCGAAATCATCGCTGCAAGGGGTGGTGGCCAGGGCCGGGAGTCGTAGAGTGGGAAGGTCCCTTTGCTTCTGGTTGGTGAAAGAAGTTGGGGAGATTGCAGTAGTAAGCTGGTCCGGGCTCACTGTAACATCTCCCGGCTGGTGGTTGAAAACCGTAGAAGGACTAGGGGTGTTGGTTAGCACCGGACTGAGGAGCTGATTCGTGTTCAGCGTTCGATTGACATGCCCGACATGATTTCCATGCTGGGTCGACTTGCCGGGAAGCGAAGGAAGGCCAAACACTTCGGGGTTGATGTAGAGCTGTTGACAGTCTCCGAAGCCGCTCGGCAGATGAGATCGATCGTCGTCGTCGTGCCAATGGTTCTCCGTTCCTGGCGAGGGATGGCCGCTCACGTCGCTCTGCCCGGTCTCGTGGGTCATGCTCCCGGGGCTCAAGAAGGTAGGCGAAGACAGACCGCTGGCGTGGCCAAGGTGGGAGGAGGCATCGTATGGGCTGGTCCCATCTGTCGGGGACGCATAGGTTCGGTTATCGGTCGAATGATGATGATGATGCTGCTGCTGCTGCTGCGTGTTGTGCGTCTGGGGCGCCGATCCGCCAAACAATAGATTATGGGAGTCAATGGGGACCAATTGCTCCTCACTGCTGGCGGGGTGCGAGAGAAAAGGGTCGAAGTGGTCGGGTTTGAAGGCCGTGAACGGTGCGGAGTTGTTCTCCGATCTCTGGAGGGTAGACATTGCTTCGTAGACACGGCGCAGAACAGGTCCAACCGCAAAGCCCTGCGTATGCGTATGCGTATGTTTGTGTGAGAGAGAGAGAGAGCGTGTGTGTGTTTTTGGTGATGAGAGAGAGTGTGTGTTTGTTTTAGCGATGAGAGAGTCGCTTGTCGCGCGTGAGACCGGTCGGAGGTTCACGACATATGCAGGTAGAATCGAGAACTTCGCAAGCCAAAAGCGAAAAAGTTTCAAGGGGGCAAGCTTGGATGTTCAGATCGCCATGCCAATAGCGCCTGCAAGAACAACGATCCTCATGTGTGTGAGAGAGTGAGAGAGAGAGAGAGAGAAAAGAAAGCAGGAGAGGTCAGCAAGGACAAAGGTATAATAACACAAGAGGACCGACGAGGAAGTAAAAAAGCATCGAAGCTGAAGCCGTGGATCAAAAAGCAAGCAATCCGGGCGTTGAGAGCCAAGGGTTGGTTTTGAGGATGGAAAACGACAGTAAGTTTGCGGCTGGCGTCCCCGCAAGGCTTGTTGTTGGTGGTGGTGGCAGTGGTGGGGAGCGCGAGCAGGCGGTTGAAATAGCTACCAGAAGGGCGAGGACGGGCTGCGATGGCTGGTGAGAAGGAGGGCACAACGAGAGAGTGACGCGGGGGAAAGTAAATGACGGAGAGAGGAAGACAGACGATGAGAGAGGATTGATGAAAGATGAGAGAGGATCTGGCGATGTGCAACCGTCAAATACGAATCCGCGCGGGCTGTTTTTCGCCTCGCCTCCGCCGACTAGAACTGAAACAGGCAAGGCGCAGTTTGGATGCGGCTGACTTGAGAGGATCGAGAAAGACGGATTTGACGACGAGATCAGAGATATCAGCAGCAGAGGTAGTTTGTATCAGCAGTAGAGGTAGTTTATATCAATATATATATATATATATATATATAGAGAGAGAGAGAGAGAGATGTGGATGGATGGAGATGGCCCATCCCGTCCTCTCCGTGCCGTCTCTCTCTCAGGCAAACAGCCACACCACGTCGTCTGCCGGCTTTCTCTTCCAACCACCACCACACTCTCTCAGACTCCCGCGCTTGGGATCGAGCCCGCTAGCGTCGCGACGGCCAGCGTGATGGCGGCCAATCCGATCGCCCACACGCTCGCAGGCCGGATCTGTTGCCTGACGGGGCTCCTCCCTGCTCGCTGCTCTGGCTTCGTCGCCGAATCACTCGCCTCCCTCCCCAAGGCGGACTGGATAACATCTCTCTCTCTCTCACACACACTCACTCACTCATTCTGACACACACACACACACACTCTCTCTCTCTCTCTCTCTCTTTTTTTCTCACACGACGACGGGCTGACGTGGTATACCACCTCGATGCCTGCTGTAGTCCAGTTCATGCAAAGTCCGCCTCGATCAATTCTGGCTGTGGCTCTGCCTCTTCTTCTTCTTTTTTTATTTTTTTTATTTTTATTTTTATTTTTTTTTTGCTCGCATCCATCCAGGTCAAGTCGCCTATGTCATTCACCTGATAGCAAGCTATTCGGGCTGGTGTGTGTGTGTTAAGGTGAAAGAGTATTGAAAAGCGGGCCGGGGCTGATATTGACTAACAAGCGCAAGGGGAGAGAAGCTTCTTTTCTCCCAACAGCTTTTTTGGAGCTTCGTTTCAAACCAAAATGCATTTCTCTTTTGTCTCTCCCCCCCTTTTGCGGCTACCTAACTGAATGACATTGATTCTTTGACATTGCCTCAAATGACTACGTTCTTCTCCCAGGAGGAGACGCTTCTTCGCCTGTGTCCAGTGCATCCATCTCCTTGTACCGAGTCTTCACTTCCCTGATGAACCGGCTCGGCAATTCCTTCGCCGAATTCTCCCCGTTTTCCATGATTGCCTGTGCAGTACTCAGGTAAAACATCCACAGATGAGCTGCCATTCTTCTGAACCGGTTGCACAAACTTGACATTTTCTGCACTCACTCCCACGCCCCAGTGCAGCGCTGCTATCCCTACCCCCCCATCACTCTTGAAATTCTTAGAGCTACCTTCGGTTGGATTAGCTCGAAATGGTTCATATAGAGATCTAGCTACTCCCATGCTGTCGTCCGACATAGAGATCCCGCGCATTCCAAGAAATACGTGACCAAATGCCGCACAGTCCGCCTTTTCCTGCGCCTCGCGCATTCACTGCCTTTTGATGTTTTGGAAGTGGCCCCCAGAAATCCGTCAGAGCTGTGCGAGTGCGCTCCGCGAGCGACGGGATCCGCTCCATGCACCACACCTCCCATTTTCCTGGGTTGTTATACCGACTCGGGAGCTTAAACTTATGCTCCTTCCACCAGTCTTCGGCTTGCTAGGATGGCCTCATCGACTCTCCGTTCCGTCAACACTGGCGTGAGTGCGTAGAGGAGATCACGTTCCATGTCGGTAAGTCTCGAGGGTATTATTCGGTTGCTAGATAATAATAACAATAGTAATAGCAACAACAGCAACAAAACCAACTTCTAGGAATAATATAAATGAAGTATATACCCAAGCCAGGAGAATGACTCCAACTGTAATTATAAGTGTAGGCGCGTAGCTGTAGGCGTTGGGATGGGTTTTGAAGTCGGCGCGCAGTGCGTCAACAAAAAGCACTTCCAAGGGACGAACAGGTCGTCGTTTTCACACCTTCGCAGTGGCCCAAGTCTCTCTCTATCCGCCAAAAAGAACTTCTTGTTGAATTACTCTGGAAGAAAGAGTTCACCTGGGCAGTTCCCGTCACGCACAATATCAATGTATAGCATATTCCTAACGCACTATTCCCTACATTAACCCTGGCCAGACACAGTGTGCTGAGCCGACAAAAAAAAAACAGGCGAACCAAAATCCATCGCTGGAAGAAAAGCCATAACAGCAAGGAAATCCGAAATGAGTGTATAGGGTTAGAAACAAAAAAAAAAAAAAAAAAAAAAAAAAAAAATCTTCAAAACAAAACAAGAACCAATGGAAAGAGGAAAGAAAAAAAAAAAGAAGAAAAGAAAAGAAGACAATTTGAAGTAGAAGCGTAGAAAGGAAAATGTGAAAATGAATGTATCCCATGCCAACACCACCATGCCAAACAATAACCAATCATACATATGTGGAAAAAAAAAATAATAATTCTTTCTCATGCATATAGTATCCCTTCCAGTAACCTTACATCCCAAAGGACGCCCATGGCTATGCACCGCTGTAGCATCAAAACAACAGACTGAAACATTCTTGCATCTTTTAAGTCATTATACCGGCGGTGGAGTTTTAAACCCCTCTATCGATGCCGGCGTTTTCACGCGTCTGCTTTCGCCTCGGCTTCGCCATTGGTTTGGTTCTCAGCACCATTCGTTTCTCCGGCCCCGTCAGCGGGGGCCGACGGGTCTGCGGTCTTCCTGGAAATCTCTTCCCTTCTCGCGATGACGGACGGGGAGTCAGTGTAGAGAATCACGCCAGGCAGGTAAACACATGGATTGGCCTTCTCGGCCTCCTCTGGCTGGAGGAAGTCCTCATGTACTGGCTCGCGGTGAATGCGGGGAAGCATTCGAAGGAGTGGGACTTTGGGTCCACCGGATTCCTTAGCCTTCGCTGAAGATTGGTCGTAGATGAATTCTTCCCACAAGTCGTTGGCGGCTTGCTCATCGTCGGCGGACGGCATGGAGGCCACGATCAATTCTCTCTCGACACGAGCAAGGCGCCATGTCTCTGCGGCCAATTTGACAATCTTTCGAACACTGGTGATAAGGGCATCGAGATGTTTAGGATCGGTAAAGTGGCGAATGTGGTCCACGATCTCGTCGACGATGACAGCGGCCACAACGTTAATTGCTTGTTTTGCGTCAGAAGCAGTGTAGGCGGCTCTTAATGTCTGCTGTCTCCAGAACGCTTCACGGCGGACAGACTTGCGACGAATGTCCATCGACAACACTTGGAAGAAGGTATCCGCTTTATCATATCTGCGGCCGAGGGTGAACAAGAATGGCTGGAAGATTCGATACGTCAACGTTTTGGAGATCACATGTTGGACGTAGGCAGACCGAAGTTCGCGTGACGCCGGGGTGTTATCCAGGAAGGGGGGAAGGTCGGAGGGTATTTTCGCCAAAATATCGGCGGGCGGCTCAATGGGGATATATGCGAAAAATTCTTTCGAGAGATCAACGATGAGGCGAGACAGTTCACCGAAGCAGTCAACGCTAAACAAAACGCCATATTAGATATGCGACCTTATCAAGCTGACATTTCACCTTTTTTTTTTTTTTTTTTTTTTTTTGAAAACAACGATTTAAGGCTTGAAAAATACTGAAGAAGACTTCAAATATTATTCGAACCTTGACGAAAGACTAGGAGCTTTTTCGAGTACAAATAACCACAGAAACGGAAAATAATATGCCTGTCTAATAAGAGCATAACGCACCAAGAGACTTACAAGAAAGCGTCACCCTTAATCTTCATATCTGTCGCCTCCCCCAAACTATGCAGTGTCTTCTTGAGCCTCTCACGATCCTTATTCAAATTATCATGTGTCTGCCGCATCTCTTCTACGATGCTTTGAAGCCGTTCTTCCCTATTCTTTCCGTCAACAGCGAGCGCCTCCTTCTCCTCAAGAGCCACTTTCAATTCTTCCGTTTTCTCTTGAAGCTGCGCTTCAAAGTCTCCACGGTCCTTCTGCCATTGTTCTTCTTTCTGCTGATGTTCGGTTGTCATAGCTTCGATCTTTTCATCGCGCTCTTTGGTCGCATTTGTCTGCTCTTCTAATTGCGCCCTCAACGCCGCAAGCTCAGCAGCATGCTTCTCTTTCACATCGTCGAGCTCCGCCTGCTTCGCAGTAAGTTCTTCTTGCTTTTTGTCGAGATCAGCTTGCTTGGATTCCAGCTGCGATTTCTTTTCTTCGAGTTCCGCTTTGACTTCCTGGAGTTCGTCCTGAATGGCCTGTAGCTCTGTCTGTTTGGACTCGAGCTCGCCCTGTTTCTGCTCGAGTTCGCGACGTTTGTCTTCTAATTCGGCAATCTTCGATTCAAGCTCGGACTTCAAACGGTTGATCTCTTCCTGCTTTGCCTCGACTTCGCTTTGCTTCTCTTCAAGTTCTTTCTGCCTGTCTACTAGCTCAGCCTGTTTCGCTTCCAGGTCGGATTTCGTCGCGTTAAGTTCTTCCTGTCGGGCATCCAGTTCACTTTGTTTGGCCTGGAGTTCGGCTTGCTTCGCGTCCAATTCACCCTGCTTAGTTTCCAGCTCGGTTTTCTTGGTGTCCAACTTGCCTTCATACTCAGCGGCCATGTCATCTTTGGACTTGTTGAGAGCAGCCATTTGCTGCTCCCATTCTGCCTTAAGTTGGTCTCGTTCGCCATACAACTCCTCCTCACGAGCGCGTAGCTTTTCGGCTGCGGCTTGGTCGTCTTTCTTCTTCATTTCTTGGAAGTGCCCTTGAAGCTCCTCTTTCTGGGCAGCGAGGGCGTCTGATTTGAGCATCTCCCGACGTTTTAATTCTTGTAGATGGCTAGCCTTCTCATCTTGCATAGTCCGTTGGAGATTAGCGATTTGCTGCTCCAGGCTGGATCGGACTAGAGTGAGTTCATCGTTAGCTTTCTTGAGCTCTTCCAAGCTGTCTGCAACATCACGGTGCTGTTCCTGCAGACCACCAAGCTCCATTCTGAGCTCAGAAATTCTGTTTCTCAACTTCGCAGACTCAGCGGCATTTTCCTTCGCTGTTTTCTGGATCTGCGCTTGCAGAGCATCAATATAGAACTCTTTTTCCATCAACGACCGCTCATGTTGCTCCTCGATCTGCTTGCTTTGGGCGACATGGGAAGACAGTTGATTTTGTGTATCGCGGTAGCTTGTTACAAGCCTGTTAATATCGGGAATAACGTTTTGAATCCGTTGGAGAAGCTTGATGGTATCACCTTCGATGGGTAGCGATTCGGAGTTGCCGTTCTCAACGGGCTTTTGTTGTGTTGGTGTAGATGGCCGTTGTTTTGGTTGGTGGTATGACAAGTTAAACGGATAATCAGGGTGACCACGGCCGAAGGACCCGCGGCTGGCCATTCTGGAATGATACCCGTCCAGCGCGGACGGGCGCGGTGCGGGAGAACAGTGGGGTGGACCGGATACCGCCATTGGTCCGCTGGAATGAAGATCGTGCAAAGATCCGTTGGCGTATATCGGAGATGGTGCGTAGGGATGAGTATACGGAACACTGTAGGTGTAATGCGGTGAATGAACGGGTGCGGGTGACCGAGACTGTGAGTACCCGTATACAGGTGAAGAAGTTGTTTTCGGTCTCGCTGAAGACAATATAGGCGAAGCGGCTGGAAACTCCGCTACCGGAGGCGGCCTTTGCGTTTTGGGGACTATTTCTGGAGGAGTTGACACTGACTCCGCGGACTTATCAAGGCTATCGGATACATTGACAAGATTTGGCTCGGCTTTTTGAACAGGCGCTGGAGGGACTTCGCACAATGCCGGACTCAGAACTTTTGGGGAAGGCTGATACTCCAGTTCTTCTTGTGCTTTGTCCTCGGTTTCTTTTCCGTTTTCTTTGTCAAAGTCGTGTTCAAGTTGTCCCTCAAGTGCTTCGGCTAAGTCTGCCTCAGGTTGATGGCCAAAATCCCTCTCAGGTTCCTTCTCAGGTTCGTTCTCAGGACCTTTCTCGATCTCTCTCTCGAGCCCCTTCTCGGGTTCCTTTTCTGGTTCCTTCTCGAGCTCTTTCTCAAGTTCCTCCAAGGTCTTTTCCTCAGGTACTATCTCAATGTGTTTCTCAAGTTCCTTCTCAATTTGCTCCCCAAGGTCCTTCTCAAGCTCTTTCTCTAGTTCCTGTTCAGGAACGGGCTCGGACTCTTCCTGCGGGTTGGTCGTAGGCTCCGCTACGGCTTTCTCGCTTTCTTGGTCCACACCAGAGTCTTCGACGTGATCCTGGGTTGGATTTAGAGAATCCTCCTGTAGTGGTACTGGGGAGGCAGGAGAAATGGGCTCCGGTAACGTCTCTACTGCAGGAGAGACTTGAGTATCGGGATTCGGTGATGCGAGGGAAGAGGCTGAAGGGGGGATGTCACTTGGAATTTCAGCCGCAGGCGAGTCAGATATGTGATCTTGACCCTGTTGCTCTTGTAGTTGTTCTGATGGATCTTGCTGATGGTCGGGCTGTTCAGGTGGTTGCACTTGTTGCTGCTCTTCGGCTTGTTGTTGTTGTTCTTGTTCTTGGGGCTTTTGTTTCTTCGAGTTCTTTTTGCCTTGATTTACTTTCTCTCCCTTATCCTTATCCTTTCCTTTTTTATTTCTTTTGGGAGGCATTGTGGCAGAAGATGATGAAGTACTTGAATGCTAAGAGTGGGAGTCAGAGTCTTGAAACGTGTCCCCAGTGAAAGCACGGGGGAAAAGGATGTTTCTTGATTTGAAAATATAGCGTTTGTGGCGATAGGAAGCTGTAATGGAGGCCAAAGCGTTGGCAAAAAAAGAAATCCTTGCGACACTAGGAGCGAGGAGGGGAATGGGCGCACTGACAATTGAGATCCTGGTCTCTCGATGTCCGAGGGGAGACACGCAATAAGGCGGATTGCAAAAGTAGGTGGGAAGAAGTTCAAATTCGGACGGAAGGCTAAGAGGGCGCAAACAACTATTTGACAAACGGGGTTGCGAATGATGGTATGGCGTGGAGCAATCAGGTTTCAGTAAGAGAACTGAGAATAATACAAAGTGTACAGAGTACAGAAAGAAAATTAGGCACTCAAAACCAGGCCAATGCGAGCTGCATCGACGAGAGAAGGAGAGTGTGAGCGGTGTTTCGTTGGAAGCAAAAAAAAGGGCAATGGAGGGTGGGAAACAAGAGCAAGTAATAAGTTGCTATTTTCTTTTGAGGAACGGAATACTATGGATCGAATAGTATGGCTGAGAAAGAAAAATAAATAGTCCATGCAGAACAGCGAATTCAATGGAGGAAGAATGCACCCGACCAAATCTGGCTTCACGATTGCATTATTTTCCTCGCCTCCTTTTTTTTAATTCGCGGAAACGTAATTTCACACGTCAATAAAGTCGGCTGGGGAGTACTGATACAGTCGGTCTTCCAAGTTCCAAGGGAAAGCGGTTCTGCATGTAAAGCGTTTGGGAGTCAGGCCCAATCGCCTTTGTTCCTGGGCGCAGATTGGGCAGCAATCCCAGGTTGTCGAGATCGCTCTACATTCGCTCCCGTCCATTGGTATTGCATTAGTCAGGGAGCAAATTAAAATAGGCAGATGCAATCTGGTCGACACAAAGATCTTGTGGCCTGTTGGCAGGGCTGCCAACAGGCCATATGTGTGGTTGCCAGGGCAGGGAGTATCCGCTTCGAACACATATCCCTTTGTAAATGGATGAGTTGTAAGCCAGACATGGCGTTAGGAGGGGCCGGAGAAACCTCGCACAAGCCGTTTTTCCTTTTTTTTTTTTATTTTTTTCCCCCTTCCCTTTCGAAATCCTGCAAATTGACCTCAGAAGGGCAAGCCAGGGGTCCAATGAAAAGTTCCTTCGTTGGGCGACAGCAATGCGAGACAAATCAGAGAAAAGTGATGCTGCAGCCTGCAGGCCTTGCCCCATAATTCTTCGAGGGACGTTGCCAGAACCCCGTAGCTCTGAGTCAAATAGAGACAACGGAGACGCAAGGCGTCAATTCTCCCTCCCCAACGGAGATCATCTTGCTCACCGATCCTGTCCCTTACCGCCGCCGTTGCTGCTGCGGTTGATGACGATTCGGCGTTGGCGGGTTGCCGGCGCTGCCTCAAAATCGTCGTTTCGTGCCCAGCCCTAATCCCAATCCGGTGTACGTCATCACGTGCCCAACCGCCGCCAAGCCCCAGCTTCACCCAAATTCACTGACCTCACATCGTGCAGTTGGGTCGGCGCCTGAGGACGACCAGCCATCCATCCCCGACGACGCTTTCCCATACCAGCCCAATTGAGCGTGGTCGAGAAGAACCAGAGACGATGTTCCTCGCCAGGCGGTCGGCTGCCCCGGCGCGGACCTTACTTCGACGTCATCAACCGTTCCGCTCTGCCCACGGTGAGGCCCATCATGCCGAACCAGTGAACGAATATTTCGGCGTGCGTTCTCCCCAAACACACACCCCTTCTCTTGACCTCAGGCTGTCATGTACCCATTTCTATAATCGGCTTAGGCCTTCATCGTTCACCTCCAAGCTGCACACCCAATGCATTGGTTACCCACGCGGCTAACATGTTGTATTCCTTGCTTCCCTGCAGCGCGGCTTCTATCTCGCAATTGCATCCGTGCCCGTCGGCATCGCTATCTACAAATATTCCACGTCAGATTCTAAACACACGCCGTGGATCACCCGCCTCATTGAGGAGTATACCCCCAACGAGAGCCTCTGGGAGAAACGAAATGCTCTCCATACGCTGGCCATGGAGAAGGCTGCTGCCGATCGACATCTGTTCCACAGTCAAAACCCTCCGTTGACCCTTGAGCTTCGCTGTCCTGAGTATGATAACCTTGCCGCATCATCTTTCCCCTTTGCTTTCATCATAGGTTGTCGTTTTATCCCCTTCGTCGAGTGTCTTAGGTATCGCCTCGGTTTCTTTGCCTTGCATTGACGCGCTTTGCTTTCAATCTAGGATTTTTAACTCCGGCTCGCCAATCAACATGCCCGCCGGAAACTCTTCCGGAAATCTACAAGCGGTCGTTGCGCATTACCAGCAGAGACAAAGGGCCCAGGAGGAGAGTAGGGTAGCCCGGATGGAAAACGGAAAAGTCCAGTCGATGTATGATGATGGCAGATACTTTTGAATTGAACGGCGAATTAGATGCATATACTGTATATATTGTGCTCTTAACCCTCGGGTTTGTCTTTTACCGTCTAGTTTGCAGCACCAGGTTTGTGCAGGGGCCAAAGCCAAAACTTGTGACTCAAATTCCTGCACAAAATTCCTGCATGGCGTGCTAGGGGCATCGCTAGAGATCATGCCACTTGCAGATTCCTTATAGGTTTCCAGCAGCACGAAGACAAGGGGCAGCGGATCATTAAGTTCCGCCCATGTATGTACATACATCCATACATACATGCCTCTCTGCATACAGCTCTGTTTCTGCAGCCCAAAACCCAACATGCCGCATACTGAAAATCTAGAATATCTTGATTTAAACTGTGATCTCCAGCACCACCCTCACCACACCTTGGTCCAGAACCATGGTCACCTCTTGCGTGTGCATGTCCTCGCCACCGATTTCTTTCAACGTTTCTAGAAATTCATCCACACCTCCTCCAACTCCGAAGTACACCTTCTTCGCAGCGACGAGAGCTCGTGTCCGCGCTTTGTTTTGGGCAGCCCCGGGTACGGGTCTGGTTCTTCTGCGCAACAACCCCGTCAGCGTCTCTGCGAATGGCCGGAGGTAGGTGGGAGAATATATCGTTTCACTGGCGAGTATAAATGTTTGGTGTGTGTTATTTAGGCTCTTCGCGTTCGATTCGGGGGCTATGAGATCGACAAAGCGAGGTGACCAGCCTCCTGAAATGAAGGAGAGCGATATTCCGCGGGCTGAGAGGTCATGGCGAAAAGAGTCAAGGAGGGCGGAATCGATCTGAAGTTCAGACTCTGACTCCGCTTCGGGATTCTTGCAGCACGTATACCAGGTGAGAAGGATGTTAGGAAGAGTGACGAGACTCAAGACGGCAGCGTTGTAGTCTGCTAAGATGAAGTTGATTTTCCGTGTCTGTTGGGTAGTCTTGGGCGAGCTTTGCAGGAATAATCGTAATAAAAGAAGGGAAGGTATTGCAGTCCCGGCGCCTAGCTGTTTTACAATGTCAAATCATGCTCCCTCTTTTTGCTGGTTAATGTGGCTTGGCCCTCTATATATACCTCTATCAGGTCCAAATCGTCAACCTCATCTTCAAAAGCGGGACCAAGCCTCTCGGCTGCAGTCCTGGCAAGATCAATCGCACTCTCCCATGTCTTGAATCCGCCTTCATACACCGCCGGAGTAATATCGCCGGCTTCTAAACCCGCTATTAACGTCTCATTTGAGTTTGTTTCCGAGTCGGCTTCAGCCATCAGCTGCGCGCGGATGTCAAACACATCGCGGCGTGGTATGGGAATGGGATATGACCATAAAGTGGGGTCCGAGATTGGGAGAGTATTATAAGAGATCTGAGAAGGCAGTGAAGAAAGCTAAATAGCAATTTTGGTCAGAAGCCGAGCCCTCTCTAAACACCAACTGCATTGAAAACACATAGAGCCTAAAGCGGCTGGATGTAGGTTGCACACCGCACGCAAGTTTCCTTCAATGTGTAAATTTTGTCACAGCGGCCGGCGCAAATAGCCATTTCAAGCACCGTACGTGTAGCAAAATGAACCCAGATTAATTCCCTTGCTCCGGTTCCTTTCATTGAATGATGTGAAAAACAGGGTATCAGAGATAAGCAAGCCACAACAATGCACAGATAGCCTCGCGGGATAAACAATAGTCAAAAGCCAAAATAGAAATAAGAAGAGGACACACATACGATATCATCTAGTTCAATCTTCGTGGCCTCTTGAAGTACCGGTGCTGCGTCACTAGAAGCTTGGTGACTAGGCTGGCCTAGATGTTGCAGCTCGTCCTTCACTTCAACATTATTTTCACTTTCGTCAATATCATCGCCGCTGAAACCAAATGAGAATGCTGAGCTCATAGCTACTATTCGTTAATTTTTCGCCGGGCCCTGTCCGGATGCGATTGTAACCCCAGACTGCAGAGCGAAGAGCGAGAGAGAGATTTTGATAGATAGGCTGATAAGATAACAAACCCAAAGATCGGGAGGCCAAAAATCTATGCCAAGAAACCCAGACTTGCCGAAATCGTTTGACGGTAATATTTGATCTCGAATGACGGTGGGCTCCGGAGTACACTACGATGGGATGGTCTGCGCCCTGGTCTCGAGCTTATCAAGGTATTTACTTTTAGACAGAAACACAGTAGCATCGCAACGATATTCTAGCATTCGTCGGAGGGTCATTCTCCGGTCTAATTGCTATTGTAAAATTTAAGCCACCCAACGTATTGGATCATTGTAGCAGAAAATGTAAGCTCTTGTGCCGCCATGTCTATGTATAAAATCGGGCTCCCTCCCAAAATTTTGTAGAAGCATGGGTATAGAAATACCAAGTTAACCGTTGCCAGTGAAAGTTGGTGTCAAGAGCAAACGAGGAAAGAGCATGAATGCTTGTGCAGGATAGGGGATTATTAACCACAGAGGTACTTTTTTGCGGAAGAGGTACTCCGCACCGAAAAGTGAAGAAAGGGTTCAGAAGATCAGGCGTGCCGGGGGAAAGGGGGGTGCTGTCATCAAGTCGTCGTAACATTAGGTAACAATATCGTTTCTAGAAGGGAGGAAAACCAATAAGATTGCAACAGGATTAGGATGCTCGTCCGTTGGCAACGCCGTTAAGTTTATTTAGCTTGGGCGCAACCACGGCTTTCTCGAGCGCCTGGAGTACGTCGGCTTTGAGGTCTTCAGAGTCTTCGACACCGCAGCTAATGCGGACCAGGTCGTCATAAACACCGGCGACTTCACGCTGTTCCTTGGGGATACCGGCATGGGTCATGCTTCCGGGCACTTCCACCAAACTCTCCACGCCACCCAGACTTTCTGCAAGGACAAAGATTTGAGTGGCCTGGCAGAATCTCTCGGCGGCTTCCTGTCCACCTTTGACGCGGAAACTGAGCATGCCACCGCCCATGCCGTCGCGGTGCTGCTTCAAAGCGATGGCGTGGTGAGGATGGGATTTGAGACCGGGATAGTTGACGGAGATGACATGTGGAGATGCCTCGAGGGTTTGAGCAACGGCAGTTGCGTTCTTAGTTGCCTCCCGTGCTCGCAAGTGAAGGGTCTTCAAACCACGGTGGGCAAGCCAGCAGTCGAATGGAGAAGGAACAGCACCGATGGCGTTTTGCAAGAAGGTCAGTCTATTTTTCAGATCTTCAGAGTTGAATGCTGCCACTCCCATCAAGACGTCCTGATTGCATGAGGTTAGCGGCCATCATTATAAATTGACTCCTTCGAAAATCTGGGAACTTACGGAGTGCCCGTTAATGTACTTGGTAACGGAGTGCATGACGATGTCGGCGCCATGGTCTAGAGGATTCTGAATATACGGGCTCAAGAAGGTGTTGTCTACGACAACCAGGATTCCATGCTGGTGAGCAATGGTTGCGACCTTGCGGATGTCTACCAAACCCAGCGTTGGATTGGAAGGGGTCTCGATCCAAATTAACCGGGTCTCATCAGGTCGGATCAGGGTCTCGATATGAGTCTCAATGCAGGGAGAAAATGTGACCTCAACTCCATGTGCTGCGGCAACCTTGGTAAAATAGCGATGGGTACCACCGTAGACATCGGACACTGAAACAACGTGTGATCCAGAGGCAAGCGATTGAAGGATGTTGGCGGTGGCAGCGGATCCGGAGGAGAACGCTAATGCATACCGAGCATGTTCCAATGCAGCGACGGCTTTTTCAAACTGGTCACTGCGAATACGCAACAATAACTTATTAGCAAATGAGAACAACGGGTTTGTTTTTGATCGTGTTGTGCCGGCCACGGGGAAACGGGCACGAGGCGGTTCCAGGCGATGATTGGCTTCACGTACCGGTTCGGGTTTGCACTTCTGGTGTATTCGTATTCTCCGATCGGCCTTCCAACACCAGTCTGGGCGAAAGTGGTGGACAGGGATATCTGCGGGGGAGGGGAAAAGTTAAGTTCGGAGCTTCAAGAATTCCCACACAAAAACTACGCGCAAAAAAGAATTCCTTGCAAAGAACAGAACTGGAGGTAAATCCATACCGGTGCGATGACGGCTCCGGTTGTAGGTTCAATGGGGGCACCGGCATGAACTGCGAGTGTGCCGAAACGATGAACTGGAGATGGCGCTCGTGGAGGGGTCTCGACCGGTTCGTGGTGCGCTGGGCCGCGAACAGGCAGGACAGAGGGGCTGATCGTACCGTCCATGGTAAATTTTTGCAGGCAGAACGAACGGATTTTCTTTTGAAGGAATGCAGAGCAGAATGAAGGGAAAAAAAACGAGATGTGAGACGGAACCACGAAAAAATGATCCCACCTTGGAGAGGAAAGTCGTCGAGTTAAATATGATTTTTATATACTTTCCAGACTCGTTCCCCTCGAACCGGCCGTCCTGGCGACGGGGTCTCGCTCCGTAATCCGTATTTCTGAGACTTGACAAAACCGGTCGATCTTTCGATCGAGACACGTGAGCAGAGGCCGGCCAATGGGAGCTACGGAAGGCTCTTCTGATCGGTCCACTTGACCACTCAGCGCGCGAGGCCATTATTAATCGCTCCCGAAATGGCGGAAGTTTTGTCCAAAATGATGTCATCTGCTATGTAATTTATCCGACTACTTTACGTAATTTTACTCCAGTGCCTTCTACAGCCGGCCTTTTCGGAGAGGCCGCAGTACGAGCAGGTATCACGAAGACGCCATCGACGGCCTTCATGCTGGAAAAGCAATCTGTTAAATTTTGGACCAAGGAGGAGAAGCAACATGGTTTGTAGAACTTCTCTTGCATTATGTTTCATCACCTTCATATGACCTTGTAAGTGGTATGTATCATGCGCATGCGCATGCACAGACCGGGATATCAACCGCCTAGAGGCAGGGAGCTCTCCAAGTTCTCCCCCCGCCGGCCCATTGCACGCACACCGTCATTTGGATTCGTCTCCATTGACCAGACGGCTTCATTGGCCGATCAGTTCCATTTCACGTATTTGGTTGCCCATGAACGGCGTCGTTCGAGGGAAAGGCTTGACAATTGTTCTCTCGGTCCAGGGTTGGGGGGGGGGGGTCGAAGAAGAGAAGACGACTGACCGCTTGCTATTCGTCAAGCCTTCAATTTTGATATTCTCCCCGAGTGGTCTGGGCCACTCGATCTCGTTATCTGGAGCCACGAGCGTTGTTGGGTAGAGTGCATTGCTGGTAGCAAGCCACCACGCTAAGAGCTGAGAGCAAAGAAGTTGGGGTTGTGCGTATCCTGCTAGAATAGTTTTCGTTGTTGTTGTCGTTGGTGTTGGGGAGGAGGGGGAGATTCGAGCAACACTTGTGCTTTTTTAAACTGAAGATATCGTTTGGCCTTGAGCCGTGAAGAATCCCGATTACTTGGCTCTCGTTTCACGACCACCAAGCAACAAGTCCAAGGCCCGCAATTTGCATGGAGCCCTATGATGACAATTAGTCTCAGAGGAATAGAACGGCGGTAGAGAGGAGATCTAGAAATATACAATGATCGAATAAGGCGGTTTTCGCTCTACTGCGGATGAGCCATCTGGCATATCTGGAGCGTTGGGAATCTGGTCATGCCACTCTTCCGCTTCCACTCGAAATCGAACCGTTTCACCTATATCAAAATAAAAAGTGGCACCTTCGCCGTTGTCCCAAACCCAGACTTGATCGGTATAATCGCTGTACCGAATCGTTAGTGGCTAGTAATCGGTGTCTCTGGAAGCTGCTCACAATTTGGCTCCATCAAGCAGGAGACTAGGGGGTATCAGAATATCATTGAAGAACTCGAGGCCGACTTGAGAGCAAAATGTTAGAGGACTTTTTTCTTTTCCCCCCTTTTTTTTTCCCCTTTAGGAAGCGGAACGATCAGGGAGGGCATACTTTTAATTCCTTGCTCCGTGCCACTTGTGATCTTTCCAAGGATAACTTCACCCTTGAAGGGCCTGAAGACTATTAATCGAAATTTAACTGCACATTGTTAGCGATGTCTACCCAGAGCCCATTCTATGTATCAAAGCAAAAAAAAAAATAAAAATAAAAATAAAAATAAAAATAAAAATAAAAAAATAAAAAATAAAAAAAAAATTCCTGTGAGTACCATTGACATTAACAAGCCCTGTGCCGTGTCCGATCAGACCGTCAGAGGATTCTAGGAGGTCATAGAATCCCATACACAGCCCAACATTTTGAATCACCTAAAGCCCATTCGGTACATTTTCAGCCTCTTCCTCGGGACGAGTCATCCGCGTGTATTGATATCATACCTTGTTGGCATATTTCTCGTTTATGTTATCCTCAATGGCGACGGCACTGAGCTTTGAAAAATCTTCAGGAGATATTTGGACGAGATCGGATATAGTCGTCTAGAAGGCCAAGATTAACCAACCGCCTGCACAAAGCTCCGTGGCGATTCCAGGTGCAACATACAAGAATGAACATGGTATATTCCAGTAAAAAAGACGGCAAGGAAAGTAAAATATGAAATGGCTGATAGTGTATCTAGATATACTATGCAGCTCCCACAGTTTTCTTTTTCTTTTTTCCTTTTTTTTATGATTTTTGAATGAGGAAGGTTTTCCAGCTGTTAGAAATAGAATATGAACCAAACCTCTGCCTTGGAGAGAATCTCCAAAATATCAAACAGCGGTATAGGACCAAAGCCGTATGAGAAACCAAACCAATTGGGCAAATATCCCTCCGCTTGGAAATCATGAGCAAACCCACGCAGGCCACTTTTTAGCTGCAAAGAACTTCACCCAGCCTTGTGATTTCGGCGCTAAGCCATTTTAGGCTAGTTATTTGGATCGACCGCGCCAAGTTTCAAGCTTATCTCATGGAATAACAATTATCCACCTTGAAACAAATAATTTCAAGCAAACACGAGCTTCGAGACAAGAGAAGAGGGGGAAGAGAGCGAAAACAAAAAAAAGAGAAAAGAGAGAGAGAGAGAGAAAGAGAAGAAAGAAAGAGGATAAAGCTGATGTCTTGGTGAGCTGAACTAATAATAGTAATCCTCCTCCAAGTCTGGAAAAAGAACAGATCGAGTTTTGGAACAATAGCTCCCCATGGCCATTTGTGCAAGGCAGTATCTCAACACACCCTATTGATATGGCTCCCGGTGGCTTTTCGTTTCCACCTCCTCCTCCTCCACCACCGTCGCCCGCGGCACCGGCCATCAATAGCTTCCAGGGTGCACAACCGCAGAGTTCTCGCGGTCGCGGGGGCCGTGGTGCAGGTTCTCATCACCGAGGCCGGGGGCGAGGCACTGGACACGTCGGTGGTCGAGGGGGCTATATAGCCGGGCCTCCAGCAGCAAATTACGGTCCCCCCCAAAGCTATCCCTATCATGCATCGAATAATCCTCCCTCCCAGTATAATATGCCTGGGGCCCAGCGCCCAGCGACATATCCCGCTCGGGCCTATGGTCAACCGCACGCTACGGCACAGTTCCCACCTCCGCAATCACCTTACGGCTCACCTGTTTCTCCGCAGTTCCCAACACACCATCAGGCTCGCCACCCTCCTCCTCCATCGAGTGGGTATCCGCCTCAGATGCATTCTCCTCTTATCCAGCCGCCTCATGCTCCTGGCCCCGGCCCGCCAGCGGTTATGAGTCCGCCGATGCGCTGGGGCTTCGATCACGCTGGTACCCCGGGAGCATACCCTCCACAGCAGAACTACACACCCGCGCCGCCTCATGCGCAACCGCGACAACCCCATGAACGACAGGGAGGATACAGACAGCAACGCGGATTTAATGCGTCACATGCGTCTGGCCCTTACCCATCTAATGATAAGTCACAGAGTCGAATGAACAAGCGTCCACACTCGGCGGCTTTTACCAGCAAACAAGACGAGACCCGACCTACTGCTCCCCTCCCCGTTCCCAGTTTCGGAAATCCGTTGCCCTCCAAACCACCAGCAGCAGTTGATGCTACACGCAAGCCAAAAAAGAAGCGAAGGAAATACAATCAGCTGGGCTTAACACCCAAGGCTGAGGAACACGAGTCGAGCGAGGACGAGGATGACGTGGATGAGGAGACGAAACTCGCAACACAGATTACGGAGAATGAATTGAAGATTACCTATAGAGGGCGGACCGCGACGCTGCAATCTGCCGCTGAGATTACAGCCTGGATCGAAGAACGTAAGCAGCGGTACCCCACCATAGCAAGGGTAGAAGAGCGGAAGAAGGAGCTACAGGAGAGAAAGCTAGCCAGAGAGGCCAAGAAGGCCGAGCAAGAGGAGCAGAGAAGGCAGCGGGAGGCAGACGCTAGAAAGAGGGGAGAGAGGCGCAAAGCAAAGACCGAAGAACAAAAGCTGGATCCTGCGGATGCTGCGGAGAAAGCGAAGCTGAAAGCAGAGAAGCTCCGGAGGAAGCTCATCAAAGAGGAGAAGAGAGTAGCCAGGGCGGAGGCCGCAGCTGCGAAAGCAAGACGAGCTGCCGAAGCTCTTGCATCTGAAGCTGATGGCGGCACGGCCGAGATGGACGATCCAAGCCCTGGGGCAGTTGTTGTCGCTCACCGGGGTGATAGCCAGGGGCGTGACTCGATGGGCCCTGAAGGCGTTCCGCTCACATATGGCCCAGCATCCCCTTCAAGGGAAACTAAGGATGATATCATTGAAGATCAGTCCGGACAGGCATTTGAAACAGAGCTATCACAACAGCACCGAGATGAAGTGGGCTCTTCTGAAATCACTGCAGAGACCCCTGGTGTAAATGGCGATCGGCATGCTAACCTGGCTGAACGCCAAGCCAAGGCAGATGAATGCGCGGAAGATCTGTCATCAGATATATCATCAGAAACATCAGACACTAGCGACGAGACCACGTCCAGTGGCTCCGATAGTTCGTCGGATGAAGGTGACGATGGCTCCGCCCCTGAAGAGATGACGACGAAGCGAGAGCGACCGGATCGCGTGCCACCACCGCCACGTAAAAGCAGAAACCTGTGCCATCAGTTTGTCAAGACGGGAAAGTGTCGTCGCGGAGAGAATTGCAGATATGTGCATGAGGTTTCTGATAAGCACCGCCTCTTGGGCAAGGAGTCAGGAAGTCAAAGGCCCGGTCTGTTCCAGGCGGTGAGTTCGGTCTTTTTTTAACTTTATTTTTTTTATATTTATTTTTATTTATTATTTTTTTTATTTTATTTTATTTTTTATTTTTTTATTTTTTTTTTTCATATTCTTTAGTTATTTATCTACAATAGCGTCATTGGGGTACGGTTACTGACACATCGCATACGTACAGCTGTTGGGACGACAGCGGGAAGAGGAAGATCAGCGGGTGATGCAAGCCATCTCGTGGCTTGGAGGGGCAGGGGTTCTGGATGAGCCAGAGACGGGTGAGGCAATGCGGGATGGAGGTGATGCGGCCAAAGCAGGAACCGCGGGAGATTGTTAAAGGGTGATCCATGGATCGGAGGGCCGATTCATACATGTAGTACGGACCGTAATCGGAGGGAAGATTCGAGAGCCTGCAAAACTTTCCCCCACGTACAAGTAACAGGCTGGCATCTTGGATATGAGACCGAGACACCCAAGTTTTCGAGTCGAACATCACCCCGGGGGGGGGGGAACCGGCATCTGGAGTGCGGAGTAAAACAGGGTGGGCGGGCATGGAAAAAGCCTGCAACTTTATTATGTAGTAGGCGGACCCAACTATTATTTGACCTGCGGCAGTCACAAGGTACCTAGGTAAACAACACACGCAGAGCAGGCAGGCACACACCCCAGGAGAGGGGGGGAAAAGGGGGAAGGGGGGAAGTTTTCTCGCTAGGAAAGGGAAGAATAAAATAAAATAAAATCAACAAAATAAAATGCAATAATCATTAATACATGATAAGGCCTTCTGGATCGGGCAGGGGCACGGTTTAACGTTGGGGTTCTGGGCTGGTTCGGCCAATCAGCGCATGCATCTTATGTTTGCAAGTCCACAGCGCTATTAAAACAATTGACCAATTAATCTCCGGCACTAGCCCCACCCGTGGTTAACGTTGCGTGGGCCTAACCTAATGCAGCATCGCCATTTCCAGATTTGGCAAGGTGGCGGTAGGCGATCCCTGGTTTCGGCACTTGCGCAAATTGCGGGCGCGGACGGTGGCCCAGTCATCTGCCCGCTCCCTTTTTTCAATTCCTAACTCTCGCCTGCGGATTGCCCTTGTCTCTCTCTCCTCCCTCTCTCTCTCTCTCTCTCTCTCTCTCTTTCCTGCTTGCTCTGTCCTTCGTTCTGAAAAGCGCGTCTCTCCGCTTTTTCTTCTTCTTCTTCCTCCTCCCCCGCCGGCCCGTCTGCTTTTCTCTACTCTCATTGATTTCCTCTTTTTCCTTAATTTTTTTTTTTTTTGGTTACACACATATATCACAACTGTAGATATCACCGTTCGCTTATTTTATATTATCTTTTTCTCTTTTTACATATAACCTTCCCGATTAATATTAATTGCCCTCTGTGATCTGTTCGCCCGTTGATCAATTGCGAACATTCTCTCCAACAAAGTCTCCTTTTTCTTCTTTTTTCTGTAACCAACCGTCTTTCACGCATACGTCTGACAAGATGCGTTCCCCCATTGTCATCGCCCTTGGCGTCCTCGCCGCTGTCGCTGCTGCTGCCCGCGAGAATCCCTTCAATAACCCCAGCGGTGGCTACAGGTTCGCCGCGAACATGCCGACTACATTGAGCTGGGAGCCCACCACCGATGGCACGGTCACCCTGAAGCTTCAGAAGGCTGGTAATATCACCCCTTCCTCTGGAATTACCATTGCCGGTGAGTATCCTGTCTTCCAGGTCCTGTGCCTTTTTTTTTTTTTCTCTACTTTTTTTTTGCTGCCCTGGGATGAGGTTGTCTTCAACGTTTTTGGTGGTGGTGGTGGTGGTGGTGGGAAAAATGACCATACGCTCCAATTGCAATGGCATCTCGAAACTTGTGTGTCCTATGGCCTTTGGGAAATTCGAAAATTGGGACTGTGCGGCATCATGATAGAGAAATGGAATCGCTAACGTCGTAGTCAGCAAACATTCCAAACTCTGGCTCCTATGTCTTTGTTCCCTCTGCGAGCTTGGGCCCCGGTTCCGACTACACCATCGAAATCATCGATGACAACGACCCAGACAATATCAACTTCACTCCTCAATTTTCGATCACCGGTACTACCGGTACCGCGACCGAGTTGACCGGCTCCCCTACCGTCACCGGCTCTGCCAGCGTGACCCCCTCCTCCTCCCCTGCCAGCTCCGAAGCTGACAGCAGCTCCATGATCACCAGCACCGTTTCCTCTGCTAGCACGACTACAACCGTGTCGAGCGATGCTCCTATCACCACCTCCGAGGCTGCCACTTCCAGCTCGCAGCCTACTGCCACGCCTTCCACAACGGACATTGAGGCTATCCCTGATCCCAACGGCGCCGCTGCTTTGAGCTTCCCCGCAGTCTTGTTGTCTGGTGTCCTTGGCTTGATGGCTTTCTTGTAAAAAAAGCATGATGAAACAAACGGCCTGAAACTGAAAGTTTTAGCTTCATGTTTTTGTGTGAATCTTTTTTTGTGAATGAGTGTGTGGATGTGTCACAGAACCACAACCGCTCATGTACATGTCATCACTACATATACTTTTATTTATATTTTTTTTTTCTTTCCCTGTATCTTATTCATAACATAACATTGATCTATTTTGATCTCTTGGTTTGGTAAATCTGAAGACTTTGCTGATGATGTACTTTAATTATTGCTATCTTTGGGGCAATGTGTGCACCTTTGTGACAACAGGCAAATCTCACAGTCGCTCTATGATGTAGTTTTGCATTTGTATCACCAGGCCCATATGCACAGATGTATCAATGCGCTGTCAGTGCTTCTGCGGCATAACCAGTCTACCAAAGTGACCACAGCTACGCTGTCACACCCTTTCAAAAACAAGGTTGGAGCTCTCGTATTCTCCTACAACGATCAATTCCCATCTACTTCCCACCCTTCCTTTTCGCGTCCCTGAATGCCTTTGCTCGTCTCGCGCTTCTCGTCTTTGGCCTTCCTCTGCTTTTCGTCTTCACTTTAAACTCTGGAAGACTCCCATTTTTACCCTCCGTCGCTCGGTAGCCTTCGAAAACAAACGGCGCTGTCGACTCTGATCCCTTGTTTTTCTCCGCCTTGGCCGACGCACGCAGCTGCGCCGCACCCGCACGGCCGAGAAGCTTCGCCGCGCGACCTTTCAAGCTCGGATTGGGTCTCCCGAGGCCCATCCTGTTCGGATTGGTGCTCGTGGAGTCGTTTCGCTTCTTTGCCGTCCGTTTCGCGCGCACGACGCGGAGTTTGCGCGGGAGCATCGGGGGGAATTTTTTCCCGTCGAGAAGTAATGCTGCCTCCACGCCGTTCTGGTCGTGGAACTGGATGTACGCGAACCCCTTGCCGACGCGCGTGGATGGGTCGCGGACGACCCGGACGGACTCGACGCGCCCGGCGTTCTCGTTGAAGGTACGCCAGAGACCCTCTTCGACGTCCGAAGGGGTTGCGGATTTCTTTCTCTTCTTCTCCTGATCGTCGGTCGAGGCGGCTGCTTCTTCGTCTACGAAACCCAGGTTTCCCACGAAGACGCAGCGTTTATGATCGATCGGTGCCGGGTGGGCGATGCTGTCGACACGAAGATGGCGGTCGAGGACGGTTGTCCCGTTGAGACTGAGAGCTTTTCTTGCGGCTGCGGCCGTGGTGTAGACGACGTAGGCGTTTGTGCTGCGGGTTGTAGAGTCCATGAGATCCTTCTTGGCAAAGGCTGCTCGCTTCGGAACCGCTGCCGTCGCAAATGCGGTGGAGCGGAAGCGGATCGACTCGATCTTGTGTGGTGTAGAGGACTCGGGAAGCGAGGGGAAGAAGGACGAGAGGTGGGCGAGGAGAGCCTTTTTGGAAGATTTGGATTTTATAGCTTCGCTCGACACGTTGCCGAGGAATACTGTCCGGTTGGATTTCTCTAAGGCGGCTGCCTCTGCGGTGTTGGCGAGGGATTCATGGACAGGCGGTGGGCCTTCGTCTTCCTGATCGGATTCACTCTCTTCATCATCTTTTTGCTCGTCTGGACCAGAGCTTCCGGCTTCAGAGTCGGCAGCAGGACTTTCGTCCGTTCTCTGTCTCTTCTCGTTCTTTGCTGCAGCTCGTTTTTTCCGGTCCTTTTCTTCCTCCTTGGCTATTTTCCTCATGTATGATTCTTCCAGATCGTCCTCTGCTTCATGCCTCTTTCGCTTCCGGGACTTTTCGGTTCTATCTGGTTTTGCATCCTTTTCTTTTTCTTCTTCTTCTTCTTCTTCTTCTTCTTCTTCGTCTTCTTCGTCGTCGTTGACTCTTTCAGCGCCTGCATCCGGCATTTCTTCATCGCCGTCAGCAAGCTCTGCCTCTCCATCACTGCCATGCTCTTCGGCGGGTTCCTCGCGTCTGTGAGTGGACAATTGCTCTCTGGACTTTACGATTTCCGGAGATTTCACAGGGCCGGCCTGGAGTAAACAAGCGCTTGAATTAGTGATGATTCTCTTTTGACCATCATTCGAGTGGAGTAGCCAAAAGCACGATGGCTCATTCTACAATAGGGCTAGCATTCACTCACGCTGTTTGCAAACAACGACGCCAGCGCGGGATCAACGGCGGTCGCATCCTTAGTTCCAAACAAGAGCGAAAAACCGGTGTTGTTCGTTGTTGCTCCTGGGGCCGCATTGCTGGCTGCGGCCTCTTCTTTGGCCTTTGACCTGGATTTCTTTCCCATTGCTGCTGAAATTCTCCCTCACTATCTGCGATGTTTCTCTGGCGTATCTTGAGGGCGGGCGTCAACATCAACAAATCGCATGAAGCTCAAAATTTCCGCGCTCCGAAATCTTGGCGCAACCGTCCGCCCGCCTGAGTTTATCACGTGATATCTAATTGTCACCTGAATCAGATAACCAAAAAAAAAAAAAAAAAAAAAAAAAAGAAAGGAAGTGTCCGCCACCAAATTGGAACGAAAGAGACAGTATAAAGTCTTGATAGAAGCCGGAGGGGTAGTTCATCTAAAAGGAGACTGGAAGGCTCTTATAGGACACACAGTCCCCAAGCATCGGATGCGGAAAGCCTACTTTCTTGCAGCACCAACGCATCGCCGGGGAGGCCACCAGAGACAGCCTTTCATCTGACAACTACAGGGTCCATATGTCCACAATGCTAGTAATGTCATTATGGCTACTATACTCCGTATGGGACATTGGGGATTAAGTGAAGCTAGCTCCGGATCGCATACATATACCTGTAAGATTCAAATGAGCTTTGCTGAATGCTAGAGCTGATGGAATAGAGTGCTCTCTCGAAAAGTTCCAGAAAAATATCCATGGGCTATTCATCTCCCGCTTCCCGCCGGCTGTGCTCATTGCAAGCTTTTCGTCCGCATCCTTTAAGCTGGTATCGTCGCCTCGATGCTGGCTGAGCGGACGATCCTGCGCAACAAAGGCGGTCAGACGAGCCGAGCCAGCGATTGGCTGCAGTCCTCCGAGCTCGAGCGCGGCAGTATTTTTGCTAGTGGAAAAGTACCGTAATTTAAAGTTACCGCTGGCCGCGCAGAAGAGTAGGATGGTACCGTAACTTTCTCGGTAGACTTACGGGGAGATTTCCGTCTTGTGGCTGAGGATGCCGATCGCTCTGACCAAAATCTGAGCTCGACTGTGTAAAATTACCGTCACCCTGTGCCAAGCGAGGTCATGATGGAAACAAATCACCCGCATGCCACCAATACAGTACGGAGCATCGGTCGGTATCACCTGGTTCCCCAGAGTGCTTCACTCTCTTCTCTCACTTCTCTCTCTCATTGCAAGCCAGCCTCTTTCAACGCAACTTTTCTGAAAATTCTCTTTGCCTCTGCGGTCCTCCTGGCCACTACCGAAAGTCCGGCCTACAAGCTCTTCTCTTGCCGATCGCCTCCTTCGCCTTTCTCTTCTCTCCCCGTCGCTCTGAAGGCCCGCTTTCCACCCATCCCCCGCGGCCCTGTTGCGAATGAGGCCTCCTTCCGTTTTCTACGATCAAGTGCATTAATAGGCGTTTTGATCACCCCGTTAGACTATCGGAATCGTCATTTGTATTCTTTTTCGAACGCCTTCATCGTTTTCCTCCCTGTTGACGTGTCGATCGCCCTGGACACAACTCAATCTCCATCAGCTACGCGCGCCCGTGGAGCGCAACATCGTGCAAGGTACGTTGGCCCAGGGCTAGCTCGCAACCTGTGTTGGAACGTGCTACGCCTTCTTTTCATGGTGTAAAAATACTGGAACCGTTGATGAATTTCGACCTTTTCGCTCGGTCTTTTCAACTTTTTCACAAGGCTAGCACAGCGGCTGGCGTTCGTCAACGGATACAGTAGTCTTACCAATCTCCCTCAAATAGACCTTTCTTATGGATTTTATTTGCAGATATACCTGCAGCCCATCTTTTTCTCGTTCGGTTGTTGTTAACTTGAGCTTTGCTAACCCGTTTGCTCTCTGACCAAAGTTTCACCTCCACAGCCCGGAGACCTTTCAGACCTTTACCTCTTCTCACCATACGCTTTACTGCCTTGCTATAAAATTCTTCAAGCGTGATATTCTCCATTATCTACGAAGTCGATGGAGCCCCCGGATTCAGCTGGCCCCGAGCCACGGTTGGCGTCCGGTCCAGTTCCCCCCATAATACCGGACGGCCTTCTTTCAGATGATATTCATGATGATGAGAGGTCCAGCAGTCTGAGCGATATCGATGAACGCCTAGATCACCTTGAGGATATGTCCCCGAAACAAGAAAAGCCTGCCAACGAGGTTGACTCCGAAGCGGAAACTGAGCGCATCGAAGATTCTCCAAGCCGCCTTCGAAGCCACACAAGCATCGTATTGAGCGCGGGGGCGTACGGGACGAGCCCGAGTAAGCTCGCGCAATCGACCACCTATGAAGATCTCGATGAAGATGACATCAACGAGGCCGAAAATTCTCCAAGTAAACCCCCGCGAGATACGAGAATTAACGGCGTCTCGAATGCTTCTAAGGAAGTTGAAGAAGGTACGGTGAACTCACAGTCCGCGCCGCAAGAAGCGATTGGTAAAAAGAGAAAACGCGGGGCTTCTGTTGATGAAGAAGAGGATATGGATGATGAGGAGCCGTTACGAAAGCGCCGTGGCTCTCCCTCTGGCGATAGAACCGTAATTGAAACTGAACAGGAAAGTGCAGATACGAATGCGCCTGAAATGGAGCCAAAGAAGAATGAGGCTTCATCCAACGACGAAGTTTCGCCTGTCAATGAAGACCTGGCGGAGGATTCCCGCCCTTCAACTTTCCGAGGAAGGAAAGGCAAAAAGGGGAAACGAAAAGCAAAGAAAACTAAGGACACTTATGACGATATGGGAGAAAATATACCAGGGGAGGGCAACCAGGTAAACGGAGACGAGCAGTTACAAGAGGACGAAGAAAATGGGGACGGTGCCGATGGGGCGGATGATCCCGAAGCAGCATTGAAACTAGAAGAGTGTAAGTATCTTTTTATTTTTTATTTTTTATTTTTATTTTTTTCTTTCGCCCGGTAACTGTCCCTGCATAAAACTAAATGCAACTAGCAATGAAAAAAACGACCGCCATGGATGTGCTGCTCAGTCTGGAAAGGCAATTTGCCTCTTTGCGTGACAAGTAAGCTTCGTTCCCCTCGTTTTAATGTGACGTTGATGCTGATTCAATCTAGGATCTATGACGACCGAATCGCTAGTATAAACGAGGAACTGGCTCAGCTCGAAAAGCCGAACCCAACTCACCCTGAATTCCTCCGCCAGCTCCGGATAATCGAGAACTATCGCGATGAGAAGATGAAAATCGATGAAAAGCTGTTTGCATATAAAATGAGATCCCTGTGCATCAAGAGCCAAGCTGAGCGGAGTCAAGTAAACAGCTCGTACTACCAGAATGTTCGCGACATCCGTGAACGATACCTTCAAGAAATCTCCGAGCATCATTACCGAGTGCAACACGACCGTTTTCAGACAAGCGAAATCAGTGCCGATTATGGCATTCCATTTCCGTCTCGGCGGTCACAGCAAGCAGCGCAGCAGGCTGCATATAGTATGGAAGTTAGTATCTTGGCGGGGACAGCGAAATATGTTGGTTTTCCATCCGCTCCTGAGATGAAGGGTTTGCAGCGTAATGAGATTGAAGAAGATTTTGCGAAGTTGGGGGTATGTCATCACTTATAATTATGAAAACCCGATATATTGGGAGATGCTAACGCTTGGAAATTTAGATATCTCTGAGGCGCACGAATCCGAATCCGTTGCCCCATGCTCCTTTGTCACAACACCATGATTACGTACCAATGTCATCTGTCGCAGCCACACGGCAGGCAGCGGAAGAAGAGTTCCTTGAGCAGACGCCATGGGCAAATCCGCAGCATCCCATTCATGAACAATATCGGCAACAGATGCATCAAGAGAGGGTGTCAGATCATCAAAGGTTTCCGAACTCCTTTTCTACCCCAGCGGCCCAACAACGGGTAGTGGATCTGAATGCGCCGAACGGTTCTGCGTCAACCATCCCAGAGCATCCGTCGGCTCCTAACTCTTCTGCTGCTAACACACCATACGACTATGACCGCTCCCGTCGAAATCCTGGAATACCCACACCAGTTGCTGATCCGCCCAACAGCCGCTATCCCGAAAGTGATGACATGCATGGACCGTCGGCTTTTCGATCTCTATCTTCGTCACCTCTAGATGTGCGCAGACCTCACCCACAGAAAGCTCTGCCGAAGCACGAACTTGGGCGACGCTCCCCTGGCCCGCCTGTGGAGCCAATGGGTCCACCAAGTTCCGTGCGAGATATCCCATATTCCCCTTCATCATCAACTATACGCGCTGGCCGGTTTGGAATAGCTTCAAGAGGAGATCAGCCATCTTCCCCAACCTCTGCAGCACGTCAAAAGCCACAATCATTTGGCTCAATGCATCAGAATGCTGGTATTGCTGCTGGAAGTTCCGAGAGAAGTCGGGTAACAAACCCATAAAATTCAGAGGGGTGAATTTCAGTGTTACTCAATACCTGGGCCTTGATTATACTCTTTTCCCGCCCCCGTCAAGGTCAAATTTGCAGACGTTTTTTTGGTAATGCATATGGGGCAGAGTCATCATGATGATTTGCTTTTTACGTTGGTGGCTGTGCCCTCTTTTGTTCAGCGTTAGAAATCGTCTCCTACTACATTCAGGGGGCCTTCAACCGGTGTAACGACCTTTACCTTTTTTTTTCTTTTTTTTTTTTTTTTCTTGGGGAGAAACTATCGGAGCTCGGAGTTTCACTTGTTTCAAGGGGCTTTATTCTGTTCTTATAACTGCATTTCTTCTCGGTGTTGGCCGCTTTTTGCTCCTCTCATTCAATTCTTATGCACTGGTTGGGATCATGGAAAAGGGGCCATTTAGTGGAAGTTCATCCTGCTTTGGGGCATTTTGTTCTTGCCATTGGCGGCATACGGGTGTTGATATGCGTCGGAGTATCCCAGAGGGACGCACATTCATGTGTACATAATAATTCTTGGTGTAATCCGATGCGATTTTGTCAGTGTCTCCCTAACAAAAGCCATACCAGTTTTGACAAGACTCCTTTAGTGCTCTAAGCACCTGTCAAGGTTGCATAAAGTCCGATAAACTGATTCCCAGTGAGTGGCGTGATGTATGTACACAAGACAAGATTCGTACAGAGTATGAATACAATAAAGAAAATGAAGTGACAGATGGGGCTGCCGGCTATCGCGTCTACCGAGAGGGGTGGGCTGGATGGTAGCGCCAGTTCTCGCTTGCCCACGGTTTCCATTTCTTAAGAAATAAGCAGAATTCCGCAATTCATGAAATTTCCGTGTAAAACGCCTCATAAATAAGTAACTCCGGGACCGTCAAATGCTAAATTGTCGCAGCCAAAATGGGAGTAGGAAAGGGTTAGGGAAGAAAACGGTTTGCGAGGATGGTGTCTATGAATTTTGCGACTGTTTGTTCGGCTGTTTAGGCGCATCGGGGACCTTAACGTCCGAGAAATCATCTTGTCCGACAGCATTGATTGTGAAAGCATCTAATATAGAATGGGGCAGCGATTAGCCAAACTGAAATGGAAGCGCCCACGAGGGCGAGCGTGACAGGGTAATTGAAGAGTGTGCTGGTTTGGCAGAGCAGATCCTCGCCATTCCCACATACAGACGCTAATGCAGAAGCCGAAAAGGACAACGCCCGTCAATGCATTCTTCACGAGATATGGTCGGCGAGCACGGAGGAGGGCGGCCCCCGCGCGGTAATCTTTATCGTAGTAGCTAGACCGGAAGCTGGAGATATAAGGTCAGCATTTGTGTCACAAAGGAAATAGTTTATATGCAAGACGTACAGAGACATTTTGGCGCCGTCTTTATCAACCTGAAGTGTGAGACCCTTGTGATGTCCTGCGGCGGGTCTACGACGGTTGAGCTTCAATTTTGGACTGACCGACCTTAGTCAGCTTCCGACGAACTCCGGATCAAATAGTTATTCCGAGAACCGGCGAAAACCATGCCAAGAATTCTTTACGTCACGTGAGTTACAATAATGCGCTAAACCTGATGCGGACTGAAATCGATCGGGGGCCAAGAACGGACCAATTAGCGGGCGGAAAGCCTGTCTTCCGCCGTCTTTGCTCTCGCGTTCGCTGCAGCTTCAGCCATATAGACAAGAGCATCGAAGAGCTCCCACTCTCCGCCATAGATCGCTATCCGGATCGTAAGCTTCTGGTCTTTTACTCCCGCTTTCTTCTCCTCTGAAGCCGCCCGTCGTACCCCCTTTTCCTAGCTCCGGTTACCTCCAGCCTTCCTCATGCTCGATGGCGCCTCACTTCTGAAACGTTCAGTTAGGCTGTTCCCGGGTATTTCCATCCTTCAATTCGACGAAATCTCTGTAAAATATTGAAAGCTATCCTGGCTTTCACTCCAGCAATCACCGTTCCTGCTCCGTCATCGATTCTCTGTCCGGCACAGTGCCACCCCGACACCATGGCCTTGCCGGTGAGTAGTCTAGTGGAGCAAATGTCCCAGCTGGACGCGGCGCGAAATCTCGTTCTCGGTGACGCTGCTCTCTATCCCCAAATTGTCCACGGAATAATTCCTATAATTGGCCCCAATTCACGTCTAGAATTGCGACGATGGGGTGCCGAATTTCTCGCAGAGACATTTGCAAGCCCCGCGTTTCCTCAGCCAGCAAAGCAGAAGCTTGCTACCGAAGTCCTTGCGACGATACAGGATCTGTTGAGTATATCGATGGAAGATACTGCAGTGCTGAAAGGAGCTATCCAGGCCTCAGCTAGTGTTTACTCGCTGGTTTTTAGGTATATGTATGTTCAACCTCCTCAGTCTCCCCCCGCCCCCCCTTCCCAACAACATGCAAGCTTCTGAGGGCTGTGTGCATCGTGGCATGCTCCCACGACGTGGGATGCAACAAACTTCCCAAATTGGCTACAGCCATCGTTCAAAGTAGAATTAGGTTCTGATCGATTGTATTCTGCGTCAACAGCATTGATCACCCTGAAGATTCCACCCTGTGGGAAAGGATGACAGCTATCAAGCACGCTATCCTAAGGAAGTGGGATGCCACTTCTCCTGGCGTCAAAATTTGCTGTATCAAATTTGCGCAAAGAGTCGTGCAAGCTCAAACACAGGGAGTTATCTCTGATCCAAGGGTGAGTGCCACGTCGGATCCGCAAACGTCTGTAGCTAGGGAAGTACTAATAAGCGTTTCCGCGCAGCGTCCTGAGAAAAATGAAATCTCACTGGCGATTGTTCCAAAGAACCATCCTCTCATTCCTATTCCTAACCTCGAGGCGGAAGCATCGGGCCTTCTTGATAGACTTCTGAATGTCTTTCATGAGAATTCGAGGTACGTTATCATTCTAATCCCTCTTGCCTCATGTTGTTGACACTCCGCAGTGACCCTCTTCTTGTAAATGCAACTTTGAATTCTCTTGCAGTGTTGATTCGTATGCGTCCGTCCATCTCAAACAAGATTATCAATGCCATCCTGAGCTTCAACCCGCTCAAACAAGCAAATGCACCCATGACGCCAACTGCCAGAGTAAACATCAAATCAATGGAACGGACAACTAGAGCGTTGTTAATCAATTTGTTGAAGAGGTGTGTAATACGCCTGCCCTGGACGATCCGCTTGTACTAACAAGCCGTGTCGTAGAAACCCGAGCAATCCTCTGGCAGGCCGTATTCAACAGTACATTGAACGAATGGCACAGTCTCGTAATGAGATATTCGAAGAAGCAACGCGCAAGAGAGCACTTCCCACGGAGCCAACGGACTTGGTTGATAGTGCCAAACGAGCAAGATTGGGCGTCAACACCCCGCCACAATTGAAAATTCCACCATTGCCTCCGGGCCCGACTAGCTTTGCCCAGCTCTTTACTTTGACAGAGGACGCTGGCCTAACTTCGTTTGATGTTAAACAATTGCCGCTGGACTTACTTGTTAAGATCACGGTGCCAATTCTAAATCGCATAGACGCGGAGGCTTTGGATCAAGCCATTGGTGTAAGCAGCCTCCCTCCTTTATTGCCATTGTTTCTGCTTTCTTGCCGCTTCATGGCTTAATACGACTTCTAGGCCGTTCGAAATCGCCATCTCACACTTTGCAAGAAACAAGTTTTCGAGCATCAGGCACAGGCACAACAGGTACAACCATCTGCTGAAGAGGAAGAGGATGAGTACGAGCCCGAATATGAGCCTATGGATATTCCTGCAGTTCCTGTATCACAAACGCTGCAAACTGAACCAGAAGGAGCTGGGGCTGCAGAAATCCCTCCCGATCTTATGACACTAGGGCCATTCGTACTTCCACAACCCCTTCCACTGTCCGAAACGGAGGCTGCCGAAGTGGGCAAGGAGGCCGTCCAAAGAGTGTTTAACATGGCCTCGACTCTCGACCAACCTTCTAAAACAGCTAAAGACTCAGGGCAAACTCTGGGATTTGGAAGACTCGCTGCGAGCTCGTTTGATCGAGATTCCTGGCTAACCTTACTAACGCGTTTGGCAACTCGGGCATCCGCTGGTTTAGAAGCAGATGTTGAAGAAGAAGTAAAGCAGATCGAGAACGGTAATAAACAAGTTGTGAACCCACTCCAGCGACCTTCACTGGGGAACGGGATCAGGGAGTTGCTATACCGATATGTTTTGGAAGATTTTCGGGTGCGGCTCAATGTTGCGATATCCTGGATGAATGAAGAATGGTACAATTATCGAGTACAGTTAAAGTACGCCGCACAGCAAAATGGTGATGGTTTGAACGGTGTGTCAGTATCAAGTCACTACGATTATTGGGTGATGAGGCTTCTGGAGGGCATCCTGCCGTATCTTGACGCCAGGGATAAGATTCTTATAAGGTTTTTAAGCGAGCTACCTGAGTTAAATCGCGCTTTGATCAAAAAGGTGGAGACGTTGGCGAATGATCCGGAGAGAGTCAACCTGTGTGTTCAAGCGCTGCAGTACGCCTCCTTCAAAGTGCCCTAATTATTTGGGATCCGACGCTGATATACGTTAGCTACCTTGTTCTTGTACGTCCTCCGGCGAAAGAATTATGTCTGGATGCTCTGGAGGATCTGTATAAGACTGGTAAGTCATAGTTCATGCCCAAAACGCGCAACCACTACATATCCTAATCCGTATTCCAAACAGTAGAAGAAGCTCGCCCTTTGATAACCAAAATCCTCCTCAAGTTTCGCCCCGAAGTCCTTCCGGAACAGCCGAAACAGCTGACGGACAATACCAAACCACAGGGGCAACCACAGTCAACCCGTGATAGTGGCACTGAACCGGGAAACACCCCCCGAAATTCAGTCTCTGGATATTCATCACCCGGAAAGGTTGAAGGCAATGCTACCCCATCTATTCCCCAGCAGAATGGACAAGCTTTAGAGCCAGGGAAAGGGAACATTCCAGTTGATCAGAGTGTTACAGCCACTGGATGAAAATGCAGCAACCCACACTCCTTGATTCCTTTCCTAAAGTTGCATTTCGGGCTCATATTCTGCTGTTGAAGCTCTAGATTTCACGAGAGTTCGTTTTCTGTTCCATTTCATACCCTGACCTCAGACATTCATACCCACATGAATTTTATTTTCTACAAGAGTACACAAAGATGCTCCTACCTGGTTTGTATTGAGTTTGTTTTTATCTGTGTTCTCCCCCCTTCTGACCATGCGGTCTAGCTTAACAATTCTGATATCTAGTCAATGGACAAGGGTGAAATGGCATTGGTTGGGTATATGCGAGTCTATACGGAGTACTCTACGGAGCACAAAGTATTGATATAGAGACCACACAATCAACGGATAAATCACATGTAAAATAGGCTTTCTGAATTAACAGCGGCTCAAAAAGCCAACGGTAATAAAGCTATATGTGACCATAAAGGCATGTATTCTAAGATCTACACTAATTAAGGAAGAAGCATACCAAGAAAAAGGACCCCCATGCATATATGCCCACCAAGTAGAGTACAAAAGAGAAGAAATGGAAGAACCGTTTTACTCCGTCCTCAATACCCGCCGTCCTCTTCTTTTTAAGCTGGCTGCTTTCTTTTTCTTATGCCCCTTTTCAAACGCCACAGCACTGTTGTGATCACGGCCTACGTTATCTAGGTCTTTGACTTTGTAAATTCGGATAATCCAGTTCTCACTTGTGAATGCTTCCTCAAGGGTCGTTAACTGAGGCCCTTGGGATGGAAGACGGGCGCCGCGAACGCGATCCTGCCCTTGCCCACCTGGGAAAAGAGCATTGACATTATAGTAGCAGAGTTTGTACCTTATTTAGATTAGCTCAAGTGTGATAAGGCAAAGTTATAGGGAGTAGAGGCACTTACATGAGACTGTTGCGCATTGTAGGAGTGGCTTGGTCGTCGACTCTGTATTCGCCACGGTCCGTGAAGAAATCCCGTTCTTTGACCTCCTCTGGCCATAAACCCTCCGCAATCCGAACCATCCAGAGAAATTTGTTGATATCATCTCCAGAATAGCCGATCAGGCCGCCGTACACAACTAGTACGTAGTCGACATCGTGTTGACGAAGGATTGGGTAGCTGACTTCTTCGCGTGAACTTAATGCTTTCCCAACCGTGGCAATATGTGTGTTATTCCAAGTGTTGTTATCGACAAGGGTAGGACGGTCCGCCATTCCGCCAATTTGGTAGCCGTAATCCCACCATGACATGATCTTTGCATTTTTGGGGGTGTTTTGGCGAAGCCAGTAATAAGCCTCGCGATAATCGTCAATGATGTACTGGCTTCCGTCGGGAAGTTTGCTTGCGAGAACGACAGACGGAGAAGAATATGCCATGGACGTAACCCACGTACAATGAGCAACAAATAGCAGTAGATAAACTACAAATGAACCAGCAACCAGTGCTTTGGAGACGCTCGAATATACTCCGACAACTCGCTTGCGAGTAGATCGTGGGCTGCTCTGAGAGACTTTCTCATTTGCCTGTTTGGCTTGTGCATCTGGGTCAGGAGAACCAAGTCGAAGGTACGTCTCAAGAATATGAGAAACGACCAAGGCAGAAGCAACACATACAACTGGCGTCAGTGTTAACATTAGTCGTACCATGACACCAGCAAAATAGCTGGCGAGAACAGCGTAGATAATGACGAAAACATGCTCATCCTTCAGTTTATTGAAGCACATGTAGACCCCAGCGGGGAAAAGCCAAATGAGCATACTAAGGTCAAAGAAAAATGCTGGCCAAGCTGTCGGTTGATGCTCTGAGACAGAAGCGATAATGGGAATATGAACCTTGGCATATCCGGTATCCCAAAGAGAGTAGAACCGGCCACTCCAAGGTGCAATGACTCCGGTTACTGTGAGCAGAACTAAGCCGAGGAAAGCGACACCGAATATTACGAGGACCAACGTGGTGAGGACAGTTTGAAATTGTTTTCCAGGGACTTGGCTCCGGAGGAATTCCACGAAAGAGACGAGCTGAAGAAGCCCGAAGATGCCTAGCAAAAAAAAAAAAAAAAGGAAAATAAATGTCAGTTTTCGGTTTGGTACGAAAATGGTTCTCTTGTTACTAACCCAAGGCCGCCATATGGTCACTGTTTCGGATCGGAAGAAAGCCAACGAAGGGAATCTGCATGCTGGCCAAAGTTCCCAGGGCATACCATGTGGTATAGCTAATGTAGAGACGGGAACTGTAGCGCCCCATACAGATCAGGACAAAAGCATGCAGAGGGATCAAGTTCGTGATGAAGACGTATCCACCCCATGCTGAAACCATGTAGCCGTAGAATAAGGCGGTCAAAGCACCCCACATGATTGATCCATTCTTCAAAGCCTTTATCCAGAGGAAAAAGGTAAAGATCAAGAGGAAAATAGCAATGGCCTCATTGTCATAACTTCCGGCGACAGATCTGGAGATGTATCCGGGGGCGATGCCAATGAATGCTGCAGCAAGGAGCCCAGCAGACGGTGAAACAGACATCTCCGACGTAAGTAGATACATTGCCAGAGCCGTTAGGCCTGAAAAGGCCGGCGCAAGAAGAACGCAAATGTTACGAATATCGACCGGGAGGGAAAGAAACCGAAGTAGATGGTAAATAGCACCACTGGTTACCATCAATCCAGGATATAACGTGCCGCCGGTGACACGCCCAAGAGGGTGCCATGTTCCTATGATTAAGAGGGTTAGGCATCGTACTGGAAACCAAAGTACGCTCTGTCGGGGAGAGCCTTTCTAGCGAGAGGGGAGCTCACGGTCGTCAAACCAATCCCAAAAGCTGTAGAATCCATGCTTAACCAGATATTTTGTTGCCCTAAAATTAAACCACGGGTCGACTACTCTGGTCAGCAACGGCAGGAGAAGATATATGCGCGGAAATTCGGGATAAGATTTCTTCGGAGAATAGTCATACATTCGTGAATGATACTTTCGAATCCTATGTGGAGGTGGTTAGCAAAACGGATAGGCCAAAAAATTGAGTGCCTAGGGGCAAATCTAAGTATCTCCTTACTTATTACGCTGAATAACCTGCTGGAAATTGCTGCTGCTGCAATAAACGCCAATATGATCACCCGAAGCAGGCCACGCGTGTTTGAGCTTGTGGTTCCCTTGAGCAAAGGGTTGACAGCGGTAGCGGCCATTTCGGCCGGAAAGGAGAGGAAGACAAGGCGAGAGAAGAAGCGACTTAGCGAGCGCTGTACAATATATAGCCAGCCCTCCAGCAATTGCCCTTATTCCATTAAGAAGCAAGCCGTCTTTCCGCTTCTCCTGGTCGTCTTGGATGAAGCTTCGTGTTCTCAAGTCGGCCGGGAGGCTTGGCGTTGTCATATCCGCGCTTATGTAACCAACGAGCTTAACTAAGTTACTGGCATCGCAGCAGAGGCTTCCCCCACACCTGTCATCGAGCTTCAACCCTCCGTGCAAATACTCTTTGCTTTGCGGACAACAGTCGAGCTGCAGGGAACCTGAAAAGAGCCTCCAGAGCCTTTGGATATTGAACAGTGGGGACAATACCCACCCGCCAAAAAATGTCAACCGCTCCCCAAACGTTAGAGGAGCTTAGCCATGTCTTGACCTCAGCCCCCTCTGCTGCCGCTCTTCTCCAGGCTCTCATGGACGCTGAGGGAGAAATTAGCTTACGGTTTGGTGAGACGCATGTGCCTAGTGACACAGAGTTCCTGCGGACGTACTATTCGGCTTATTTCTACGCGCTCCTCTTGCGGGACGAAATGTAGGCCCTGGCGCAATTGAGAGCCACTCACTTCCGCTGCTAACTGAATATACAGTAATGAAGCGCGTATGTTGATGCAGAGGATACCGCAGAGTCTAATAAGCGCAGATGTCGTTTTGCAGAATACATTGACTTTGCTGCGAGCAGTCTGGAACAAACGGCATGCTACGGTCTACCAAGTACTGAGAGAGTCAGCCTGGCCGGATATGCTTCAGCCTCTGGCCGAAACTTATGTCGGTGAGTTCGGGCTCGCTATCTTTTCTGGAAAAATTTCATGACTGATCTCCCTTGCAGCTTACTTCCGTGACAAGACACTGGGCGAGCTCAGCATCACTTACGGAGCCATCCGACCTGAGACCGCGGCTTTATACCTCGGCTTCAATCTTAGCTCAGCGGAAAATGACGCAATGGGAGATATTCCAGATTCGGCCACTTCAGAATTGATTGCAGCCTTAGTGGAAAAAGCGTGGGAGTATGATTCGGATACAAAGCTATTGAAGCCGGTGCCCCGTCCCGTCTCTGGCGGCACTGAGTTAGACCAAGTCAAAATTGGGAAACTGGCGGCGCTTTTGGGGAATTATGGCGGATGAGCCATGGATTTGTGTGGATATTCATTCAATGAAAGAAGGGGGCATGAATCGTACGAGGCACGTGCCTCCGATCCTTTGCCAACAACGGCATCTTACATTATCGGGCAATATGCGAGAGGGAAAGCCGATTGCCGCGAAACCAATTGCCGTGTTGTAGACCACTGGTTTGCCGGCAATTGGGCTCTTGTTCTAGAGGGAAGAGACAATCGCTTCACTGACACCAGATCAACAACAATGCGACCTGTAAGTCAGGCGCACGGTATTAAGAGATACCCAATGATATGTACAACAGAAAAATGAAATCTATTGATCTGGTACCCCTTTTTGTCAGTCCAAGGAGGAGATCTTTAAATGATACAAATAGTACAAAATGGATATTCTCTCCGCCTGCAAATTGACGTCAGGCCGATCAGAATTGCTGTGATATCCGCCCCGGATTCATCCGCTGGTTCCTTTGCGCGTTTCATCTCAAACCTCATCGACATTCAAGTTCGCACCTCTGCTCTATTTTTCACCAGCTTTCATCTTCAAGAAGGCTTCTAGATCGAATCTTGCATCATCCGGATCCGTAATCACTACATAACCGAATCCCAGTTAGTAGGTTATCAGTTTTCAGGGTCTGTAAAGTAGAATCGAGAGGTCTAGAGGCAGTGTCGAGGACCCCAAGTCCAACTTAAATGACGTACCACCAGTCTCTGGCTCCTTTGGCGCAGGCGAATTTCTTCTCGCAAACTCAGCCTTGGCTTGCTCTATCAATTGCTCTTTCCGATGATATTCACGGTCTTGCTGGGCGGCCTTCGCTTGTGCGTTCAACGAGGATTGGTGGTAGAAGCCGTAGAAAACACCAAAAAAAAGGGCAGAATAGCGCAACACCTAAAATATTCACGGTCAGCATAGGAGGCGATCGCGTGCACATCGCTACTTTTGGCTGTAGCGCTCCGGGAGCTCACGTTAATTCCTTGAGATGTGGCCATGGCTGGATTGGAAGATGTCACCCCAAAGATCTTGGGGTCAATCGGAGGGATAGCGAGGGGAAACGGCGGGTGCAGCAAAGAGTGTCTGTGCGAATGGTCCAAGATATCAGACAAGACAGCCCGGACGAGCAATGGGTCCTTGGACGCGCGGGGATGGGATCGCTTGGCTGGTCGAGCAATCAAATCTGTGTCTTGCTGTCGGCTCTGCCAATTCGAAGATTCGGGATTTTTGCTTGGCGTGAGAGACCATTGCTTACGTAAGGCCACTGAGCTCCGTGATTACATAACGAACGTCGGCGTTGCTCGTTTTGGAGAAATCATAGCAACGCGGAGGAGGACGAGAAGCGGACACCTTCGCGGTGGTGCAGGAGCCTTTGTTTCCCGTCAAGATGAGTGCTATGCAGCGGAAAGATGAAATCCTGGCGAAGAAGGCCAAGCTCGCCGAGCTGAAGCGCCAGCGAGAATTGAGACAGCGGGAGTTCTCTCAGACCCGCATGAGCATAGGGGAATCATCAGAGGTATGTACGGAGTATGCAAGGAGAAGTCCCCATGCCCTCGTCCAATGCCCGCCCTGACTAGATCTCTTTCTCCTTTGCTTTCTACTGCAGATTCTAGCTCCTACGCCTGGTCGTTCGGATAGAGCCGAGCTCGATAGTTTAATTTCCCGGCTTGTTGACAGGCCGTCGTCTGCCGCTCACAGGGATGGTGGAGACGGGTCACCAAGAGGTCGCGGAAGCCGTCCAAACTCAGTCCTCAGTGGCGGACAGCTCAGCGGTGAAAATATCGAAGCCTATACTCCACCAATAAGGCCGCTATCCCAGTCCATCGCAACGCAGACCACCCATGACCTTTCCGATGCCGTGCCCCAACCCGCTCCTCCTCCGTCGCCGCCGAAGCCGGAAATTCTAACGTACAGCAAAGCAGTGCAGACTGACACGTGGACGGAATCAAAGACACGTTCAGAAGATGGAACAGAATCGGAGGGAGAAGACTCCCCCACTACTTCGCGTGCAAATAAACGACTCAGCAGAAGAGAGCGTGAGCGAGACGAGGAGATCAGAGAAAAGCTACGGCAGGAAATTGAAGAAGAGCTAAAAGCCACACAAAGTTTAGCAGCAGGCGGTGATGCTCAGCCCACCGGCCAATTTAGATATCCGTTGCGCACGCTGACCAGCGATGAGCTTAATGCAGTCACTTCTTCAGGGGAGTTTTTAGATTTTGTGGAAAGATCAAGCAAAGTTATTGAGCGAGCTTTGGATGAAGAATACGATGTGCTTGCAGATTATGCACTGGGTGGAATAGGGGGCGAGGACGAAGAGGATGACGACTACAGACTGGGCAAGAAGCGGAGAGAAATAAAGCAGGTCACTCAGTTTTGGGATGAGAGATGGAGTAAGAAGCGTATGATTACCGACGTTAGCTTCTCTCCAAAGGTGCGGTGCTCTCTTACCCACGACTATGAAGGCTTTTATACTGACAACATGTGTAATAGTTCCCTGAACTGATCATAGCCTCTTACACCAAGAACCCAACCGCACCTCACGACCCAGACGGACTCGTCAAGGTCTGGAATCAGCATCTCCATGCTCGACCCGAATACATATTCCACTCAACATCCGATATCCTCACAGCCAAATTCAGCCCATTCCATCCGAACCTTATCATTGGCGGTTCCTATTCTGGACAGGTGCTTCTTTGGGACACAAGATCCTCGCGTGCAGGCGGAGGCGCTCCTGTGCAGAAAACTCCCTTATCGGGGTCGGGCCACACTCATCCGGTCTATAGCATCACCATAGTTGGCACCCAAAATGCTCACAACATCCTGACAGCATCAACCGACGGGGTGGTCTGCGGTTGGACGGTTGACATGCTCTCCCAACCACAGGAATACCTTGAACTCACTACTCCTCCACCCTCCAAAACCGAAGATCTTGCACCCACAACCCTCTCGTTCCCTCAATCTGATCCCACATTTTTCCTTGTCGGCACGGAAGAAGGCACTATATACCCCTGTCACCGTTATGATCGCGCTGGCGCCAAAGCGGGAACAGACCACCGCCTTTCTTATCGTGGCCATGCCGCCCCAGTTATGTCAACAGCTTTCCATCCCGCTCGTGGCCCCGTTGATCTTGGAGACTTGATGCTTAGTTCAAGTATAGACTGGAGCGTCAAGCTTTGGCGAGTTCGCCCACCCGCGGCAACATCCACTTCCTCAGGGACGTCTTCCTCGGCGGCAAGCATGCAAACAGTTTCTCCAATCCTCGATATCACCCGTGAGGACGTTGTATACGATGCTCGCTGGTCTCCAAATCGACCGGGCGTGTTCGCCCTTGTCACTGGTGCCGGATCGCTCGAGGTGTGGGATTTATATACGGAGACTGAAGTGCCGACTGCCTGTGCAACTCCCACATCCGGCAAGGGTGGAATATTGACTAAGAGCCTAAACAAAGTCGCATGGGAAGAAAAGGAAGGAAGACGGCTTGCTACGGGCGGATTGGATGGTGTTGTTACAGTATTTGATGTTGGAAAGGGGCTAGGTGGAGGGCCAGAGGAACTTAGCACGGAAGAGTGGTCAGGGATGAAACGTTTGGTTGGGAGATTGGAGCAAGGTCTTGATAAGCCATGACAGAGATAGGATCATGTTTCCGCGATCTATATTCTATTCTGAGTTTTGTTGGAAACTTATCTTTCTTCGTCACCGCTTACCACTACATTCTGTTTTCTTTGTACAGGTCCCCCAATTCGGCTCTTTGCAAGATCATTAAGTCAGTGGGATTGAACTCTTCTCTTTCACCCCAATTGCCAATGTCAACTAGTTGGACTGCGGTCAGCTCGAGATATTATACCCCTATTGAATTCGTTTATATTGCCAGGTACTCTGTATGTATAGAAAGTCAGTTTTTTATACGCTATGTGTCTAAACTTCCTGCTCCGATGGGCTTAAATCCATATCTATTCTAATATTCGCTGTCTTTCTTTTATGCATTTATTGCCAAAGCACCTCATCAATACTCAGTATGTATATCGGAAGGCAGGCTGTTCATATTCAAGGTCAGCCTTGTTAAACTGGAATAGGATAGGGGAAACGGGGCAAATGAAGCGTAATTACCATGTTTTCGATGATGAAATTCCCTTTCTGCTGTCTCTGATTCGCAACGTAGAAATATATAGAGAACATCCCAACAATTGCGATCATGAGTATATGTGAACTAAAAACTGTATTAGAGCCCGCCTATACTCGTGCGAAGGAAGGTGTTGTGCTGACCCGATAGACACCCAAACAGCAGTAGTATATGTCGGCGCCTCAACAGACCGCACGATAAAACTACCCGCAATCCCCCCAAGACCATTTGCCGCCGTTACTGCGGCAGCTACAGTGGCTCGTTTCCACTGACCAACGATATTGTTCGCTTGGTAGGCGTTAAGGGCTGCCCAATTGGAAACGTAAGCCCCCGTCGCAAGGAACGTGCCGATATAGCGGACAGTGACTTGTTTTGAGGCTGGAAGACCAAGCATGAGGAATCCAGCAATTAATGAGAGAGCATTGAACACGATAAGAGGTCCGCGTAGGCGAAATTTGTCCCCGATTAGGGACGTGAGCAGGACAGGGATGATAGCGTAGTAGTATGGCTGCCTTGAGTTAATTCTTGACGGGTCACAGATTTTAATACAATTCTGTAAGGATGGAGCGTACCGGGGAAGAGAGTAGAATGGATTTGTTGGTGCTAAAACCCATTCCTGACTGGAGAATGATGGGTAGGAAGTAGGATAACGAGGTTGACACGAGATTTAGAAGGAAAAATAGGCAACTGAAGCCGTAGAGCTTAAAGTCAAGGAAATTGACAGCGATTTTAGACCAGGAGATTTGATCCAGGACTGCATCATGTCTATCAATCTCAATCCTCTTGGTAGCCAAGTTTATTTCGGCCTTGTTCAGGAAGCAGAAGCTCTGGTGTGCATTGTCTGGAAAATCGATCATCCACCAGTACGTAACTATTCCCATAGCACAGGCGATCAGACCTTGAACTAGAAACATCCAGCGCCATCCCGAAAGGCCTGCTCTGCCGTCAAGCTGGTTAAGCGCATAGTTTAGAATACTGCCGGTTGCTAGGATCAAAACTTCACTAGATTGCATGAATGCATATCGAAGCTGCTGCTCTTGTCGCGTATACCACGTGCTGATAAGGTAGGTCAGGCCCGGGTAGATGCCAGACATGGATATGCCGAGAAGGACGCGGAGGATGATCATCTGTTGCCAGGTCTTGACGAAGGCGGTGCCTAGAGTAATAAGACCGAAGCAGACGGTGGTCATTGAAAACCATAGCCTTGGGCCAACGAAGCGGACTGCGAGCGTTGATGGAAGCTGGAAAACGATGCTGGAGACAGTGAAGATGAAAATAGAAACCGAGAATCGATTTCCATGCAAAGACAGGTCGTCTATCATGGTAGTAACTGCAGCGGAGGAAATGATGCCAGAATCTATCAGATTCAAGCTGCAGAGAATGCCGGCAATCGTGCATAAACGAAGATCGACCTTTCGGCGCAATCTGCGTTCTATACCTTTTTCATGCTCCTGGACCCAAACTTCGTCGTTTTCGTCCACTGCTCCCTTTATCCCTCTTCTCTCTTCATCAACCCCGGTCTCCGGGGGAGCTCTCGGACAGCCATTGGCTGATTCTGTCGGCATACCCAAGGCTGCTATCACTTGTCAAGAGCAATCTAGGAGATTTCTTTTTTCTTGTACTCCGTACACTTTTCAATACAGCACTCCGTTTTAGCCTTTTCAATAAGACTTTTGTCGTCACTGGGCTGTCGGCTTTTTGGAGGGGCTGGCTGGGTGAAAGGCTAGCTGCGGGAGCAAAAAAAAGAATTGACGTCCAGGATATCGGACAGCTCAGGAAAAGAGCCACAGCAGGAAAAGTAGAGACATGCCTGGAATACACGGCTAATGGCAGCCACGACAAAAGTTATATGGCTTTTGGGACTCGAAGACTCCGTAGTGCACACACAATCCTGCTTCAAGGATTTTCGGCCGTGAAGTTCCCTCGGTTCCCGAATACGGGCAGCTAACTCAGAGGCAACGCAGGGGTGTTCATATCGAACCTCCTCGGCTGCGCGACAAGACAACATAAAAAGGAGATATCTCATTCCTCTATCGGCATTGAGCACCTCGAAAGTGTCAAATTTTGAGCGCCCAGACCATTCGATAGTTGCCGCCTTGTGTCAGATGCCAGAATCTTAAGCAAGCGCGGCAGATCAGCAGGCAGCGGAAATGCACGGATAAACCTAACGGCTGCTCCCCTGTCAAAGCTAATCCCGCTCGGCTCCGTCACTGAAAAAAAAAAAAAAAAAAGAAGGAAGAAAATGCACTCGATATCGTCAGGTCACTGGATATCCACAGATAGCGGCTTGGGACCCTGGGGAGCTGATGTGTAGACACCCCTGCCGCTGTTGTCGGTCGCCCGCCACTCCCCCGACAGCCCATATTAGTATGTACTTAACCCACACCCTGCTGAACGACCGGGAAAATGGAGCCAGCAATGCGGCCTTAGACCGCCTCTTGGCGGGGGAACAAGCCAGCACATTCCCAGGTACCATTCCGCATCTATCCCGAGCCCTCGGGCCTCTAGAGCTCCTAGCTTCATCCTCTCGCATCATTATTACCATCAGCTGACCCCGCAGGAAGCTCAACCGGATTACCACGAAGCTTGTCACTCCGCAGCCTCTTTCTGGGCCATCTTCAAATACAATCTTTATACGAATTTCCCTAGCCATCTTGACCTTTTTGATATATATTATTAGACATATTTATATTGTTTTTCTCACTTTACAGAGAAATGGACGATTACATACCTGCGCCGGACCCGAGGTCGCTGCTACCTTCGCTCCTTGCATGTCTTCCCGCCGGCTTTGCGTCTCCCCGGCCTCCTCCGGTGCTGCTTCCTCTCCTCTCGCCCATTCTTCGGCAACGTGTTCAGCTCTTCAGTTCGGTATCTCCATCGTCTGCAGATTCTTGGATTCGGCTGCTCTGCTGGAATGCTAGCAGAGGGGAGCAGATCGAGCGCATCATCGGAGGAGCCTCTTTCGAACCCCACCCCGTTTCTGGGGAGATCGAGATCCCTGATGATATTAAGACGCGATACAAGCGTGTTGACGTCGAAACGTTACGTGCACAATTTCCATTACCAGATTACAATCTTGCACCCATATATGTTTGGTGTCCAGGCGACCAGGAAGGGGGTGGTCCAGGCTGGAGAGTCGCGGAGGTTTTGCCGCTTGATTCTCTCCAGGATGAAGGACACACGTGGTTTGGCTCGATTGGAGAAGCGAATGCGTCACTGCAGGATAGAGTGCTCGACGAAGCTCTGAAAGGCACGTGGGACGCGCTCAGACCGTACAACGATAATAACGAGGGCGAAGGCGAAGGCGACGGCGACGGCGACGGCGATGAAGATGACGATTATTGGGCACAGTACGATGATAACCTAGGGAGGACACCCGTGAGAATTCAGACGCCCTCCCGAGATAACTCTCGCATCAAGCAGCTACGAGATACGTCTGACGATTCTTATTATAACCGTTATGATGAGGTCCAGCCTGCGATGGACAATGATGATCCGTCGGTGGACCGGAATGAAGTTGGAGATTCATCACTGAACGGTGACGCGGTTGCTAGTGTCCTTAGGCAGCAGATAGAACGCATCGCCCATCAGAACGGCAGGTCACGCACTCCGCCAGCAGTGAGCGATTTTGCAGTTTCTCTGAGCCATCCAAGGCCGGAATCCGCCTCTTCACAGGGGTCAGATGCTATTCTGAGACTAGAGCGGACCGCAGAGAACCAATCTATGGCTGAAATGGGAGTGCGTGAATACATATCTTCCAATTTTAGAAATTTATACCTCTTGGCGAGGTCCACCGGGATCCCAAGGGAAGAATTTGGGAACCTCGTCCGAAAGGAATTGGATCGATTGGAATACACTGGCTTTGAACGAACCACGACCCTCTGAACCTACCTATCACTAACATACCGCGACGAAATATTGCGACAGCATCTTGAACAGTACGGTACATACATTTTAGATGGCCTTAGCGGGAGTCACTTTTCCTTTTGATTTTTTTTTTTTTATTTTATTTTATTTTTTTTTAAATATATATATAGGATAAACGGCAGGGTATGCTCATGATGATAAGTTTAACAATATCACCGGGTAAATACCCTCTCTACCATTCCATCCGACTGCATTCACGTGCCATTCGAATTTATGACATAAGCAGGTTCAAATTAAAGTTTGGGGTCATGGGGTGAGCTCCGGCCAACCAGAAGCCGGTATTTTTGGTCGGGCGTTTTAGTCAGTTTGGGACTAGCGCAGTTTTGAGCCCCCTTTCATCGGAGCCACAGCCGGCGGCTCACAAGCTCGACAACGCCATTTCACCATCGTCCTCTTGAAGCAACCTGTTCTTTCAAGCCCATTTCTTCTTCTTCTTTGTGTTCTGGCCTTCCCTTTTTCGTAGCCGGTTTTAATCTCTCTTTTCAACGATTCTCGACTCTCATTACAATGCCTCTTTGTCGCTCTTCTTGAGAAGGTAGCTTTCCTTGAAACTAGGTTTTCGATTTCGCTGACGCGTGTGTGCAGACAGACTCCTCCCCAGATAAGCCGTCTGTGTTTATTCTTTAAATAAGAAAAAAATATATATATTTAATCATACATTCAGCCCTTGTCGTTTCCGTTGACCACGATGTCCTCCTCACCGTCTAGCGTTCGACAGCGAGGAGGTAAGAGACATGGCGGCGCTGACACACCGGAGAAAGCACCGGTGTCCACGGCTCCGCCAACATTCAGCCCGCAGCCCGCGATGAAACCGAGCTCCGAATGGGACTACAAGCTTGCATTAGCGGTGATAACAGCGGTGGCATTTGTCTCTCGTTTCTATAAGATTAGTTTCCCAGACCAGGTGGTTTTTGACGAGGTGCATTTTGGAAAGGTGAATCCAACCGATTCTTTCTTCCAATTGATCGGCGGTTGAGAATTGTCGAGCTATGGAAGTCCAGTTGGCTGACAGAGCTTTTTTTGTAGTTTGCTTCATATTACCTCCAACGTACCTACTTCTTTGATGTTCACCCTCCATTTGCAAAGCTCCTCTTCGCGTTCGTAGGATGGCTCGTCGGATATGACGGCCACTTTCTCTTTGACAACATTGGAGACTCCTACATTGAGAACAAGGTGCCATATGTTGCGCTGCGCTCTTTGCCCGCGACACTCGGTGCTCTCACCGTCCCAGTGGTATTCTTGATTATGTGGGAATCTGGATACTCACTGCCGGCATGTGTGCTCTCCGCGGGGCTGGTATTGTTTGATAACGCTCATGTCGGCGAGGACAGGCTGATCTTACTTGACGCGACCCTGGTCCTCTCAATGGCTCTGAGTGTCCTTTGCTATGTCCGGTTTTATAAATTGAGACACGAAGCATTTGGCCGTAAATGGTGGAAATGGTTGCTGTTGACTGGAGTTTCGCTTAGCTGTGTGATTTCAACCAAATACGTCGGACTCTTTACCTTCGTTACTATTGGATCCGCGGTCTTGATTGACTTGTGGAACCTTCTTGACGTCAATCGCCGCAGTGGTTCTCTTACCCTGTTCCAATTCGGTCAGCACTTCGCCGCTCGCGCCTTGGGCTTGATCGTGGTGCCGTTCTTTTTCTACTTATTCTGGTTCCAGGTCCACTTTGCGGTCCTTAACAGATCCGGCCCTGGCGACAATTTCATGACGCCTGAATTTCAGGAGACACTGATGGACAATGCTATGGCTGCAAAGTCCGTGGGAGTTCAATACTACGACACCATCACTATCCGACACAAGCAAACTAAAACATATCTTCACAGCCATCCGGACAAATATCCACTCCGATATGATGACGGCCGTATATCTAGTCAAGGCCAACAAGTCACCGGATACCCTTACAATGATACCAACAATCACTGGCAAATCCTGCCATCAGTGCCGTTCGCAGAAAACGACCGTTTAGGCCATGTAATCAAGAATGGCGACACCGTTCAACTTCGACACGTTGTCACTGACACGATTCTCTTGACTCATGATGTTGCTTCCCCATATTATCCCACAAATCAGGAGTTCACCACTGTCTCTCATGAATTGGCAGCTGGGAATCGCCACAATGATACTTTATTTCAAATCAAAATCGAGCATGGTAAATCCGATGAAGAATTCCGAACATTGGCTAGCTTGTTCAAGCTCATCCATGTTCCAACCAAGGTCGCGATGTGGACACATACAAAGCCCTTGCCTGAGTGGGGTTTCAAACAAGCTGAAATTAACGGGAACAAGAATGCTCAGGAGTCAACAAATATATGGTTTGCTGAAGATATTCCTTCACTAGAACCAGAGAATCCCCGCTTGATTCGAGAGCCTCGTCAAGTCAAGCACATGCCTTTCTTGAAGAAGTATCTTGAGCTCCAGGCGGCGATGTTCTATCACAACAACGCGCTCACTGCCAGTCACCCATATGCCAGTGAACCGTTCCAGTGGCCTTTCCTTCTCCGTGGCGTCAGCTTCTGGACCAAGAATGATACCAGAGAGCAGATCTACTTCTTGGGCAACCCTGTTGGATGGTGGATCGCGAGCAGTCTTTTGGCGGTTTTCGCTGGTATTATCGGTGCTGATCAACTTTCATTGCGTCGAGGAGTAGATGCTCTTGAAGAAAGTAAGTTTTTATGAAACTTGAACCAGGAGTTTTAATGTATCTCACTAACACACCGTTGTAGTTTGGGGTCCAGGAACCCGCTCTCGGCTTTATAATAGCACTGGGTTTTTCTATCTATGCTGGGCAGCCCATTATTTCCCATTCTATCTGATGGGTCGACAGCGTTTCCTTCACCATTATCTTCCCGCACACATTGCATCTTGTCTCGTGACGGGAGCCCTTGTCGAGTTCCTTTTCAACGTTGACCCAGTCAACGTGGAGGATACCAGTGATTCCGCACGTCATCGTCGTCGACTTGGTGGCGTCAGCGCACGCATGGGCCGTCAGAGCATCATGACCATATGGGCGGTCACAATTGCTATTCTCAGCGCTGTTATTTGGGGATTCGGGTTCTTTGCTCCACTCACATACGGAACTCCGGGACTGGATGTTGCCGGCGTCAAGGCGCGACAGTGGCTCTCTTATGACTTGCATTTTGCCAAATAAGGAATTAACTTGACCCCATTGCGGGAATAAATGGTGCGAATGATGGAATGCCAGGAATCACGGGTTCAAGGAAATAGTTCAGAAAGATATTCGAGATTAAAAGGTCATCTCATACGCCAGTTCACACGGTTATGTAATTTTCTCTCTCTCTCTCTCTTTTTTTTTGACAGCAGAATGCAGTCCTAATCTCTCAAAACCTATTATACTCTCATATCACCTTTGGTTCAACAAAATGCGGTCCATATATCACGATGCGACAGGCGGGGCGCTGGATTTTTGTTTTATCCTCTTGTCTCCAAATTTCTTAAATGTACAGTACATACATATTGCTTTTACATGACTTGAGGAGCCAAAACTACATCAAACAAAATGTACGCGCGGCTTTTAAATTGTAGATGCTATGATGTTGCTAATGCCGGCACAAAATCAGCTAGGGATTGCTCAAGAAGCAAGAATGCCTAATCTACCAAGCAAATGCTTGACTTGGTATGGATGATAATAAGCTGCTTGCGCTGTGTCATCATGGGCTATGTAAGAGCTCAAGAAAATAACATATGTCTAACAAATAAACAAAAACAAAAACAAAAAGAGTCGCTCGGCTTGTTAATTCCTGGGAATGCAGTATTATATACAGGCCCATTCCTGAGTTTTATAGCGTGAAAACAGCGCAGTTAGCGTCCAGAACTAATCCACAACATCCCTTCCTTCTTCAACAGCAATCACAACGATCACACAGATATCATCTGGTTTTCCCCCTCGCCAATGATCCCAAGGTCGATATCTCTGTGACTCCTTGGCAAATGGCCCATCGCGTCGGAAATCCATGCTAGCGATCTTCGCTTCTCCAGCAATGGTTACTGCGAGGAGAGCTTGGAGTGTGTGGTTGCGTGTGTGCGCGTCAATGGCTTTGGGACTTGATGGCTGTTCAGGGTTGGCGTGTTGCTGGTGATGGTGATGGTGACGGTGGGGGTGGTGACGAGAGCGATGCGAATGTGGACGGGATTTTAGAGATGAGAAGGGGGATGAGAGTCCAGCAGGTTGGGTGAGAGCATTTAGTCCATCAGAGACCCCGATACCCATGTCTGCAGTCCCATTCCACGCCCCAGTCGCCATCATCCGTCCTGTAACTAGGGTAAGAATATCCTGATTGTTCAGGTTATCGTAGACTCCGTCAGTTGCTAGTAAAAGCACATCGCCGTGCTGGAGGCGGTAGTTGGTCACGTTGGCGTCTTGGGGAAGATCTTCGTACTGCCTACCACCAAATATAGCCGATTGCATCCGTATTAAGGGCGGCATTACGGAGAGCTGGTAAGGAGTGTTGAAATCGTGGGTTTGTGGGGTGGAGTAGTGATGAACGGCAGCCAGGCGGAACAGTACCGAGCCGGAATCCCCGAGACTAAAATTCTCAATGAGTTAGACGATGTCTATAAGAAGTAGAGAAAGGAACTTGTCTCCGTACTTTGCCAGTTGGACGGTTCCATCTTCGCAGGCGACACCGATGCACGCGGTGCTGCTGCCCGCAAATATCGTCCTGTCAGCCAACGTCCGTTCATATCCCATTTGCATTAAGGCTCTTGCGCGCAATTCGTGAGCCGATGCATCCCATTTCAATGCGCACTCCGCCAGATAACTGCAAAATGAGTGCGAGAAATCCGCCGGGTCAACCCCAGATTGCGTCCAACCGCCTACTCCATCGGCGACGCCGAATGCAAACGCGTTCGGATGGTGGTCGATCTTGCTCACGAAGAAGGCATCCTCTCCACTATCCGGACGACTTAATTTCCGCTCCAAATAATTCCTTCCCTGCTGTAGTCCGATGGCATCTTGTGTCTCTGGATCGAAGCTGCAGACATTTCTGTCTGGACTAAATCTGCGGCCTTTACCGGAGGAAGATACTGCGATGCGATAGGACATGCGAGCGCGCGAGGAGGCCTGAGAGCTGGATTGAAATAACCTGTTATCCCCTAGTCGTCTCCCCGACGAAACGACAGACGGGACGGGCTGCCACTGGGGAATAATCCGACCTGCGGAGTTCAACGATCGAGCGAGCGTTGCCAGACCTCGCAGGCAGGGGGCTGAATTGGCGACTGTCACCGTGGCCATCTGACAGAATAATCACAATCGGGCGGTGTCCCACGCAATGCAAGACCCTCCTGCGTGGGCATCTGAGAGGGGAGATGTCGTTGTGAACAGGTCAGAGGCATGGGCACCGAGCCTTGCCTCTACATCAAGAATATTCTATCTTTCATGAGAAAAAATGTATTTAAGTATGAGATACGCGGAACCGTAGCGGGAGAAAAGGTTTTGGGAGGTTGTCGAAGGTTGGGACGGAAAAAAGAAACAGAGCTGGGGCGAGTGGAGCGCAAGTGACGGCAAGCTTGGATCGGACAAGTCTAGGGAAATCCACGTTGGCTTTGCTGGATATTTATTGCATATACCGACAAACCGGAGCTTTAGACCAGGCCAGAAATAACTATCGTATCTTTTGCTCTGAAGGAGTTTGGACAGGCCGGCGCGCAATCCTCCTTTTTTTTTCTTTTTTCCCTCTCCTCTTTGGAGCGTCTGGCATTTCCAATGACCGACGGTGTCTAACCCTCGAAACGAGATACAAAGGCTGTTGATGGCAAATGTGAGATCTTTACTTTATTGAAGCTGCAATTGGATTGCTTTCTTCTTCCCCACGGATACGCGCAGCCCTCTCCGCCACAATGAACTCGTCGCGGAGGGCGTATGTGGAGGACGCGACAGAGGACTCTGATATGGACGGGGTAGATCTAGCAAATATTCGTACGTCAACCACCAGCAGGAATGGCATTCCTTGAGCTCCTTTTTTTTAAAAAACGAATTACTGTCTGACTGATCTCTAACAACGTAGCTGTTGATCGCGATTATGAGTTGCCCGCGGCCACTGCTGGGATAGCGCCGGAGAAAGCGTCCGCGATCCTATCTCAGTTCTCACGGAAACGAAGAGCCGCCGCGATCCCGGTGCCGACAGACGATGGACGGGTTCGTTCACGACTACGCGAGCTTGGACATCCTATAACTCTCTTTGGTGAAGATGCTACAGACCGACGCGACCGGTTGAGAGGTTTACTGCTTGAACTCGAAGAGCAGCAGGAAGCGGCGGCCGCCGCCGCCGGGGAAGAGGGAACGGATGTGCAGATGCAAGAGGCTGAGGAAGAAGCTGAAGAAGAACAGGAACACGAAGAGGAATTCTACACCGAAGGCACTCAAGGCTTGCTTGAGGCGCGGAAAAATATCGCCAAGTTCTCTTTACCGCGGGCCAAAACGAGAATAGAACGCCAAAAGGAGGAATCAACGATACCGCTACGGACGCACATTAAGCACAGAAAGGCAATCAAAGAAAAGTTACAGAGTTTTGACTTGTTCGGCTCTCAGTTGGCAGGAGACCGCCCGGTGAGCATCACACGGTTCGCGCCCAATGGGGAATTTTTGGCAACCGGGAACTGGGGCGGGAGCATTAAACTGCTCTCTATTCCAAATCTAGAAGAAAGCGCCACGCTTCGCGGACATACGGATCGAATTGGAGGCATTTCGTGGTTCCCAGGTGCGACCCTCGCTTCCTCAAACGTATCAGAAGACTCCGTGAATCTTGCATCGGGTGGCGGCGAAGGAAATATACATCTATGGTCTCTAAATAAAGACACCCCTCTATCAACGCTATCTGGGCATTCTGGACGCGTCTGCCGTGTTGAGTTTCACCCTTCCGGGGAGTATTTGGCGTCTGCGTCCTTCGATACTACCTGGCGACTGTGGGACGTAAGGACAAGCACGGAATTACTCTTGCAAGAAGGCCACTCTCGCGAAGTGTTTTCACTAGCATTCAATCCTGACGGCTCTCTTCTTGCCAGTGGTGGTTTGGATAGTATCGGCCGTATCTGGGATTTGCGGACCGGCCGAACAGTAATGATCCTCGAGGGCCACATTCGCGAAATATATGCTCTGGACTGGGGAATTGACTCATATCGGGTCCTTTCTGGCTCAGGTGACGGCTGGGTTAAATGCTGGGATATCCGGCAAGTTCGTGGAACGGGCGGTGTGGGCGCTCACAAGGGGGTGGTATCTGATTTGAGATGGTATAAAGGCACAGAGGACACATCGTCTTACCTACCTACGCTCTCACAGGGAGAGCTGAACGTGGAGATGACCGACGGCCCGACCTCTGCGAACGGGGAGCGGACAGCACGACAGCCAATCCAACCAAGGAAATCGGGGACCTTTTTCGTTACCGCCGGATTTGATAAGAATGTTAACGTCTTCAGTGCCGATGATTGGTCTTTGGTGAAGTCACTCAGCGGTCATTCTGGGAACGTACTCAGCGTAGATGTGAGCGACGATGTTAAGTGGATTGCAAGCTGTGGGCATGATCGCACGGTCAAGCTATGGGGCATTGAAGGCTGAGCTGGAAATATGGATAATGAGACCTAATTCTTATCCAACGAGATCGAGATGTCGGCCACTCAGTGAGGCATACTCTATTCGATCTCATCATTAGTATCCTACGGCCCCATATGGGACTTGAAACTCGCCCAGGAGAGTATGTATAAGAAGGCGAAGAACCGGGACGGTGTTGGGTGCTTAGACTACCTGAAGGGTTTCACCGTGAATATACTTGAAAGCATTAGCCCGCCATGGAAATTCTAAGTCGGGTACTTATCAGATTGTGTCACTGTGGTAGGTTTAGACTCTATATACCTAAAAGTTATGGAAGTATGCTCCATCAATATCACTGAGATTCCATGACGCGCCCATCCTCTTCCCACATATACACTGCAATTCCTGCAAAGGCCATGGAGAGCCCGCCTTTTGTTCCACGGCCTTTTAAGTGGCCGATTTATTTGCCCCTTCAGTAAAAAGTGCTTAATGGCGCCCGCCCTTCTCCCCACTCCTGGCGTCCAAATATCTATCAAGTTGAATCAAGCAGAAAAAGGTAGTATTCTGCTCCGCATCACAACCCGCCAGCGGCAGCCCATCCATCACGCATTCCTTCACAATGCTGACAATGTAAATATATCTTCACTCCTTCCCACACTATCACCCAATCTTGCGACTGGTGAGGGATGCGGCCTTTCCTTCTCAACATTTCGAGCGCGGGCGAGTGCCAGATGTGGTCCAGGGGAACTGGGTCATGGTTTCTTTCATCTCCACCATACACCCCAATGACTTTGTCGCTCTTGGTATAGGCATCCCAATCCCTCTGCATGTTCCTCATAAAGGTCCTGCGGAGAGTACGTTGGTTGTACCCTCCCCCCTTTTCGGCGGCAAAGAATTCAACGATGCGTTCAAGGCCAATGGTAAGCAGCATACTCGCCAGAGTGTCTCCGTTAGAGTTGAATGGATAGTCAGGGGCTACAGCGTCTAGTAGATATGAGGCAAGGACAAAGAAGACATGATGGGTGGATATAAGCACGCCAGGGTCTTCAAAGGGAGGGGAACGAATGATATGACATTGGGATATGTGTTCCCCATCGATGCGATGGGCTCGGGTTAGCGGCACGTCCTGATATCCAGTTGCAAGCAGGGAGTACATGTGATCCAGCTGGTCGGATTTGGATTGAGAATAGACTTCAAGGAAATATAGGACATAAAACCTACACAGATTGGAAGGATAGAAAATTGTTCAATTAGATGAAGCTCATTTCCTTGCAAAACCTACACACAAGGTAAGGGCGATGACGGCACTCACATCAAAGGCGTAAGTTTAAATTGGAGGCGCGCGACCCCTCGCTCATAGCAAGCTTGTCGATCTCGTTTAGAAGCGAAAGATGCCTTGATTGCGGGATGACTCTGCGTATAACGATCCAGAATCCGATCGGCTAGATAATAAGACAATTTTGAACAGATTTCCTGGCGACGTCGCAAGCTGGCCAGGTATCTAAATGTATACGCATCTCTCAAATCCCCAATTGCTCCTGGTGGTGGAAAAAGATCTGAAAGGAGAATGACATCGTCTTGAGGAGCGCGGCTATGAGTTATTCTGCGGTGAGTTAGGGACGGAAGGCTGCCGTGACGCCTGATTCGGAGGTAATCTCGAGCGATGGCATGTTCATTGGCGTCGACCAAGTCGCAAAAAGAACGACAGACGAGGCGTAAGCATTGGATATCCCGCAGGCGGCACTGGCAGAAAATGGAAAGCTGGAGCTCCACAGGGAGCTTATCCCAGTGAGAAGAGGTATGGGTTACTTGCTGGTGACCATTCCTGGAATACACGCGAACATGGAAGCCCGTAGATTAGAATTCGTGCTTCATCTGCAAATAATAAGACCACCTTCAGAATAACCCCCGGAGCGGGACAGAGTTTGCTTACGGGGCGCCAGGATGTCCATGGGTTGCCTTTGCATAATATCCCGTTGCTTTCTCGATTGCAGCAAAGAACTTTTTGGACTTGGTCTCGAAGAACGCCGACACAGACGCCGATGGCGCTTTTCTTTGCTCAGTGGCTAGCCCTGCGATCATTTCTTGGCGAAATCACCGGGCGAGCGCTCTCGCGGCTCTCCCCGAGTAGAGCAAATCCGTCAGAGCATTCGGAATGCTTTTGCACGAAAAGGGAGTTGAAAGGGTATGTACTCCAGACGTCCATGGGGGGAATGTGCTGGAGCATGAGACACAGGGCGCCATTGGCGACATGATGGCAGCGGGTGGGGATTGGGGCAGTGCCAACTCGAACATTTCGAGAGCTGGAACACCCCAGCCAACGTGAAACCCCAGGAAATCAAGGATGCGAAGAGATTTGGCTCTGCAGCAGCAATGGGATGACACCAGGGAGGATCGCAGTTCTCAAGACGAGAGTTAATTCCTCACAGGGTCTCTCCGGACGCCTGATGCCGGGAAGTTGGGCATCGAACCCTCCCCAGATGGCCAACGCGCAGCGTCGCAATGCGGCCAAATGCAGCACAGACTCCCCAGCGAGGATGATTGGCCTGGCCTCGAGTTTAAAGGTGTTCAGTTCTTCAACTCTTCGGTCTTTCCATCCCACACGAAAGCAAAGCCGCGGATAAGCTCGTCGTCTTCCCCGCGATCGCGATCAAGTCGAATGTAGCATTTATCGACTCGGAACATACTCGGCAGCAGGCCCCGCAACATTTTGGCATGGACCGTCCTCTCAATCCTGAGCGCCGCCCCGGAAACCGCTGCATCTCCATTTGGGCTGTCTTTTTCACCACTTTCTCTTACAAGAACGGGCTGCAGACCCCACTTCCTCGCCTTGAACCCAAACACTGTTGCAGGGCGTAATCCGAGATGTTCACCATCCCTTAATCCGAGGATAGCGGCGAGTGCATCTGTATCGTTGGAAGCCCCGCACAGGAAATACCATCCGGTTTCATAGTCATGTGCATCTGAACATGCAGAGAACCACTCGATGGGAGCCGAACAGACAGGACTGCTGAAAGACTGCTCATCAAAATTCATGCTGCAATTTATCTGATGAGATTGTCTATGGGACTTGGGTTGTAGGTGGTTTGATAAAATACTATTCCAACGACTCTGTAGTGCATATCTACATCAAAAACGTCAAAAGAGTTTTGTGACCAAAAGAAGTGTCTTGCTTGTGAATATGCAGGCTGCTATGGTTTTGGTTCCTTTTCAGATGGTCATTTGACCTCTTGCTGCATACATGCTGTGACGCCAATTGTGAATCATCCAAATCCCATTCCCCAATCTTGCTCCATCTGGTCGCAGTGAGCCCCAGGTCTATCAAAGATTTTTGGCGCTATATGTGAATGATACTGGAGAATTTCACCTCATTGGTTATACTTATCATACACCACATTCTCTTTTAATGTGCCGGACTCAAAATTGCGAATGCTCTTCAAGGTTGTCTTTGCAATGCTATCGACCGCTCCTCTTGTCAAGAATGCCTGATGACCGGTAATCATCACATTTGGCAGGGAAATCAACCGCCTCAAAACATCATCGATATGTTTGGCCTGGTTTGAGCTCTGGAAAAAATATTTCTCTTCCCCTTCAACGACGTCAAGGGCACACCCACGAATGCGACCTTTTTCTAATGCGTGTAGAAGGTCTGATGAGTTAACTAGCGCCCCTCGGCTGGTATTGACAAGAATGGCATTTTGTTTCATGATAGCCAATGTCTCGGCTTTGATAATATGGCGAGTCGCAGTAGTCAATGGGCAGTGCAGACAGACGATGTCAGAGCTTTTTAACAGCTCCTTGAACTCCACGTAACGGACGCCATCCTGTTCCAGCGTCGCATTGGGATAGAGGTCATTGGCAAGAACCTCGCAGTGAAACCCATTTTTGAACACCCTGGCAACTCCCGCACCGATGCGCCCGGTTCCCACTATACCAACAGTCTTTCCATGGATCCCATGCCCTACAAAACCCGTCAAATCAAAATTTCCAGCGCGCACTCTCTGCCAGGCATGAGGGGTGCGCCTGTCAAGAGCAATCAACATTCCGACGGTGTACTCGACGATGGCTTCTGGAGAATAGGCGGGGACACGCGTAACAGTGATGCCGTTCGCCGTCGCTGCCTTGATATCGACCCTGTCATAACCGGAGCAGCGCAGGGCCACGAGCATGGTCCCAGACTCGGCCAGGGCTCTCATAATCGTTGAGTCCAACTGATCGTTGACAAAGGCTGATATTGCTGGGAAGCCAGCAGCAAGAGCCACGTTTGCCTCTGAGAGGCTATCTTTGAAAAATACCAATTCATGGTGGTATTCTTTATTGAATGCCTCTAAGGCATCTTTCTCGTGAGGAAGTATACTAAAAAATGCAATCCTCATGCTGGCGAAGCAAACCTTTGGCTTCTAAATGGTAGTAGTGTTTAAAAAGAAAAATAAATATATATAAAGTAAACCGAGGGCGCCACTAAGCAGTCAACGAAGCAATATTCGGCCTCTCAAAGCGAGCACGACGCACACTCTCTCGTCACTCCCGCCCTGAAGCTACCCTGATGGTATGAATCCTTTGGACAAGGATCGAATAAGGAATGTCGACCTCGATCAACCGGTTGGCCGCCTAGCAACGTCGCTCCACAAGGACACCACTGGAAGGATGACCACTTTGACCGGTTGTCTTACGCTCTATCCTTGGCATGGTTGGAACTCAGCAAGGAGAGACTGCGTCTGGCCCAGACGAGGAGGAATGTACGGAGTACTCCGTAAATGACTTCAGGTCGCTGTCGCTGGAGTCCATTATGCAGGAATGTCGGAAGTCGAGGCACTTGCGGCTCCAATCATGAACAGGATTATGTAACTAACACATCGGTACTAGACCAGGAATAGACTAGACCCATTATCACGTGAGTTAACCGAATTTGGAAGTGGAGAAACTTGATTTGTAATCTTATCAGATCTTGCATCACCGCTTCGTCCATCAGATAAGCCGACCTCTGATTGAATCCGTCTTCGTTCAGTATCGAATCCATCTGATACTTATTGTCGCTCTCTACGTCTGTCTCCCCCTCGGTCTCTCTGTATTCTCGTTGGTTCTGACTGATTCACCTGCTGTTTTGCATCGAGGTTGGTGGAAATGCACCGATCCATCAACGCGGCGGGCCGCTTGTTCCGGCTCGGTACCCAATCGACGCCTCAGAAATCACATAACACAGCAAATCTGAACATGAGGAATGGTCTCTGTATATTCTGTCAGAATCGACGACCGGCACGTATCGGGTTTCAGCAATCCACTGCGTTGGGGGTTGTTTCGGTTCGGACGGTGGCTACATCCTCAGGCTCGGCGCCCTCGGCAGCACCTTCAGCGCAAGACCTCTTCGCGGCCCAGACTCCGGATATATCCAATCATTATACCATTTTTCCAAATACCTTACCGCAGGGCCCTCCTCCAGCAAGCCCGTTCGATATCCCTATTCCAAATCTCCGTCGGGAGTTCTTAGCGTTGCAGGCTCTCGTCCATCCTGACAAGTACCCATCGGGAGCTACCAAACAGCGGGCCGAAGCTCTCTCTGCGCATATAAACGATGCGTATCGTACTCTCTCCGACCCTTTGACCCGGGCGCAGTATCTGCTCCTATTCCAACACGGGATCGACGTGACCTCCGAGAACGGCGCGAAGACTCACCCTCAAGACCCCGAAACGTTAATGCAAGTGCTAGAAACACAAGAGATGATTGAAGAAGCAGAGAATGAAGCGACAATTTCGGGCCTGAAAAGCGAAAATGAAGGACGGGTCAATGAGACGGTACGAGCACTGGGAGCTGCCATCGACCGAGGAGATGTCGACGAAGCAGTGAGGGAGTGCGTGCGTTTGCGATTCTGGTATAGCATTCGTGACGTCCTGAGGGAGTGGGAGCCCGGCATGAGGGATGTACGATTGGTGCACTAAATTGGGCAACAGGGATCCCAAGGCGTAGCTCTGATTCCAAACAGGCCTCGCGCCTTGAATAACGGAGTGGCAGGACCCAAGTCTACAGCCACTGCGGGAATAGCACTCCGTTATCTATCCGGCTACCTGGACATTTTGTTTATTTTGACTTTCCTTGGTCATCGGGTGGCCTGAATTCGGAAACTCTTCTATCCGCTCAAGCACTTCGGCCAGCATGAGAGCGATTTGTAATGTAGAACGCCTATACCCCTGCGTTTGGATGGCTATGAATGTCGACCTGAAAAATTTATGTTACGCATGTATACACATACATACATTGATATAATATACAACTACTGCAACATATTGTTCGTTGCCTCTGGCTGTCAACGTGCAATCTTGAAACAAACACGGTATACTGGGCGCGATGTCTTAAAGAGTATCGCTTCTGCCGGAATTCGAGGCTGATTACCCCTTCGAATCGGTGGAAAATTGAGATCTGCAAAAATCGAAAATATTTACAGGTAGCCCCGGTGTGAGATCTATAGATTTGTCTCATGCGTCGTCAATAATCGTCTGCTGCGTGGATTTGGATTCGATATCGCGGTTGCGGTTTGACCCAGCATGCTGTCGTTGCAATGAAAAGTACGCAGGTACACGCCACTGAGAGATGTAGGTTGTCGTCAAACAGGTGGCCGATGTTGTAAATATGTTTCACGTTGCCATTGCCCGATATTTGCCTCCAGGCAAGAAGTTGTGGTTCGATTCGAAGCCCTTCATATCGGCGGTCGTGAATAGCATCTGTTGTCCAGTCTCCACGAGCACTGAGTGGGCGCAGAGCCGACCGTCCAGATTTGCTGGGTGGTTGGGGATTCTATTTAGTAGATTGGCAGATTCTCTTCTGGGCGGAGGGGATTCCGAGATATCGTGGTAATATCACCTCTCTCCCATTTGCCTCATTCCGGCAAACAACACAAGCGGAAATGCCTGCACAGTCCGTCGGGTGCAGGGGGGAGGTTGGGTACCTAACGTCGTCCCAATTCTCGAGTCGCCAATCCGATTCGGCGCGATGAACAGCTGGCTCGGATCATATGGGCCCCATCTGCAGAGGTACCTCACGCAGCAACGAATAGGATGCTGCCTCGAGAACGGGTTCCATCGAAGGTTCCAAAGAACGACGAGGTCCCTTTTGAAATTCCAAGACCCGGGTGGCTGCCCATTGACCGCCTCAAGCGACTCAGCGTGGATCCAACCGCTAATGAGAATACCGAATTGCTCGCGTCGACAGCCGACAGTTGGCCGCTCAGTTTATTGACACGACAACGCATCTACTGGCTGCCTTGCTTCACGCAGCCATGTATCTCTGCCCACAGCCTGGCATGCGCTATCTACCATTGTGGATAAGATGTGACGGCTGGCTCCCCTCAGGTGCGCTCTGTTGCTTGCATATCTCTCCCTCCAGAACAGTGCACTGACACTCTGAGAAACAGATACATTGCCCTTTGTGTCGGGTTGAAACCCCCATGACAATTTCACACGTAGCAGGAACCAGCCGCATTTAGGAGCTCATTTCTCCTGGTATCTGCATTATATATTCTCCTGGGTACCGCAGCCAGGTGCTGTTACCAGACTTCCCATCTACTGCTTTGAAGATCCAACAGTGTTTCTCTGGATAATCACTTCCTGTTTTTTTCCTTCGTCTCTCTCTATCCCTACAGACATATACACCTTTATAAGGGATTTTGCTGTGGGCGAGCACCCCACTTGAATCTTGAGGGAATGGCGCGGCCGGCCCCAAATTTCAATAGGTACGTTCTCTGCGCGCGATATGGATGCGATTACTTTTAGGACAGTCCATGAATAACTCTCGGCCATGTACTCAGCCCAATGTTCCCAAATCCTGCACTGAAGTATATATTTTCAGTTCAAGCTATATATACATATATCATCGGAGAATGATGGCGAGTTTGTTTCGTGAGAAGAGTTCAGATTCACTGACCGGCAATCCTCATTTGGGAACAACAGTATTGTCCATTCTCCTCCATTTACTTTCCTCGTCGGCCCCGACCATATCAAACTCACTATCCAGTCTGGCCTTGCCCGCCATGTCTCCCAACCGTTGGATGAGTTGATGAACAATGGCCACACTCGCGAGTCGAGGCACCATATTGCCGTCCTAGAAGAGGAAGATGTCGAGACCTTTGTTGGATTTTGTGAATTTGCCTACACAGGTGATTACACAGTTCCAAATCGAAGAAAAGGTATGGAATCGACACCGGCCCATGGTGCACCGTTCGGTGGACCGGCGATGATGAATCCTATTCCCCCGCCTGCGCCATCTCCGCCGCGAACGCCGGCCTTGGGAGAAGAGATGGGTGTGAACCCAGAGGGTGGTGATGACGCCGGCGCCCAGAATGATGGAGCTGAGGGAATGCCAGACTCTGGGAAGAAAGGAAAAAAGGGGAAAAACAAGAAAAAGAGAGGTGGAAAGTCGTTTGATGAAGGTGCGGCATCGGCTTTGACTCCACCCAGCACCCCACCACCCATGGCTGAAGGAGAAGAGCAAAAAGATGAAACAAAGGAAGAAGAGAATGAGGGAGAAAACCAAGGTGGCCAGGAGGCTACTCAGGGCGGGGGCCCGTTCGACCAGGACCCTTCGCAGCAGGTTGATGCCTCGAGACCGAAACCTCTCCGACCCGAGCCCCAGAATCCTTTTCTATTCGCCCGTCGCTCTAGCGTTACCCTCTGGGATGAGTTCACTTCTCTCCAGTATGGTGAACAGCAGTACCACTCAGCCATGGGGCTTCCGTCGCCCATCTTACGCAGCGTTTCCTCATACAGCAACGAAACTGGCCAGGAGCCCTACGTGCTTTTCCATGCAAAGCTTTATGTCTTCGCATCCCGCTATCTTATCCCCACTCTCGCCCAGCTCTGCCTGACTAAATTGCATCGCGACCTTATCTGTTATCCTCTGACAACCTCTTCTGCCGACAATGCCGGACCAACCAATGTCCCCAAGATTCTCGAGCTTCTCCATTTCGCATACACCAGCACCAAACGTGAGGATCCGGCATTCGCTCCCGCCAATGCTCCCCCAGCCCGCGACAATCAACTCCGCAATCTCGTAACGCACTTTGCTGCATGCAAGGTCAGGGAGCTGGCAGGTTACCAACCACCCGATTACTCTCCGGCCTCATACACCTCACCAGAAATGGGTCTTGACGGCAAAGATACCAGTGCCTTTGGCCTCATGATCCCTCCCAACCTTGGGTTCCGTGATCTCCTCGATGGTATTGGTGAAATGGCTTCCGATCTCGTGTATCGCATGATGTGATTGCTTTAACGTACGTTCGCTCGGGCATCTTTGCACCTTGTTCTTCAAACCTCTTTGCTTCTATCCAAAGTCATGAATCGTTAGCGGGAAACTACAAGCATAGGTAACTCTGGAGTTCCGGGCAGTAATATGATGATGTGGGATGATTTGACTCGAGCTTCTAAATCTTCTGCTGTGCTTTGATTCTTTCTTTTATTTCTCTCTTTCTTTTCTTTTCTTCTCTTTTCTTTTTTTTTTCCCTTTTGTCCCTTCATGTGTCTATTGTACCTGATCTTCGGCTTTTCAGATTGTTTCACTCTCCTTGTTATTTCCAAACACTGTGTTCCTCATTGCATTGCTCTTTTTGACATTCTATTTCGCTTCTGCTGCTTCCCTATTTCTATTTGCATATGCATTATATCAGACTCACCATAATGGCAACCATTCGTTCCTTGCATGGAAAAGATCTGCTAGTTGGCTTACTCACTTCAAACCATCTCGTCTCCACTCACAAGCGGTGACCTTTTTGCTTCAATTGTATATTTCTTCCCACTATCCATCTAACTGAAGAATTTATAACGGGTGGATTGTTCCACTGCCAAAGGTTGAATAGTTTTCGGCTAGAGTAGTCGAAAAGCAATCAGTTTTTGCCGTGTGTAAGCCTATCGCGAATAGATTTCTACCATCAAGCGTGTTGATTAAAGCTATACAATACGAAGGAACCAAAGAAAGAAAGGACAAAAGAGGAAATGCTATGCTGCATGTAAGTACACAGTGAATAATGTATGAACTATGAAAAGAGTACCGGAGGAACAAGACCTAGCGATCGTAAGCAAAGGGCACAGGATAATCAAAACTAGAAAAGAAAAAGCTCGCTACTCGGGAGTAGGCCAAAATGAATGACAATTACAGAAAAACAGGGAAAAAAAAAAAAAGAAAAGAAAAGAAAAAGAAAAAAAGAGGAGGGGGAGGAGCTAGCAGATATGAAGCCATGGAAGCGTGAAAGCATTGGAAAGAGACATGGACATAAAAAATGGCGAGAGGCTTCAGAGAAGAGCGCTTGAAACATGGCGTCTAGTCTGGTTTGCAAGTTCGCGTAATTACATCGGTGGCTATTCAAGGTTCAAATCAAAAGGAGCAAGGAGAGCCAAAATGGCTGATTAGTCGGTGGGCTTTTAGGAGGAAACCAGAGAGCAACACATAATACTGTAATTCGCCGGCATGGTTCGAACGGTCATTTGATAAATCCAATATAAAACTTAAGTTTGACTATAATTTCAAAGAAAAGGAAGGCAGCTAAAACCCGAATGGATTTGATGGAGCTGGGAGTTTTAGTTAGCAAAGATGCGCTTCAACGCGGGTATAGAAAATTACTTACTTGCTTGGGCGAGATTCGCCTTAAGGCCGGTGGGTTGGGGGGTTAGCTTCTTTGTGTCTTTATGCACTCCGAAACGGACAGGAGGAGCAGGACCTGTCTTTTGGGGTTGTAGTGGCGCAGCTGGAAGCTCTGGTATCGGAGGAGGTGGAGGAGCCGTGAAATTACCAGTCCCTCCGAAGCCGTTGGCACCTGTTTGCTGGGGTTGTAAAGGTGGGGGAAGGACGGAGTTGATAGACCCAGCTGGTAGGGGTTGCTGTGCTGGCAGTTGAGAAAACCCAGAATATCCAGTTTGTTGCGGAACTAGACTTTGAAAGCCTGGGTGTTGTGGTCCATTCATAAAGGTACCTTGTTGTTGTCCCATCAACCCAGTCGGCTGAGGGGCTAACTGATTTCCAAACTGGCCCATTCCGTAACCCAATGGAGCGACCCCCGTCGCTTGGGGTTGCAATTGTGACTGCTGGAATCGTTGTTGATTAAGCTCCGATAAGCTATGGCCAGGCGGTGCAAGGTGTGGGCTGGTTTGAGGAAGTCCAGTGAGCTGGGGTTGCAAAGGAACTGGCCCAAGAGCGCTTGGATTATTCGGAGCGGAAAGGGGCCTTGGGGGCGGAGGCGGAAGCAATGATCCTTGACTCACGGCGGGCGGAGGTTGTGGGCGCTGTCTTGGAGGCATCGGCGGTTGTTGCGTCTGGAATTGAGAGGCTTGCTGCTGCTGGTGAGGCTGCCCGAAGCCGGTCATCTGCGCATTTAATCCAGGGACCTGGGACGCTTGGGATATGCCAGGCGCTAATTGTGCGAAGAAAGCGGGATTTGCGCCCGTCATCTGTGGCTGTTGTTGCGGTGTTTGCTGAGGCATCGACTGGGGTGGCGGTTGAGATACTGCTGGCTGGCTTGTTTGGGGTGCTAATGACACCTTGGATGGCTGCAATGGCTCCTGCAATAAGGAAAGATCCGCCATGGCTCCCGTGAGACTTGGCTGGCTCTGAGCTTGTGTTGCCATTGCGGGCGGTGACGCGGTCGCCTCTGCGGTCGCTTTGGGATGCTTTACTTCCCAGGCACTATCTTCAAACCCTTTCGGTTCATCCTTCCCCTGTGCAGATAATGCAGCTTCTTTCCCGACTGGTGACGGGTTCGAGGAGTCTTTTAATTCAAACGCTTTCGGATCGACGACATCGCTAGTTTGTACGGGGGGAGCAGGTCGGCCTTTGCGCGTATTGTTGCGAAGGGCTCCTCCAGGGCCAGAAAACAGGCCTCCGCTTTCTTCTCCATTGCCAATCACTTCTTCACCCCCGAAACTGACGTTTCGAGCCTTCGACTTCCTATTATATTTACCATCGAGATATCTCATGACTCGTAAAATATCACCCTCTTTGAGGCCCAATGTACGTAGCGTATCCGAAGTAATATCGGGCAGAACACTCTCATCCATCGAGTCCTTTGAAAAGTTTTGGGCGTATCGTTCACAGAGATGAGGACCAACACCAGCCTTTAGGAAGAAATCAAACCAATCATAATCCGGTTCTTTCTTGATAGAGGCGCCTACAGTTTTTGGCTTCTCTAGTGGTATTTGACTGCGACGACGGATATCAGAGAGCGGCTTATCCTCATCCAAAGACTCACCAGTAACTCTTTCAACATATTCTAGATCTTCGATCGACATTTTAGCAACGGGTACAGCTATTTTCACTCCGTTCTGTTTGTGCAGATGTATTTTCCCGTCTGTAAGACCGATAAATTCGGCAACGACGGTAAATGTACCAGTGCGATCGGTCCATTTTCTCGTTCTCGAAGGATTGGGCTCTAACGACTTGGTTAGGGCATGTCAAGCTTTGATGAAAATCGGAATAAAACTCACTCTGTTTTGAAGAGCGGCTATCACGCTTGTGGCGCTGCAAACGTTTGTTACCATCATCATGTGCAAATAAACTGCTGGCTCTGTTTGGAAGTTTCATGCCGGACCCTACCTCTCCGGAACCAGGATCATGCCTCCGAGACTTTCGAGCGGATTCTCTCGCTAATCGCTCCTCTTCACGGCGGTTTTGTTCAACGGCGGACAGACCGGCATTCACGCCGGAAAAGCTCGATTCCGCAGGCGTCGCGACTCCTGTGATCTCGATATAGCTACTTGGAACAACACCTTCCTGCCCATTCTTCATTCGCCTCACCATCCACCATTCTTCTGATTTGGTATCGTCGAGAATGATGACTTCGTCTCCGATGGCCACAGTAACCTCATCGTCCCCCTGGGCCATAAAGTCATATAGAACTTGGCCCTTTTTCTTTCCGCCGGTGGTGCCCGCCGCAATCACTTCTCTCAAGCCTTCGGCTTTGTATCCTCCGGCAATTTCCCCTAATGCAGATACAATTTCCTGGGCCGTATCTTTCGCACCCGCGTGAAAATCGACGCTCTTACTCGGTCGTACTAAATCTAAGAAGACATGCTTTCCTTCAATAGAGTAGTGTGTGAGCCGTTCTGCAGTCCACTCCTGATGCGGACCATCCTCTGAATTCTCCGGCGAAATGAAAATTGTTCCCGTAGCAATATTAATACCAAGGGTTGTGGGCATCTTCTTTCGCTTTCCCATAATCGAGATCATTTCACTAATATTGTAAATATGGTATCCGGATGCTGAAACGGCGGATGGACTATGGGGCTTTTCACGCTCTCTAGTGTTTATTCGGCTGTACGGAGGAGAAGGTCTTATACCGGGAGAAGTCTCCTCTTTCAGAGCACCATACTCAGGGCGGGGGGCGGGTACTTCGCGGCGAATGGGATAGGAATCTTCTTCCGGGGGGGATATTGGTTCTTGTGGTGGGCTTGGGTGGGAGACGGGACGCTGAGGAAGGGCTGGACGCGGGCCATTGTCGTCTTCGTCAGATGCCTGTGGAGTTAACGCTGTAGGTGGTGAGAGAGAATGCTCTGCGGAAGGCGCAGGAGCTTCCCTAGCCTGACTTGATGATAAGGACTCTTGCTGTTTATTGAGAATGCCCGCCAGAGCGGCCGCAGGGCTTTCAACTGGGCTGGCGGGAGAGTGTGGTGTCGGTATTCCCTCTGATTCGGTTTCACGATGGTCGACTCTTTGAGGCAATACCGGAGGGGCTGGAGGAGCCGCCGCGGCAGGCTCAGTCTCTTCCACTAATTCGATATAGTTCGAGGGAGCAAATCCATACTCCGAATTTACTTGTACTAAAGTCCAATCGGGATCAGAAGTGTCAAACACTTGGAGTTCGGCATCTTCAGAGAATGAAACTTCTTCATCGGTTTGCCGTGTATAGTCATAGAGAGCGCGTGCGGTTCGGGTAGGACGGGCCTGTACCACACGAAAATTATTAGCATTATCAGCACCATCGTTCGTCGCTATGTTGCGAAAAATATGTCAAAAGGGAACGCAGCCCAACGTTCAGCAATCAGGTTATGCGTAAAGTAGAGGGGTAGCTGGAGGGAAAATATGTTACCTCTTCGACATAATTATTGGGCACCAAGCCTACGGGTTCCTCGTCATCCACATCGACGGCCTTTTTCTTTGCTTTCCACCAGCCATCATCCGAGGCCTTGTCAAGAATGAAGAGAAGGTCGCCTTCGGATATCTCAAGCTCGCCCTCAGCCTGGGGCTTATAGTCGTAGATGGCTGTATAAATTCCCGCAAATCCCATTTTGCTACTCTCCAAACAGCATCAAAACGAACGATACACCCGGTAGTCTTCGTATATAATAGATATGCAGCAATCGCGAAGGGCAGTGTTGAGCCACCGTCCGGCCTCGTCGGAGTGAGGGACGTGCGTGTGCAGAGGGCGTATCGGGGGATTGCTCGGCAAGGGACTCGGGGTCAGTAGGTCGCGAGCGAACAAATAGATTGGCCGGGGTTGCTATACAGAGAATCGTCGGCGAAAAGGATGAGGTCGAGTTGCGATGCTGTCTGGCCGGACCGAACCAAGAATCCCATGCATGACAAAACTATGGTGTAAGTGTGGAGTACGGGTTTCTCATGACCCTCTTCTTTTTGCAAAGGGAGGCTTAAAATAAAAGGCGGGTAATTAACGGCAGTCGGAGATTTAAGTAGATCAAATGCAGAAAGTATGTGAGAGTTGGAAGCCAATTCCCGGCTGAAGAGTAGAGAGATGGGCAGTGAAGCCTGGCTGTGGTCGTGGTCTGGGGGGGCGGCACTGGAGAAGGGTAGAGACAAGAGTAGGTGGATGTTCGCTGGGCGGGAGACCTGGAGTACGGAAATATCAATACGAATACAGCTTTCAATTCCAAATATATCCCCTGTGAATCTCTGTAATCAGCCAGGAATGGCCACGCCGAATACTGTATGGAACACGTCAGCTGTATCATATTCTGACTAAGCAGGTCCTCCAGGCGGCGAGTCGTTGACGCCCCTTTTATCTTCTTGAGCCAAGGGTGATCCTCGTCCGCGCTGGTGACAGGAAACGTCTCATCGACATTTGCTCTGCAAAGATATACATACATCAGATCTACGAACATCATTTTCTTGGAGAATATATGTCAAGCGGCTCTTTTATTGAACTGTTGGATTTTCAGGGTCGGAGCACAGACCTCCGGCACAGATCTGCAATTGGTGGCCACTGAGCGAGGAGCAGATGACTGCCGGCTGCGGGACAGGGCAAACGTCAACGGAAGATTTTTCTATTACTGGCCTATTGCCGCGATCATGTTATACCAAAAAGCTTGAGGAATTGGCAGTAGATGCTTTACAGTTCTTCCTTGTATGTCTCGTCGCTCCCTTCTTCAACAGGGCCATTCTCCGCTTTGGCCAGCCCTTTTTCCTGCTTTTCCTGCTTTTCCTGTTTCCGAGCTCCTCTTTGCTTCTCTTTGTTCTTGTTTGGTGTCTGCGCACCATTATGCTCCTCATCTGCTTCGATGACTCCACGGAGCCCCCTTTGTCCATTGGCATCGATCATCTCCATTTTCCAGTCTTTCCCATTGGCAAGTTCCTCCAACTGTTTTTTAAGTGCCTCGATTTTCTCTGGATCTAGGTTGTATTTTTTCAATTCTTCTTTGGACAATCGCTGTATTTCGCCACCTTCACTAATTGCAACGACTTCAACTTTCTCTTCGCCCATGGATGCAACTCGACCCTTTTCGATTTTCTTTCCATCTTTACCCACAAACTTCATTGCACCAACCTCGATATCCCCCACAATTGGCAGGGAGTCAGATGTGGAGTCACTAAGTTCTTGCTGTAATCGAAGCCTCCGTCTATCCTCCCACTCAGGGACCAGCCCATGGGAAATGATTTCTTTGCATTTGATGCCGTTGGGTTCATCTTCTCTTGGAGGTTGGAAGGCAACATCGTTGCAGAGACGAGGAGTGTAAATCACCATCAAGTACGAACAAGTCGTAACCTCCTTGATCCAACCAATGTGGTCTGTCGATTGTGGGTGGCAATGAAACTGGACTTCAATCTTTCGATTCCGTCCCGTGAGATCGCAGGGTGTGCCGTCATCGAGGTACTGAACAAGGTACCAGGAATCTCCGTCGGCTTGGTGCGTCGCAACTTCGGTTGTAGGTGGATTTACAGCGCTTGTTTTTGCACCCTCCTTATCTGTGCGGAATCTGCCGAGGATATACGATTGTGTGGTTGGGTCCTCTGTAGGAGGGTAAACCGGAGCGCCATTGCCGGGTAATAGGGCATGAAATTGGCGAACCTGGTTCATGTAGCAAAAGGAATATGACCACCAGCCAGCAGCATAATACATACAACGCCCTTCCATGTCCTGAAGTAATTCTAGCCCCCTGTTTGTCGCCCTCGCCAGTTCCTTTTCTTGGTCGGCAGCAGATCGAGTCCCAGCACTAGCACTACCATCGGAGAGTTTGGTCTTAGGAATGCCACAAAGAAATCTTTGGCCCCCTATAACCATTTCTTTGTATGCTTCTATGGAATCATCGATCTCTGTCGACGAAAATGAGCCAGCATCATCTTCTACTTTATCGTCATCCCGTGATAATATTTGCTGCGATAGCCCGGTGTAGTCATCCTGACCAACAGCCGAAGGGGTGGGCTGTTGGGACGGCGAGGGCGAGGTTGCGACACGGGGTTTAGAAGCCAGAGGTGTTGACAATCGCGAATAGGCGTCGTCGGCTAGGATGTATTCGTCTGGAAACTGTATCTCATACTAAAGAATGTGGAAGAACGGATGTCGAGTTAGTAGCTGTCCGCACAATGGACTTCTCAAAAGGCAATCAGACACGGCACAAAGCGTTAAACATACTTGTGGGAATCCAAGAACATCATCCTGAACGCGAAAGGGTTTCTCACCCAATGCGCCAACGGCCGCGGATGCGATTAACGCCACCAATGATACCCGCGTTCGGCGTCCCATGGCGTTTGGATTTCGACGTCTAACCAAGCTTTGAAGCTTTATGTGAAATGCCGCAGTACCCGTGTATTAGCAAAGGAGACTATTTCCCAAACTGTACTCGAACTGGTTTAAGGGCCTTCATAGATCCTCTGCGCACTTTGAATGCATTGGTTGGTGGTGCTTTGAAAGGGGAGCTCGGATCATGTTCAGGAGAGTCTTCACGATCAGCCAAAATAAAGGAATATCTTCAATGTTCAGATCCGGGGAGATTCCATTATTTATATATTCATGAGATAACTCAGCAGTGAGCCCTGGTGAGAATGGCCACCTCGACCGCAAACAAAGGTTGAAACAGTTCGTAAGCCCGCCATGAGGTCCTTCCTTCCGTCATCTTCCATGTGGCCTCTTCGCTAGCGGTGCCGCTTTAAGACATATGTCAATCTCCCTCTAAACCTTCAAGCTTCAGCCCTGGAGCCCATTCCCCTAGACAGCACAGCACAAGCACAAGGTGATAAGGAAGGTGGAATTTAATAAACTAGTTACACATTTCTCAACATTTACATTTCAAATATCAATTTAATAAAGTGAGAAAAAAAAAATGCTAAAACTACAAACAACATTCATGTTGGTGGAGTATCATCATTCATGAACAATCCCAGCATTCCTTACTATCCCATTCTCTTTCCAATCTCACTTTCCCAGCCTCTTGCTCGTTCAAACCCATTAGATGAAGACTGGAAATCCAACATGGCCTGATAGACACCTTCTTGAGAACTCAACACAAATGGGCCGTATTGGACAACTTTTTGATCAAGTGGTTGGCCGGCAACCAGCATAAAGCGAGAATGCTCCCTTGAGTTTGGCTTACTAGAAGCATAGACAAAATCCCCCTCCCGGTCAAAGACAACGTTATGGTATTCAGGGACAGTCTTCGACAGTGATCCGGCCGAAGATGAAGCTGAGGCTGCACCTGAATCCTTTCCAAAGGTGGTTTCACCAGACAAGGTATATGCAAACGCATTCCAGCCCTTCGGCAAGGTCTGCGTCACTTCTCCTCCCGGCTTGAGCGTGATATCGAATATCCAAACGGGTGTATAGGCAAGGTCCCGAACGGAATCAACGCCATGTGATTGACCCGATATAACCTTGATTATCGCTTTGCCGTCGTCCGCTGTAACAGTAGGGATTTCGGAGGCGCGGAGATCACGATATCTAGGTTCGCACATCTTTAATTTTTCCGGGAGGTCCACCCACAACTGCATGCCGACGTTTGGACTTCCGTCTGGATTCTCGTGGGGCATTTCCGCGTGCATGATTCCTCGCCCCGCAGTCATGAATTGGAGGTCGCCGGGCCCAATTGTGCCTTTGTTTCCAGCAAAGTCTTCATGGTCAACTCCTCCGGAGAGAAGATACGTTATGGTTTCTTGGCCGCGATGAGGATGGTCAGGGAAGCCTGCGCCCTTTCCGATAGTGAAATGATCGAGCATCAGAAATGGGCTGAAATTTCTGAGCTTTGCGGTGCCAATGGAACGGCGCACCCGCGCGCCGGCACCCTCGGGCTGTTCAATGGCAAGGAATGCCTGCCGAATGGCTCGCGGAATTGACATTTGAGAAGCGATCGGTACTGTGCTCTGAGCCGATGAAGAATCCGGAGCTCGAATTATGGAGATACTTTCGGTCTGAAGATAAGATATTATTGGGGAAACGGGCAGTGCAAAGTCAGAGATCGAAGATTGAATCTTTCCTGAGAAGCGAACTATAGCAATTGAGATGATACAAATCAAGAGAGAATAGATCCACCTCGCCGACCCGACGAAGCCCATTTATATACACGCACCTAGAGGAGAAGGGGGATCTAGGGACAAGTAGAACGTTCTATGGAATTGTCTAAGCATGACAAAGGGCCGCCTAGTACGTATCTTTAATGTAGAAGCGCCCCCCGAGTTACCAGACTTTGGGAGGGAAAAACTGACCGCATATGAGTCGACTGCTGCAATGCTTTTGGCCAAACCCGCGTCGCCTTCCCGGTTGCCACTCCTGTCTGTCAGCATTTTGTAAGCTCCGTGCATTATTAATCCCCGGCTAGCACCATGGTCTTGGCAACCCAAACCCTCTGTTCCTTGCTCTCGGCCCGCACATCGAAACCAGCCGATGGCGAACTTGTGAGGCAGGCCGCCTCTCGAGCTACCGGTTGGCACAGTCGGAGTCGACTGGTACACTACGACAGTAACTAGTGGATATGTGATGTGGGAAAGGGGAGGAGAAATACTCCGTAAGAATTGCTAGATTCAAAGATTCTCGTCTGTCGTTACCTTACACACAGCTTGCCGATCCATTCCAAAAACCTCCGGCAGCCGCCATTTCGAGACCGCGTTTAGCCAGATCGGCTTTTAGTTTAGTTATTCGGGCCTATAGGAAACAATCTTACCCCAAGTATCGGCAGTTCCCCAGATACCACGACGGAGGCAGCTCAACTGTACGATCTGGGAATTATCGACAAAAAGGTTAACATCGACACCGAACTCGCGTATATACCAGTTGAACACCGATGGATCCGCAGCTGTTGAGGTGTAAGAATGAGCCTATTTAAAAAGGTGTTCGGCATGAAAAGAGACACACCTTCAAACATGACCCGTTCCGGGGGCAATTCTTTCATTATGGTGGAAACGACATCCGTTCTCCAACTTTTCACGTTCTCTGTTATACCTTCGCTCTCGATCATGAGACGCTCCACTCCTGCGTCAAGGAATCGTCGACCAAGGTTGATAAGCTTCCCTGGGTCGCTTGTGCCAAGGGCCTCAAGTTCTTCGGCTGACGTGTCTAGTTAAAAAGCGAAGAATACGCATAAGCTGCCAGTCCAAGCCGTGCGAAGGGATACAGCGTGCGTACCTCCTCCAGCCCCAAACTGGATCCCCAATTCTGGCTTGGCTTTGAGTCCATACGAATGCACTTTGTCAACCAAGCGAAGCCAATCATCGCCGGGAAATGAAAGGAACCCTGCTGAGAGTTCTATCACATCGAACCTGAGAACCCAGTGACGTGAGCAAATGAAGTGGCTTATCCAGAATCGGAATTCAACCAACCCAAGTTCTTTGCACTTTGCGAAATACTTCTCGAGGACAGTGGCGTTGTCCGGGTGAGTTAGAAGATGTTCTGCCCAACCACCCTATCTTACAATTAGCCAGAAACGACATACTATCCCGTGACTAGGCTCACCGTGGAGACATAAACGTTATGTTCATGCGCCAAATCAATCATTTCTCGCAGCTTCTCTTCCTCAAAAAGAGAAAACGAGCCTGACGTCTGGTTAGCTCCCACAAGGTAGAATTGGTAACAACGCTTCTTTCCAGAGATAACGCCATACCCCCGGAAAATTTGAGGCCATCAACATATTCACCCATCCTACCTCCGCCATTTTTGATGTCAGTCTTTCTCGATAGGCACAACCCGTCTTTCTGGAGAATAAAACCCTGACGTATTGCTCGGCTGCGTCTTACGTTTCGAGGATATCTGCCAAATATCTCCTTCCCATTACCTGTACTCTCCGCAATCCAGCCGTTAGCAACCAAGAAGTTCTCTAGTTTTCCTCCTGAAGTTGGTAAATCCTTCAGCCCTAGGAAGTGGAAAGAATAATCCGTACAGCGTAGTATGGACCGCGAATCTCGGTCACTCCTCGCGTGCGCGGCTTTGATGACAACCGGTTCGACCTGACGAAGCCCAAGCCATTGTCTTTGTCCTGAATCAACGGCTTGACGTGCTTTCCTTGATGCGACGATGTAGAGAATCTGGACGCCACACGGGCCCGAAAACCTATGTCTCGAGACGCACCAACCGTGGAGCAGGCGTTCCGAACCGTTGTAAGGCCCGACCTCGCTCTAACTGACATGTTTTGTCCCAGCTACTCAAGAGAGGATGTAAAGGGGTCTTGTAGCACGTTCTCCTTTAATTGCTATTGCTTGGTATTGCTTCTTATTGATTTGGCAAGAACTAGGTAATCGATTAAACAATCAGCACTCCGCTCACAATTCTGGATTTAATACAATAGGAGGCTTGCCTGTTATACATCAGAGATGGTGAAGCTCCTGGATGTGACGTCATAGGCGATCCGCTAGCATTTGTGACGCGCGTGTATAGCTGCAGGCGAGTTGCATTATATACGGAGTACAGTAGTTATTGTATCCACACGGTGCAAAGGTACTCCGTCCATTCGTCATAGTCGCCGTCAGCCAGATACATACCACCAGGAGTCCCAAGTGCCCAGGTTTTCCACAAGGTGTATGCCCGCAGCAGAGAATGGGAAGTAGGTTGACATGCCTAGGTGTTCTAACATGCGGACTAATTTAAAGGCTAAGGGATCAATCCAAGCAGGCCACCAGTCCCATGTTTAAAATCTCACAATATCGGCCAGACCTGAGGACTAAACATGGCATTCACATCTGTTACATGGGGTCGTCGCAAGCTTCTGAGATGGAAACCTGTTTGGCTAGACATCAACAACAAGATCATGATTATCTTCATTGTCTCCTGGTTTGGGGACGAATGTTGTTGTAGATGGTACAGTATATGGCATTTGATGTACCCTTTGCAACCCAAACAATCTCATTCGAAATGTGCGGGTGTTACCCTTGATAGCGGCAATGAAGCACAAAGTACAGCCAAGCAGGAGATTAATACTAGATCTCTTTCTCCTGTGAGCTATGAATGATATTGGTTAATCACTCTCGGATATGTGTTCTTGCAACTTCTTTTAGTTCTTCAATGTGAGATTTGTTCTAGGCAGGTAATAAGAGACCAATTTCTAAAGCATAACGACGGATGTCCCAAGACAGGACCCGGAACTATGCCTGACAAGGGAGCGGGGACCTTGAGGACGAAGATTATTATTGTCAACAAGACATGTGTGCTTATGAAGCTGGGGTTTTAAGCTACAAGCAGCCGACCGGGGTCTTCATGACCTTACACAGCCATCAGCCATGTCGCAGCAATTCTATTTCCCTTTCACTGTTTCATCAAAAAGGGAGTTTGCTCAATGGCTGTACATTTAGTTTCCACTGGACCAACAGGATGTTTGTCGCCATTTGTAGCCATCCCGTACGTACTGTATGTTGGGAGGAGCGGGATAAAGCTTAACTGCACTCAGACAGAGCCATCCATCAAAGAGACGCGTATTGTGAGAGGGACTACATCAAGCCATCCGCAGTTGTCCTTCTCCCCGTATATGAAAGCGCTCGCCCAAGGTGTCAAGCAGAGCTCATCTAGAACGGTAAGGGAAACGGGATGTTCGGGTGCGGTGCATCCACGGAGATGCGAGGTAGCACGGAACCCACTCCCACTCCCTATAACCATCAACTTGCTGGGTTGTGATGGCAGATGCCAGGGTGAAGATAAACCCATCGGGAACGACGGATGCAACAAGGCTGACCAAACTTTTTATCTCCTTGCAGAGCACTAAGCTATCGAGCCAGGGACTTGAGAGATCCCATCTATGAATTATCAGTTACAGAGTAACTGATGGCTGCAACATCCAAAGACAGGCAGCCAAAGCCCCTTGGTAACTCACATCAGACCGGTGAGTTGAAAAACAACTAATTCGCGAAGAGAAGTGTGTATACCGAGTATACATACACACATACGATGGATGCAAGGGACTCGTCCACACTTACACCTCTCCGGCAATGATATACCTTAACCCCGTGCTGATCATGATCTCACTATGCGAATCTGAGACGCGCTTACGGACGGATGCAACAACAACACTCATCCATCCATCATAGAAGTTACCGATTGCCTCCACGTCTCGTGTCGAAGTGATAAATTCGCGGGGTTTTAACGAAACTATCCCGCTAGTTTAACAAGCATTTGCCAGGGCCCCTTTCGGTCTTGGCCGGGAGCTTGTATTTGTTAAGGTGCTAAATTGCCGGCCGGTGCATTTTACGGTACTTGATCTATGGCTTGTCCTTTTTTTTCCCACCATCGAAGCCTATCTATCTAGCATCTTGAATGTGAGCCGGAGCATATCAGGTTCGTCATTGACAGGAACAGAGCTTATGACACCGAAGTTATCACGGAGTTGAATCAAGACGCGCCAAGCCATGTCAAGCAATTCCAGCTGCCTGGGCCTAACTCATACGGAGGAAGCGCTGGGCTCCATGCGATCTTCATTTAACAAGGTTCGACGATATTATGAGTTAGCTCACTACCATTCTGATCAGACGGATTATCCCTGGCATTGCTGCGGACCCGAACAGGGCCATCATATAAGCCGTCCGGCTATTATTTGCCTCAGAGCGATACAAGCGGGCGAAGGTGTTGGTTTTGCGCTCTCATTGCATGTTTTTACAAGTCCATGATTAGCTGGAGAGCTGATCAGAATGTCTCTGCCTAGATATTCTATCAGTTCAGAAAACTTCTCCTCGGTCATTATCTCAGGAAAGCAAAGAATGGTCTAGTTACTCAACTCCGGGGAGCATCGTCCAGGGATTGCATCAGATCTGCACCACATGCACGGCCGAAGTTGCAGAACTTACTGCCATGTTTCAACCGGAGTGAAGACCCAATAGCTGTTTTGCAGCTTATCGTTTACCCCTGGAGCAGCGGCACAGGTGAGGGGAATTTGCTGTGATTTTTCCAACGCTTGCTCACGGCAAATCATGTCCCATAGGATCCTCGTCGCTCGGTTCCTCCACTCAACTGCTTGAGAGCATTTAACATCCTTGACCAAATGAGATCCCCAACAACCTTGGGTTAACTAGCTCCATGCAACGGCCATGGATAAAACTTGGTGCCCCTCTATCTGGGCTTGTCGACTTTCTCGTCCTATATATGCCCATGGCTCCACGCCCTTGGGTAGATGTTGTTCAAAACATCTCTGTTCGCATCTGGGCCATCCGAGATGTTGTCATTTGTTTTACTCCTTCCAATTGTCCAGATCCTCTGTGGGCTTGAAGCAGTTGTTGCCTCACCGGCAAATGGCTTCAAGCTGGCAGAGCGGCTTTCTGTCATCCCCGATGGATGGACTAGACGAGCTCGTGCCAATCCATCTAGCACTGTCCATCTCAAGGTTTCAGTGCGCGCCAAAGATCCCAACTTGCTCCACCGCAGTCTTCTTGAAATATCCACTCCCAACCACCCTCGTTATGGCCAGCATATGAAACAGCATGAAGTCCGAGACATTGTTGCCCCTCATCCGGAAGCGTCAGATGGTATAATGGCATGGCTTCATGAAGGGGGAGTTAAACCCGAAAATGTTGAAAATAGGGGAGATTGGATTGACTTCTCCACCAATGTTGACACAGCTGAACGTCTTTTGAACACGCGATTCTATCACTTCGAAGACAAATCCGGGAAGGTTGGCAAGATTCGAGCCCTGGAATATTCGCTGCCATCTAGCTTATCGAAGCATGTACGCACCGTGCAACCAACCACTTTTTTTGGAAGCATGGAGCGGCATCGCAGCCACATTCTCAGACCCGTACGCCCGGCGTCTGAATCCGTCGCTGCCAACACACCGTCCAGCCTCCGAGAACTATACAACATGCAAGATTTCCAAGTTACAAATAAGAGCCGGAATTTGCTTGGTGTCTCCGGTTACCTCGAACAATACGCCCGGTACAGCGATCTCAACGCATTTATCGAACGTTATGTTCCCGACGCGAATGGTGCGACTTTCTCCGTTGAGCTCTACCATGGTGGAAAGAATGATCAGGATTCTCGGCTGGATTCTGTAGAAGCTAGTCTTGATATTCAGTACACCGTCGGCCTAACGTACAACACAAGCGTCACCTATTATTCCGGCGGCGGTCGGGGCCCGTTGGTTCCAGACATTGATCAACCAGACCCAAATGACAACCAGAACGAGCCCTACATGGAGCAGTTGAAGTTCTTTGCAAATCTTTCCGACAGCAGGTTGCCCACCGTTCTCTCAACTTCATACGGTGAAAATGAGCAGAGCGTGCCAGCGGAATACGCAAAGGCGGTTTGTGATGAATTCGCAAAGCTCGGTGCCCGAGGAGTGTCTGTTATATTCAGCAGTGGAGATAGTGGCGTGGGATCTGGATGTTTGACTAACGATGGGCAGAACCGGACACGCTTCAATCCAATTTTCCCTGCTGCGTGCCCATATGTTACATCTGTTGGTGGCACCGAAAACACAAACCCAGAAAGCGCGGTGTATTTCTCATCTGGTGGATTTTCTGAAATATTCCCACGTCCCTCGTACCAGAACGGGAGTGTCGACGCGTTCCTGAACCAGCTCGGCGACAAATGGGCCGAATATTTCAACAGAAATGGCCGTGGATTCCCTGACGTAGCTGCTCAGGGCGTCGACTACGCGGTGTACGATCACGGACAAGTACAATATGTGGGTGGAACAAGGTCAGTGCATTGCGTCGGTAATCCAACCTGAGCCCAAAAATCGAGCACTAACATCCTAAATTTCCAGTGCGTCTGCTCCTTTAATCGCGTCCGTCATTTCCAATTTGAACGAAGTCCGCTTGTCTCAAGGGAAACCGGTCCTTGGGTTCCTTAACCCTTGGCTGTACAGCAAGGGACACCAGGGCTTCACCGATATTGTCGACGGTGCTGGTACGGGCTGCACCGGCACGAATGGCGGACCGCGTATCCCTGGGGCAGCCTGGGATGCTGTTGAGGGATGGGACCCAGTGACTGGATTTGGAACACCGGACTTCAAGAAACTGATGGATTTACTTCCTTGAACGAGCCACGAAGCTGAGCAACGGGGAAGCGAAGTCGGTCCAGAAGGTTATTCGCACATAGTAGGAGAATATATCATAGATCAATATCTAGCAGCCATTTTCATGGAAAAATGATGTGTGTCTGTAGTTTCTTGAGCTGTTCAATTGATTATTCTTCAATATGTTCCGCGGAACCTCGTCTGGGGCACGCAAGGACTTACCCATTGAACCTGGGGCAGCTCAGGACTGCGACGAATAGCTATATATTTTTGGGAGTTGGTCAAACAAATGGTTCCCTACTTGGCTAGTTAACCAATGCAGTTACCATACCACTGAATTGGGTCCTATCTGGCCAAAACTGGCCTGACAGATCCTGGAGCTGTTAATCTCAAGCGGAGTGGATGTGAAAGCTTGGGAGAGCCATAAATCAAGACACACGTCGATCCACAAAACTATCCCCACCCATGTACACTTCTAGGTATACAACTACAAAGCAACTAAGCAAGATTGTTTTCTCTACCTCTTGTTTAATGTTTTGCCTCACCATTTGTTGTGTTTTTTCAATTTGCATCACTGAGATTTGGACCAACCAGAAGTCAGCTAGGCTGCTCCCTGCATGGCTAAGTCGACGATGCCTCGCTCTTCGTGGGCAGGGCTGCTTCACTACCTGATGAAGTTGCCCAACTGGTTCAGATCATTTTTTTGAGGTTTCTATCAGACTCCTGCAATCCGTACCAGCAATCATCTCCATGAAAGTTCGCCTTGAACGAGTTTTTCCCACCCCACTGGTATGCTTGTCTTCTAGCTGAAGACATATATCCCCGGATTAGCTCCTCGAACGAAGCTCAACAAAGCCCCCTATCAAACCATACCATTGGCAAATTATCCGTCCTCCTATTGTCTTCTCTATTCCCTCCAACCCAAACAAAAACAAGAAAAGAAAAAACGACATCCCTCATCAAGCTCTGTGATGGATCGAGTCCTTTCTCTTGTGAACGACGCACTGTCCCACAAGCCGAGAAAACGCATTAACAATGCCATGTCAACCATAGTTCTTTCTGCAGAATCTGGAAGCACTATACTGAAGGGCATCAGCGCTGCCGCAAGCGCTTTCCCGACTGTCAAGGTCCTGGCTTCGCTCGCTGCCTATGGCGGTGCCCTGCACCCCTTTATCGCGGCTGCCGGTGCGACTGCGCAATTTGTTAGCGCATACCAGAACACGCAGATTGCCGCTGTCCTTAGGGATATCGAGCAACAGCTCGCGGTCCAGAACAGCCTTGTTGCTCCTGGAAAATTCGCGAAGATCGTACATGCGTACATTCGGTCGAAGGCACAGGAGACCAAAGACCACGAGGCCAACAACTACTACTTCCTGTACCACCCGGATACCGATTGGCACGCTCTGTTCTATGAGCTGGTGCAGCACAAAGAACCGCTTCCCAAAAATTTCTACGGCATGTCGGACGATTTGAACGGGCTCTGTCTATGGATGCGATTCATCCGGCGCGTCATAAAAAAGACCCGGCAGGATCAAGTGACGTTCCATCTTCTCATGCCCTCGTATCGATTTTATGATATCCAGGAGCCGGTCGAGTTCGACGACACCCTAAAGCCGCTGTACCTACATTGTGAGAAACACAACTCCATGCCGTATGTGAGGATAAATGTACCGGACAGCCAAAGGGGCATGCTACGGCGCGTCGAGGTCTGGGAGAGACCGGCGGGAGTTTGGGAAAAGGTAGGCTTACAAAAGCCTCCACAACGCACTGTTCTCGGGTGGGCGCCGAGCGAAGCAGACAGAGCGATTAGAAGGTCGCATATTCCGAGGGCTCGCAAGAGAGACCATGCTTTTTGAGCTCAACCCCTTCCTTCACGTGGTGGTGGACCATACTTAACACCCAACTGCTGAGAGGGAAAGCTCCTGATAATTGGGATGAATCAACACAACACAGACAAGAATAATTTTATTCACGGTAAGAGTCAGACCTTTTTCAATGTATATCCTAGACGTACTTTGTTGATGCACAGAACGCTCAGGAAAGCTCGTTCAAACTGCCAGGAGTGGAAATGCTACACCACGCGCCCAGGTGACCTTCGTGACGATGGTGTAACCCACACGTTGCTCATGTTTTGTCTTCGAATGATTCGTATAGAATCTCTGGATCGGACTAACACTGTGGTTTCTAAAGAGAAGAGTGAACTAGCTTCCATGGGGTGGCGTTTGTTTAGGCAAACGTTCATGGGTCTTTTTTTTTTTGAGCCAATGTTATATAGTATTTATTTTTCGAGATCCCATCTTTCACAGAAATGATTTCGAAGACTGTATCATATCAACTCCTGCGAAGGAGTTTCGGCAGAGGGGTGACGGCGGAAAGCGGGAACGCGAACAGTTGAAGTTGGGATAGAAGCTCTCTTCATCTTCTCACAAACGTCAATTTTTGGAACTCTCAAAATGTATTTGAATGACGGGAGGGGACACGTATGCCACTTATAGATAGAGGCCATCGCCCGGATTCCGCTGGCTGCGTTGAGTATCACGGCATCGGAGAGTTTGAAGTAGTACTGCAAGGTCTGCATAGCAGTTGCGCGGCGCGCACCTTTTACGTAGCGGCTATGAGACTGCTCTTCCTCGTTCCCAGATCAGATCTACGGGGGCTGCATCGTCCATATTTCAATGGCCCCCCAAACATCACTCATACCCGCACTGAACCCTCCCTGTCGTGACCCGGTCAGGGCTCACTCTCTCTATAGATTATGCCTGATCACTTCCAAGGAGGTTCACAGAGCGCATATTCAAAAGTGGCCCTTGAGGGTGATCTCCGCATTGATCATTCCTGCAGTCCTACGGAGCTTATCCAATGGGGCGGGGGTGCACAGAGACGTGAACGGGCAAAAGCCCGTCCATTTCTTGAGGGTTATGGCGGGATGATGCATCTTCATCCCAGAAGCACATACATACATACATACATACATACGGAGTACATGGTTATTGAAATCAACAGCAGCGAGCCAGGTGCACAGAGACGCCTTGACGATGAAAAGTCTGCATTCCGGATCCAAACTCCATGCTGAGGAGTTGCTTGCGGTATGACTAGGACCGCGTTTGTTCGTATCCCTGATCGCTTCCTGCATACGGAGTACATATGTAGTAGTCTCTTTTCGAGGGCGGGATACCCCGAGTATGAAACAAACGGATCCGGCTCTTCCGACGGCACACCGACCTCCCACTAACTAGAATTGAAGCGAACGGTCAACTGAGATGACAGTTCATCTCCTTTTTGTTTCTTTTCTCCCCTTCCCTCTGCGAGGAGAGGCCAATGGATCCGATCGAGCACGTTGCACAACCATCCAATAATAATGGATATCCAAATGTTGTCATAGGGCACTGTGGGGGGGGAATGAAGCAAAACGGCGAATCATAGAAATCCATGAGGAGTGTCGTTCTCGTTCTCGGAATAATATCTGGCCAGAAAGTTACAAATGCCGGTCTCCGACTCAGCAGCAGGCTGAATACTGTGCGATGTTGACCTCCGTTGCCTGCAAGATTGCTGTCGAATTCGCAGCCCGTCGGACCCACAGCTTGTGATGGAGGACCCGTATGCTTGTGTCATTCACTAAGCTACCTAAAGGGGAATCTCGGCTAATCTAAGTGGGTCACGTGAGCGAGGTGCTAGTTGGATTACCTAACAGCTTGTCTGGTAGCCCGACGGACGAGGTTGGTTATGTTATGTACTGAGCGCGTCACGGGGCGGTTTGATACGGCATGCCCGGAGCCAAGTACGGAGTATCGGGAATACATACACCCGTACGCAATATGTAACACGAATCTTACGTGGAGACCAAGCGGGGCTTGGCGGACGGCGCCTATTGGCTCGGAGGGCACCGCCTTGTGGTTTCCCGGCAAGCGAAAAAGGAAAGCTTCATGGACCACTCGCTGGCAGCTTACCTGATTTCGCCTGCAGTCTCGAACAGCCGAAAGAAAAAAAAAAAAAAGAAAAAAGAGAGAGAGAGAGAGAGAGAGTGAGTGTGTGAGAGGTACTCCGTAGAATAGGAAGATTGTTCAAGCGTTGGCTTTTTTTCTTTCTTTCTTGTTTATTAGAATAATAATAATAATACACATCTTAACTTCCTGGTCATCGCCGAATTCATGACAACTCTGGCATCGGGGAACAGAAATGCGACCCTGCACTCTCGCGCCCCTCGGGTCGCGTGCCCTCCTTCCATCTGACTGGACAGCCCCGAGGCAATGATGGCATCAATCATGGGTGTTTGAACACAATCCTCATATCCACATGGACTGACAGGACGCGGTTGGCCTGCGGCCGGTCCTGGCAGAGACCAAAACGTCATTTTTCCCTCCTCCCAGGCTGGTCACCTGCTGCTACGTAAGAGCTCTTGAACAGCGGTTTCATCTCCCAGGACACCGTCTTCGACCCCCTTTCCATGATGCTCTCGTCGTCTCTCCCGTCTATTCTTCTGTCCCAGGAACACACTTTCGGCGACTTCCCAGATCAGAACCGGGATAGTTCGTCTGGATTCCCCGTTCGCAGTGGCCGATAACTATCCGCTCGGGGTCCCAAAAGCCACGGCCTTCTCTCCCGCTTCCGGCTGCCCCCAAATCGGGGTTCTGGCTGAAAGTAGACCCTAAGGAAGCTCATCCGCCCCCCGGACCTTAGTCCCCTACGCACCCAGGTTCGACTTTGCTGCACACAGCTCGCTCTTCTCTCTTCCTTTTTCTTTTTCTCTCTTCTTCTTCTTCCTCTTCTCCCTCTTCTTCTTCGTCCTCTTCTTCTTCTTCTTCTTCTTACTCTTCTTCTTCCTCTCTTGTCCTCTCCTTTTCTCATTCTTTCTTTTCTGTTTTCCTTTTCCTTTCCGTTTCCTTTCTCGTGTCAATCGTTGAAAGCAGTATTATTCTGCAAAATAATAATACACGCTTATTGCCTTCCAATCATCACTTAGTCCGCTGCCTTTCTCTCGCTCCCCCAATTGACCACTTCCCCCCCCCCAAATTGAGGCGGGCGGCCCGAACAAAGTAGCTCCCGGGGGGCACTACGGTTTGGACATGGGTGCCGGGGCTTTCCTGGAACCTCTAGTGGTCGTGACCCTTCTCTTCGGTGGAACATGGATCAACCGCGAAAGGGACGTCGCGCGCTCATATTCGCGAAACAGCGGCTTTCCCAGCAGCTCCCGCGATAGCGCCTCCTCAGACCAAGAGTCGGATCCTCAGCTATCGAGACTACGCACCTCAGGTTCCAAAGCTCCCTTCGCTGAAGGTAACCTACCTCGCTCCCATTCACCCTCCCTGCTCACGGACCAGGAGCACCGATGGCGGAAGCGAAATATTGGCCTCTTCTCCTGGGAAACGGAGGTCATCACGCCTAACACAGCGGTTTTCAAGAACCGCCTGTTGAGCAGGCTCCTTCACAAGTTTCCATTCTTGGTGGAATGCTGGTACTGGGCCCTAGTGTATTGGGTAAGGTAAATTTCCGCCCACTAGTCTTCGAGGACTGGTCTAACACATGCCGCTACTCTTCCAACACAGATATACCAGTTAGGGCGCGCCTTTACCGCTGTCACACTCCAGGCAGGCACTGTGGATGTAGCCAGGCGACATGCACTCCAGATTATTGAACTGGAGGAAAGGCTGCATATTTTCTGGGAGATTGGAATTCAGAAATACTTTCTGCAGCGGCCCTTGCTATTGATGTGGACCAATTGGGTATATTCTTTTATCCACATTCCCGGCACAATTGCATTCCTCGTCTGGCTCTATTACTACAATATCACCCGCAATCGCCAGCAGGAACGGTGGTTGGATGGAATGAGAGGAGAAATCGCCGGATCGCCCGCCGGTCCGGCGCTTTACCAGGCTCGAAGGCGGACCATGGCCGTCTGTAACCTGCTTGCCTTTGTCGTCTTCACCCTTTGGCCCTGCATGCCGCCCCGCCTGCTGAGCGATGAGAATGTGGAAGGCCCAATTGGCGAAATTGCCCGGAGCTATGGATTCGTTGACACGGTACATGGAACGGGTGGCGCGAGCAGTGTGTGGACGCAGAATAGATTTTGCAACCAGTACGGTAAGCATAATATTTCTCCTCTCAAGCTCTTGTTCGTCAAGAGGCTTACGCTTTTTTCGATCGGTAATCTAGCTGCGATGCCCTCCCTTCATTTTGGGTACTCTTTGATGATCGGCCTGACTATAATGACGATACCCTTGGCTCCTCAGCATCGTCGTTCAGGCGCCCTAAGTTTTCCCCTGTCCGACACAACATATGCAGGATATAAGCGTTGCTTTCCATCCTGGCATCGGTTGGCTTGTCTCATCGTTGGATTCGCGTACCCGTTCACAATCCTCGTGGCCATTGTGGCCACCGCTAATCATTTTATACTGGATGCGGTGGCAGGCGCCTTTGTCTGCGGCCTTGGATGGTGGGGAAACTCCATTTTGCTGAACCTGCTGCCGATCGAAGACTATTTCCTTTGGGCTCTGCGGATCCATAAGCCCGAGCACCGCATTCTCGACGTGAAAGACTTATTATATAATGATGTTGACGATGATATCGCAACCCCTGGCGCGCGTACGCGATAAAAACCTGAAGCTCTATTATCCCGTCAGCAACAGCAGTCGCTTTATAAGAATGACTCTTCATACCCTTACTGTGAGCGTGTATGGTGATTTGTATTCCTCCCATTAGTGGCAAACTTCTTAGTTACACATACATATATATAATCTTAATCTTCGCGTGCGAGATTGTCGTGAAATCCTTGGATCCTTGCTTTCCCCCACTAGTATTGATAACACCGTACATAAGCTTTGTTCTGCGTCAAAGTGTCAGTTGATAGAATCAGCTAGTTTTCCAAAAGCTGAACGTTGTCACAACTTAACCTTTTGAATATTGGCCTGCTAGCGCCCACAAGATGTAGCCTTGGGTTATCATAAGGTGTTGGAAGTTACGGTCATACTTGAATCGGCAATTGTCTGGAGGCTGCTTGGACGACTTAAAAAAAAAAAAGTTACCAACCACCAAGTAGAAAAAGTCCCCCAGGTGATTCAATTGCATTTATCAGGAGAACTACATATAGCAGCTGTAACTAATGGAACTGAACCCAGCATTTCAGTGATATGAATAATAGAGTGGTGACCATCAACCCAGTAGGCTTTGCTGATGCTTCGTCTGATAAGTGTAGCTGAGGGGAGGACATGAGAAGTTATGGTCCTATCAGGGGAATGTTTTCTTTTTTTTTCTCTCCCAGCGTGACAATTAGGTTCCAAGGGAACAAGGTGTGTACAGAATAGAATTGTGGATAGATAACCCCAGCCATTTTGCTTCGTAGGATAGAACAGGAGAAAGATAGTTGGTGCTAAACGTATGAAGAACGTTTGAATGTGTACTCTGTATAGAGTAACTAGTTAAGTGTAGTGCTGGAGGAAGCGGTGGTTTATGAAGTCGAGCCAGCCATTGTGGTCTTGGTTTCAGAGTTGATCCAGGGTCAAGCCGACTGATTGTCTTCCAACACATTGCCATCAACAATGTCGGGGGATATTCCTGTAGATGCCTGAGCCCTCAATTTTTCTCTGACCTTCTTCCCTTTTTATTTTTTATTTTTTTTTCCCCCTCCGTTTTTCTCTTTGGGAAATCCCCTGTTCCCTCTCGATAATCTTGTACAGGCATTAGATGAATGGTGGCTACCCCGGATCTTGCTGTCATCATAGTTTACTGGCCTTTCATCTCATCCCTTCGAAGCTTTGCGTGTCGAAGTCTTGCTGCGGGGAACGCCAGCTGCCTGGCGTGAGTTCGTACATCAACATCTTCACTCAAGAAATCAAATTGACTTGGGACTTAGGTGAATTTTTTACATAAATCACAACCTTCTGGTGTCTAGTTATACACTGAAAGCTACCACCTTTTTTTTTTTTTGTGCATCATTCAGCGGAGTTTCTATCCTGGAATTTTTCTCATCAGCACCCACTGCTGCTTTACTGATACCCTTGATCGCAACTGTGCTTGCTGCTCTTGAGTTCTTCTGAGGATCTATTGCATAGAGGGGCATTGATTTGACCCTTACTGCCACTTTGACACATCCCGAGCCTAGTCTCTATCTCCAGGACCGTCCTTTTACGAAGTGAGGGACGGCCACAGCAAACTGAGACATTTCTCCTTGCTCATATTCCCGCTTGTCCATCCCTCATATCCTGGGAGATCTTTCATAAATCCCAGAGCCTTCACTTTTCCCTGGGCTGGGGCTTCTGGGGGGGTTTAAATCGTGCTGGCGGGTGGAATTGTGGACAGGTGTTACGCGCACCCTGACGCGTTTGCAAGCGCCTGGTCGCGTCCAGAGTCGTTGGAACAAATTTACTTGGTGCCCTCCAAGCAGTGCTACTCATCTTCTTTGACCATTCCTGCATTTCTGTGCTCTGTGCGGTGGGTGTGTTGAGGCGTTTTTGCACTCCCTGCGACGATTTAGCTCCGTGGGCACCTCCCCCTAAATTTTCTTTACAACCCACGCGTTGCCTGTCTCACGCCACGGTTCTTTCGCGCACCAAAAGCCAATCCACAACAGAACCCAACCACCAAAACCAAACAACCACTTCCAACTTCCAACCACCATCCTCACCCATCGCCACATCTACTTTTACCTGTTTCCAGTATTTATTCTTTGCTTTTGCACATTGCCTACATCCGGGTTTGTCGCAGGCCATGGCCGAGGAGGGTAATCCAGCTGTCCCGAAGACCGCAGACTCGAAGGACGAGGTCCCCCAAACTGCAGAGACCACTGCCAAATCTCCAGAACTGTCGCAAGCCGATCAGGATGTTCAAAAGCCGTCGAAGGAAGGCGATGACGTGGCAGGTATGTTGCTATTTGTTTAGCCGGAAGACTTTGTCATCGGTTTCGGCTCATTGACTGACTCTTCTTAGGCCATGATCAAGTCGCCGCTCCCGCCGAGGGCAAACCTGAGAAGACAGACACCACCTCCCTGGAAACCGCTGAAATAGCTAAACCCACTGAGTCGGGATCGCAAGAACCAGGAGCCACAAGTGATAATGCTGAAGCCAGGACTGGGGCGGACGATCAAGCGACGGGTGCCAATGGGACCCCCACATCCGCCAAAAAGTCGTCCAAGCGCAAGTCAATTGGCGTACCAGAGCATCGTTCCAAGAAAATGTCTAAAAAGAAGGCGGTGGCTCCCACTACCCATCTCGATGCGCAGCCAGGAGAGTACTACTTTGCTCGTCTGCGAAGCTGGCCGCCATGGCCTGCGATTATCTGCGATGAGGAAATGTTACCTCAAAGCCTACTTGCTACACGCCCTATTACAACCAAACAGAGCGACGGCACATACACTGAACATTTCAAAGATGGAGCCAAGAGGGTCAATGAGCGGACGTTTCCAGTCATGTTCCTCCACACCAACGAATTGTAAGCGGCCTCCATCCCCTCGAGTGCTCTGGTCACCATTACATATTCTACGTAATATGCCATAATTATGAACTAATATTTTTCCTAGTGCATGGATCCCGAATACTGACCTTGTGCCACTTGATCCAGAACAATGCAAGAACCCAGAGAAGGCCAAAGGCAAAGGCCTGCTTGCAGCTTATCAGGTCGCCTCCGAAGGCCATGATCTCCAGCATTTTAAGGATATGTTAGCAGATCACCAACGGGCATTGCAGGAAGATGAGGAAGCACGAGAGGCCCGAGCAAAAGCCAAACAAGATAAAAAAAAGCGAAAGAGCATGGATTTGGCGGATGAGCGTGAAGATGTGGAGATGGCAGATGTTGGTGCTGAGAAACCAAAAGCCACCAAGAAACGTAAGAAGGACGTTGAGAGCGAAGGAGAGAGCGACAAGGTAAGCACTCCCCCCATCCTGACGCGGGTTTTGCGTTTTAGGCGATGTGGCCTCTTGGCACTACATATTGCGACATTTCGGCTATGTGAATAGGCGGGCTAACAGGGATTGCTTGGGTGACGCAGCCCGTGAAGACTCCTAAGACAGCCACCAAGCTTAAGTTGACTACCCCCAAGGCGCCGGCCTCTAGCGAGACCGGCAAAAAGGGAGCTACTGCTAAAGCTACCAAGTCCAAGGGGCCCGGCGGCAGAAAAGCAAAACAACCTCCTCCAGCCAGCGATGAAGAGGAGGCTGAAGAAGCCCCCAAGGAACCCGAACCGAAGGTTAATCCCGCAGAAGCCAAGGCGAAAAGAGAGAAAGAGAGTGAGTCCTTCGACTGATCGAGGGCCTTCGTCATCGAATGTGGTTGTTTTACTGACTCTTCCTCTTTTACAAGTTTTCTACCTCCGTCATCGATTGCAAAAAGGGTTCCTCTCACGTGATCAGGTACCGAAAGAGAGAGAAATGGAAGCCATGTCCAGCTATATCTCAAGGCTGGATTCCTATGACGACCTTGAAATCAGTATCATCCGAAAGACCAAGATTAGCAAGGTCCTCAAGGGCATCATCAAATTGGCTGATATTCCTAAGGAGTCGGAATACAATTTCCGCGGCCGGTCAATTGATATTTTGAAGAAGTGGAAGCACTGGGATGCACCCGCTACTGAGCGCGAGGGGGACAAAACTTCGGCCGAAAATAAAGCAAAGCCCGCTGCCAACGGGGTTCGCGATGAAATGAACGGTAAAGGTAGCAGTAAAGATGATGTCGCTGCTCCTGACACCGATGAGGCTATGCCTGATGCAGATGCTGACGAGTCTGAAAAGAAGGCGGAAGAAAAGGAACCAACTTCCTCCACTGCTGAGGAGAAGATTGAAACTGAGCCTATGGCTGCTTAAAAACAACAGAACCTGCATTTGGGATTTTGGATGGCCAAGTTTTTGTGGATAGGCCCCCTATTGTTACTTTACCAACCTTCATTCGCAAATAGCTAAAATCACTACAGAAGTTAAGTCGTCGGCCTGGGAAGGTTATAGGTTGGCTTGCTTTTTATGTCTTCCTTGTTCCTGTCAAAACAACCTGTTGTTTAGTCTTCGCGTTTGCGGTTTGTTTGCCTATACAGGATGGTTCGCGCTCATTGTGCCTTTTTTTTTTTTTTTGTCTTTTCTGCGTTCTTTTTCCTTTTTCATCAAAATGCTGAGATGGTCACATATTGTTTGTCTGGCAATGGAGGGAATGATTCTGTACTTGACCTACTATTGTTGCTTCCTATTAATATCTTGCCGCTTGAAGAGCTCCAGAGGGTATGCTCAAGGCTCGCTACTAAGATTGGCAAGTATCAAATTCAATTCTAGCCTGTTGTTTTTAGATCTTTATTCCTCTGCACTATGTGGTTTGTTAAAAGACATTCATTGGGGCCTTTGTTCATGGTTTGTGATTTGTTTTGATTCTAGCTGTGGCCTCGTTCTAGGGATAGCTAGGCAGCAGCTAGAGGTATGTGAAGGAGCCCAACGGCGATCTTCAACCTTGCAAGATAGTGACAATGCAATAAGCGACACCGAAAAAAGTTATTCGGAGATGGAAAGAAAAAAGTCGAAAATGCGTGTACATTCCAGGTTTTGGGAATATGTATTTCACTTTGTACAAATGAACAGCTCGGTTAGGGATACATTTAGCCCAGTTCGTAATCAGCACATTCGCACCTGGCGCCTCGATTTGGCGGATATGCCATAAACAGCGAACAGTCACAAAGCATAGTATGTCATCCTAGGCGCTGTCCATGGCTTGGAAGCACATGGGGGAAAAAAAATGCATGGCACGTTATGTCACATCCACACGAAACGGGTAGGGAAATCTAAACGTGATGTTTTCAAGATCTCGCGGCCGTACGTTATAGCTGGTTGAAATGTTGGTGATGATGGTGCCGGATACTATGGGTGCAAGGACACCGATTTTTATGCCAACTATGCTATGAACGGAAAGACCGTTGACGACGAAATTCGGTAATCCCTTTGCAAATGAGAGGGCAAAATTAAGATGCCGATGCCGTGGGTTTGTCCCGCGCATGGAGCTTCCGGCCCGGTGCCTGTTGAAGAAGATTGCGAGTTTCTTTGTGATTCTGATGGGATCACGCAATCTTCCTCCCAACATTTCCTATACCGCGTCCGACGACGCTAACAATGACATCTCCCGATTTATTCTCTTCGGGTGCATCTCTAACTCCCCACCCAGCAGCCCCGAACTGGCTGAGATCTCGAGCCAGCTGCACGATCGCTTCGTGAGATATGATGTCTCGACCTACCTGAAGTCTTCCAACGTCTTCTGAGCCCATTGCCATGAGAGACAGCACGGTAGGCGCCCCAGCCATGGAAACGCACCCGCCGACGGAGATAGACTCCAGTAATTGATAGGCACATTGCTTCCCGATATCTTCGGGAGGCTGACCACCGGATGGAGGAGAGGCGACGTCAGCAGAATACAGACATCCGGTTGAGGATTCAGCAACTAAAGAAAGTCCGAAACCGATTCCGATTTTCCTTTTCGCATTCGGATTGTTCTTCTCAGGAGCAGGAACCAATGGAGCGGATGACACATCGGAGAAAATATAGATATCTGATACCAAGGGGTTTAGAACCCCTCTAGCAACCTCAATCATTCTCGCGTTATTAGACCCCGATACGCCCGTTGAGTATGCAACACCACGGACGCTCTTGATTCGACCTGGGTTCAGTAAATGTAGAGTTTTAGGAAGACGGACTTGGTGGCCGAAAATCAATTGAACCTCTCCACCGCCACCTTTTCCATTGCGGTCCGGGTTAGATCTTCGCAGGACACGCAGTTCAATATTGTTGAAAATGCCGAATTGCGAAAACAAGGGAAGGATCGCGGTCCTCACACTATCAACGGACATGTCGCCCGTCGGGGTCGAGGAGGTGATAACGCCCGGGCCGGTGAAGAGGATATTGAAAGAAGCCTTCGAGAAAGGAGCGAGTAGACAAACTGGGATCAAGAAATAGCTGATCCCTCGCGTACACCCCGCAGGAAGCTCGTGTTTGATAACACCCCCACTGGCACCGCTACCGGGAGCACTGCCGGTTATGAGGCCAGGCTTATACACCAGTATTGTTCCCGTATACGATATCTCTATATGTGATCCATTGGTCACCGCTTCTAAAAGACGCAGGAAGGAGATCTCATAAGGTGCGAGCCCCGGGTTTGTTGGCGACGACGACCGGATCTGCGAGATGTGCACGGCGCGGCCAGTCAAGGTGGCAAGCACAAGGCGGTGGGCAAGGTGTTTGTGGGAGGTAAAACGAAGGGGAGGTTGCGAGGTCGCCATTGTTCAGGTTTGCGAATAACCTCCTCTCCGTTTCGACTTCGGACCGGGCGGTTTGATCACTTCCCGTCGAGCTCAGCAAAGAGAAAAAACCATCACGAAAATGAAAAAAGTCGAGAAAAATCCGGCAGCGAGCGACGGCGGCTTGGCACTGTGGAGCTGATTGATAAGATAACAAGCTAAGCCTCGTAGCTAGCCAGCGGCGCTAGCGGGCGCGATTTTAGCCACGGCGTCGACTTATGTACTCTTTGCGCGTCTCTCCGGGACCCGACTGAAGCACGCCATGTTTCGAGCAAGGATAAGGAATAATAATATGAGCCGGAGCTGCCACGCTCAATTTCAGACAATATCCTGAGTATAGAGAAGAACCCGCCTGCGGAATGTTGGCTCCAGCGCTAAATTTGCCCAAATGGTCAGTCACTGGCACATCAACCAAACCCCCCGCCCTCCTCTCCACCCCGCACCGCCCAACAGTCGAGTTCCATCAGCGACTCGAAGCATTCACCGCGAGCACCTTGAGCAGCGAAGACTCACAGGGCTTAACCTTTAGGCTCGAGGAAAACTCCCACCTACTCCAGCCACCCATCAATAACTACTGCGTCTACCACCCCTCCGCCCCTGCAACCCAAGGCTATACGGTGATGGTCGTTGGAGGACCAAACGTCAGAACCGACTACCACATCAACCCCACCCCGGAATTTTTCTACCAGCATCGTGGCTCCATGCTGCTAAGGACGGTCGACCAGTCCACTTCCCCGCCCACCTTCCAGGACATCCCCATCCACGAGGGTTCCTTGTTCCTCTTGCCTGCTAACACGCCCCATTGTCCCGTGCGCTTTGCAGATACGGTGGGTGTGGTGCTAGAGGTGCCTCGACCGGAAAATGCCACGGACTGTATGCGTTGGTATTGTAAGGGGTGTGGAGAGATTGTCTGGGAGAAAAAGTTTCGCTGCACGGATTTGGGTACTCAGGTCAAAGAGGTGGTCGAGGAGTTCGCTGCTGATGATGAAAAGAGGAAATGCAAGGCATGTGGGTCTGTGAGGAGTGTGAGATATGAAGACGGGGAAGTCGTGCAGCCGCCTAGAGCACCAGAATAGGCCCGCTATGAAAAAGTACTAGAGCAAATATATGCCCTTATATGCCCTTGATGTTGTTTTTGTGTGTGTGTGTGGGTGGGTGTGTGGATGGATGTGGAGATCGATGGGCTGAACTGAAGAGCCCGGGCACTGATATCCCACTATACAGTTAAAGTGATTCGAATAATAGCCATTGTGGATACAATCGTACCACACACGATATATGGGCTTGAAAAGCCGACAAGGATTTTTCAGCAAACGAAACTAGTATAGAAAGCCAACAAAGGTGGCGAGTTGTTGAGTATAAACACACTTAAAGTGGTAGAGAATGAGAAGATGAATATAGTGCTCGGCAACAAGATCATACCTGGGAAAGAAAGATAAGTTGGAATAAAAGTGTACTATTAAAAGCCTGTATAGCCTGAGAAAAGCAGACAATATTGGGTTCATGATGCAATGTTTAGTCGTCAAAAGGGCAGTCAATGCTTTCGTGTCCATCCCGCTCACACAATGCACACCACTTAGACTCATCGATGACCCCGGACGCTTTTCCCGCCACTGGAGCCATTGAAGATGGCAACCCCCCTATACCCTTTAGTCCCCCAAGGACGACATCTCGCCCCGTTCGCCGTGAGCTTGGGCTACTATCATTTGTGTGCCCGACGCTGCTGTCAAAGCTTGACGCCGGGATGCTAGAGTCTACGGCGTTGCTACTTGAGGGGCGCTCATCCGTCAAGTTATTAGGATGATTTTGGACAAGTTCGTCATTCTTGCCTCCAGTGTTTCCGGATGAGCTAAACATGCTGGTGCAAGTGAGGATATCATGCCCGCTGGTTTCACAAATCTCGCACCAACCGGCACTTTCTTCGTCTGTGCTCGATGAGTGGTTGTCGGATTCATGCATGGTAGGCAATCGGTGAGGATCATCGGAATGAGTTGGTGAAAAATATTGGCCGCTGTTGTTGGCCGAGGAAGACTCACGCCAGTCGTTAGGGACGACAGTGCGATCAGAAAGGGTATGCGTATGATTAGAGGAGGTCGGCCCAGCCGTATTTTCAGCCGAGGTCTGATTCTTTTGTATATTCAGCGGACTCGCTGTGATCGTGCCACTTCGATCGCGGTTTGGTTGATAGTCACTGAGCTGGTATCTTTCCAGTTCATGCTCCAATTCCTCGATTCTATATGATTTGTGTTCAGAATGGGCTTCTAGCTCCCGGATGCGGCTTTCAAGTTGGGAAGCGAGATCATTTTCGTGGTCGGCCGCCCTTCTGGTTCCATGCGACATTCCGTTCTGTTGAAGCAAGGCATGATTAGCAGGGTCACCACGGCTAAGTGAATGGATTATGGCCTTAAGGCCTCGTATTTCGTCATCTTTTTGGTCAATCTCTCTTGAAAGAGGGCGATGGATCCCATCCGGTGACGCACTCGCTTCTTTTAAGACCGCAATGGATTTCTCTTTCTCTTGTTTCAACTCGAGTCTGGTTCGTTCGACCTCGCCTCGAAGGAACTCTACCTCCCCTCTAGCCTCAGCTTCGCCTCTGCGAGCGTCTTCAAGCCCTTCTTCTAGCTCGGAAACAAGCTCTTCAAGCTGTTTGAGTTGTCTGGCTACGGTCTCCACATCTTCGCCACGAGCTTGGAGTTCGCGGTTTGCTTGCATTAACTCTTCAATTCGCTTTTCATATACTCTCTCCGTCTCTGAAGCGGCAACTTCGAGAGTATCTAAAGTGCTTCTGAAATCTGCTCTATGGCTGTCGAACTCAGCTGTAAGAGCAGCGATTTTATCGTTCTTTTCGCGAAGTTGTGCGCGCACTTGCAGCGCATCTAAGCCTTCAAGCTCTGTGATACTCTTTTGAAACTCGGCCAGGGTCGTAGCCTGGTCTTCCAGTTGTCTATCGCGGTCCTGCAGTTGCTGCTCTAAGTATCTTATCCGCTCCATCAGCTCTTGATCGTCAAATGCCGGGGTTCGCGCCAATTCGCTTCGTCTCGCAATCGATGGAGTATTGCTCTCGACGCTAATTCTCGACGGGGGACGACTGGAAGGCCGCATAGCCCTATGCGGTGTTCGAGGTACTCCATTCGTCGGGGTAGGTTTAGAGAACCCAGAGGGTGTTCGCAGTCCACTGAGGCTTAATTTGGGTGGTGACGTTGCCACGGGAGCTCTAGGTGACTCTGGACGGGGCAAGGAGGGTCGCCTGAATTTTGGTCTATTCAGGGATGCCGTAGGGTTAACCACTCCAGGACCGACGGAACGACTGAAGTTGGTAGTGACAGCTTTTGCGGGCGTCCCGGCCGGCCGTGGGGTGACATATTTGCCATTCATAGGCACAAAAATACCGGAGCCTGGAACGGAAGTGCTGAAGTAGTATCGGCCTTCGACGTCGCCGCTGTTTTTCCCTCTGCCCGCGTGTTCTGGCGCCAGCTCAACGCCCGCAAAGCGTCCGGATTTTCCTGCCACGGTACCGACGAATTTCACCGTCCCATACATGCCGCCGGGCACGTTGACGAGGTCACCGACCTGGATGTCGTCGACAGAGGCCATTTTCCCCGGGATTCGCGGACTTTTCCTCATTGTGTTGGTCAGAGTTCAGTCCTCGACGCGCGACAGAGATACCCAAGGGGCGTCGGAACAAGGAGAAAATCGTACTCACTCGATATGACAGTTTTGGTATTTAAACTAGTGTGGACTTAACAGTAATGCAACTCATAACAGTCATAGTTGATGCAGTTAATGCGGGCATTGGCATTGCCTGAGAGAAAGGTAAAGAAGCGGGAGAACTTTTTTTTTTTGGCTGAGCAAGGGATGCACCCAACCATCGGGAACTGGTCTGTCCAGCAGGCAAAAGGGCAAACAACTCTTCAGTGAAATGCTGGCTGTTCAATAAATATCAACAGGGGACCTTATAAGAGTAAATAAACACAAACCATTGGGTTGGAGGAGTTGCCCCTGAACCCTGGGTCGGCGAAAAATATTTGGTCATTCAAATACATAATGGAATAACTGTGGAGGACGTCAAGGTTGGTTAACTAACTAGAAATCCATGGCTAAAAAACTAATTTTACGAGTGAGTACGGAGTTCGTTACGGAGAGGTTGGCCAACTAGTTAAACAACCAGATGGCCTTTTGCCGCAACCCTCCTCACCACGACGTGCTGTCTGTCACATCTCCTTGTTTCAACTGACTTTACAGCTCGGATTCGGGGGGTCGTCGGTTGAATCTCGTGCATTTTCAGCCCGGGTCGCCATCTTCGGCGCACTCGGCCGTTGCACCCTCAGCCACGCTTCCGTCATCCCCTGCGGCTCTCTCGATATCCTTCATCTCGGATATGAACTGAGAAGAGACGCCGATTGTTATTTCCTCTGACTGATTTGATCATTGATCTCAATCCCTTTTACCATCCGGCCCTTCCGCGACACCCACTTTTACAGTCCTTCACGGTTCCGGAGTCCTTAAGAGCTCCGCCAGATCGATTGTCAAACCGCTCCCTTGAATGTACCTCCCATACGACCTTGCTCAAGATGGCCCAATACTTCTACGACCTCCTTTATACCTTCACCGATTGCATGTCCTGCTTTCCGAGCTCCCCGCAGCTGAAGATCAATAGCCGGAGTTTCAAGCTTCTACGTTTACTCGGCGAGGTACGTTTGCCGCAAAACTATGTTACCTAGGATTAAGCGCAACTTTTTTCCGCTTTCATATTTGCTGACGAGAGGCTAGGGTGGATTTTCCTATGTTTACCTTGTCCAGGACAAGAGCACATCGGAGCTCTTCGCCCTTAAAAAGATCAGGTGCCCTTTCGGCCAAGAATCGGTATCCCAGGCACTGAAAGAAGTCGAAGCCTATACGTTATTCGTCGACAATAGTAATATCATTCATTCTATTGACCATTGCGTTGCGACCGAGTCAGGGTCGAAATTCCGTTCAGATGGAGGGGATGCAGGGTCTAAAACGGTCTACATTCTTCTGCCATATTACCAAAATGGAAACCTTCAGGATGCCATCAATGCAAACATTGTTAACCATACTCAGTTCCCCGAGAAGGAACTCATGATCATAATGCTGGGTGTGGCCAAGGCCCTGAAGGGTATGCATCAGTATCGGATTAACAGCGGCGCAACACCGGCCAAGAAGGCGAAGCTTGTTAGGCAAGAAGGAAAAGCGGCGGACGCACCAAGAAGGAAGCAAATGAGAAAAGGAAGCCAGATAGATGATGAAGATACAGAACAGGAGCCACTTATGGACGGCGAGGTCACCAGGAGCCAGGAAGGAATGGAAGAAGGTGACTATCGGCCGTATGCCCATCGCGACATCAAGCCAGGTATGTTCCAAGTCATCAACTCATCATGTGGGATACTGAGTCCTCGCGTCCTCCGTTCAGGAAACATTATGCTTGACGACGATGGTAAGACCCCCATTCTCATGGATTTGGGTTCAATGGCTCCCAGCCCAATCGCGATCACCTCTCGATCTCTCGCCATTGCTGTCCAGGACACGGCTGCCGAACATAGCACCATACCTTATCGCGCGCCTGAGCTATTTGACGTCAAGACTGGCTCTATTATCGATACCAAAGCGGATATATGGTCATTCGGCTGTACATTATATGCTTGCCTTGTCGGGAAAAGCCCTTTCGAGGCACGCAGTGACGAAACAGGGGGCAGCCTTAGTATGTGTATTCTGGGCGGAGATTGGAGATTCCCAGACGAGAAGACAGGCACTGTCCAAGGGAAAAGCAAAGTGTCCCCAGCGAACGGAGAATCGGACGAGTCATCAAGGGAGAGAAGCGCCATTAGCCGGGAGGTGAAAGAAGTCGTCCGGCGTTGTTTACGTGTAGAACCCTCTGAACGACCAGATATCGATGAACTAATCGAAATCATACAGCAGACTATTCAGGCGCTTCCTGGCAGTACCGGAGTGTGATCGTGTACTTCCGGAATTTGGACCTTTTTCTTTTCCTCCACTGTGTTTGGAGTTACGAGGCGTTTGTCTGCCGGAACTGTTTGAATAGGCTTTTGGAACGACTTCTCTTTTAAATTGGTGACTCGGCGTCATAGCACTGGCTGCTTTTCCGACCCTCAATTAAATTTTATATATGTATACTTGATGTGACTACGTTTCCTTTTACCCGGGTTGACTGACCTCTCAGACATATACACATACATGTTTCGCCCTGCGACTTGATTTGATTTTCGTGTATTTGTGAAGATACTTGTACACGCTATGTGTACTGGTGCCATAGACGACTGTAGCTCAGCCTCCCAGTTAACTAACGTACGAGGACGAGGCCATCTTCTGGGCTACCTAAAGACTTGCAGCCACCTTTCGTGATTATGCCCCAGGTCAACGGACCATTTTCCACCGGGTGTAGCGCGTATGCTAATGGTTGACCCCGACGCGTCCAGGCTTATGATAACTTTTGGATTAAGTTTTATTGGATGGGCTTCTTCGTGGCTCACCTGTGGTATAAAGATATGGGTGTGTCGGGGTATACGCGAGTAGAAGCACCATGAGCTTCTATATATTTAGCTTAGTGAGACCAGTGAGGGAGAGTAACAAAAGAAGCAATCTTTCCACACAACACGCCCTGTTACTAGTTTAATGCACATGACATTTGCATGGGATAGTAGATAGGATCATAACTTAAAAAGCTCTAAGCAGCGAGCTGAAGTGTAGACCAGAGAAAGCTTGCCTGGGCTGAAATCAAGCCGGTTCAAACGGTTCAAAGCCGGTAAACAACTTGCAGTTTACTGTGGTTCAGGTCATGGAAATTCGAGTCGTACCCCGTGCCAATTTTTGGTCCTCGTCTTCGGCCGGAAACCCATCCGAGCCATTCTTATCAAGCCATGGTGCCAATCCAGCGTACTTGTTGATCCAGTTGATGACTGTTCGATGCCAAACCAGGGAATTCTCGGGCTTCAATACCCAGTGGTTCTCGTCTGGAAATGTGAGAAAGGCGCTTTCTACTCCCTGCATCTGCAAGGCATTGAAAGTAGCCAGGCCCTCCGCAATAGACAAACGATAATCCAGAGCACTGTGAATGACAAGATGCGGTGTTTGCCAGTTGGGCACAAACTCGGACGGATCCCAACGCCCCCAGACATCGCGGGATTGCCAATACGTCCCTTTCAAATCATGAATTGGGAAATACAACTCTTCAGTGGCTAGCGCAAATTTTGTGCTGAAAATACCATCATGAGTGACAAGAGCCTTGAATTTGCGCCCGAGTTCGTGGCCTTGGATCCAATTCATCATGAAGCCGCCGTATGACGCTCCTAACGCGACGGCTCGGCTTGTGTCCACATAGGCAAGATTTTGTTCAATGAATTCAAATCCTCTCACAAGATCTTCATAGGGATAGCCACCCCATGATCCCCGAATATCGTCGGTGAATGCTTGTCCGTAACTAGTACTACCAGTTGGATTAGGCGTGAATACTACATAGCCTTGCTCCGCGAACACCAGTGGGTTCCAGCGTGTACTCCACTGGTCCAGCCACGCTGACTGTGGGCCACCATGGACAAGAAAACAAAGAGGATATTTCTCTCCAGGGTTGAATTTGGACGGTTTCACAATCCATCCGTGAACGTCCCGGCCACGCGCGCCTTTCCACCATATTTCGTCGATCTGAGACTCGGACAACCCAAACGAAGCACCGTTTTTTGAACTCGAGGAAAGCACGGTTGTTCTAACTGAGTCAGAAAATGTTATTATGGAGTAGAGGCTACTTTCGACCAGGCTACTACTGGAGAGAAAAAGCCCACAGGGCCTGGACACAACCTTCGAAATAGAACCGGAGTGGGTAAGTTTGATAAGGTGGTCGACCGACGACAATCTTGACCTGTTGAGCGGCAGTTGAAACACCACCTGGCGCCCAGTATCCGGCACCTGCATAAAAAGGGACGAGTCATCGTGGGCCCATGTCAGAGAGTCTGGGCTCCGGTCCCACTGGCCAGTGCCATCTGCGCCTGCGAATAGTTCAACAGCGTCGGAAGAACCGTCAAATAAGCCATGGACCAAAATGATCCTGTTTTTATCTGCCTCATATCCATCCATTTTCATTGCTAAGAAGGCCAGGGTATTGTTAACGGGAGAGATCACAGGACTAGCCAAAGCTCCGTTAAGCCACGGTATGTTGATCGTCCTCGCTTTCAATGGCATGGGGTTGGTCCATGATGACAATGGACAATAATAGCAAACGCATTTCGTATGGGTAGCCGGGTTCAACTTCGGGTCTTTAGAGATAAACACGACTCCTCGGTTGCAGATGTCAAAGTGGTCCGTTCCACCAAATGGTGGGATCGGCGATTCGACGTTATTCAATCCTGCAAGCAGAAACAAGTTTACGAGACCAGACGACTGAAAGGCCGAGCTGTTCCCCACGGGTAGCCGCTGTAAAACTCCAAGCCAAATTGCATTCCTCTGAGGGGATATATATTCATCCCAGTGCCGCACGAAGAGCGAGGTATATAGTTTCCCCGAACTGAATGGCGCTTTGACATCAGAAGGGTTGTAGAGCGAGCCGTCCGGGTTAGCTTTACCAGAGACGGCAAACCCGAATTCACTTGGCGAAAGCTGTGTAATCTTGAGGTTGTCAACAGGCCCTGGCACCACTCCTGCGACGTATGGTTTCTCGTTCCGAGCACTGCCAATGACAATGCTTGTGTTGCCATTCTCTCTTCCTCTCAGCCAAACTAGCTGGTCACCATCACCGAGCCATTGAGGCTCGCCTTTAAAATCATCTGTGATGAGAGCCGACACTCTTGACGCCACGTCCAAGACGCGGAGCTCGGAGGAGCTCGAATGCGAATCGAATGAATACTTGGTTTGGGTGTATGCGACCAAGGTCCCAGACGCGTTGGGAATGGCGGCCGAGCGACGGGGAGCGCTCAAGAGGACGCTATGATTAACCCATTAGCTTTGTGGCCTACCATAAAGACAGTGTGTTAAGGCGGATATGCAGTGGTGATTACTCTGGCGTGAATATGGCGGGGCGGATGGTCATGGCGGCAGGACGATTGAGATTTCAGGCGGAAGTACGGAGGACTCTCTTTAACTATGGAGGAACAAGATGGACCTTGATGGAACAGTTGGATGGGGTTTGTTCTTGAGATACGTGGAGTAGCTATTCAACTCACCCCTTCCTAAATCCAAGAAGGTACCTTGGGAGGGGGCTGGCGCGGTTTAACCACCAGCGAGCGGTTACTTCGCAACTTCACATGGTAGGGTCTGGATTCCGTATTATCTTCGTAGGCACTCCAGAGTACTCCGTATGTATCCGGATGATCAGAAGCCAGGATAACCACATGGTTACTGTGTGCGTTGCCTATTTATCTGATCCTTGAAAAAAGAAAAACCGCTGGGATCCACGATGTCCTAGCAACCAACCACAAACGTACTTAATATGACTTACTGCTTGTAGCAATCGGTGTATCCAAAAATGATAGAAACAAAATTAAGACATCCATTAAAACAATTGAGCCATTGAACTCCGCCCAGAGATTTCATGCGGGTCCCCGAAGGTCATAATACAGTCTAGGATTGAAATCATAGAAATGCTTGCATAGAGCGGCCCTAGTCATCTTCTTCATCTTCCTCGTCCTCATCCATTCCCTCCGCAGCAGTGATCTTAAAAGTTGGATCCTGATCGACACCAACATAGCTGTCGCTCATCAGATAAAGAGTGAGTTCGTGCTCTCCGGGCCTAGGCACGATGTATTCTAGCTTGATCTCCAATTTCTTCCCAACAGTCACTCGTTTGATGGCAAGCAGACTACTTGTTTTCTCTTCGCCAACCAGCAGCCACCAATTTTCTGCTTTCTTTCCGGGATAGAATGGCGCTGAAACCGTAGTATCGGGTTCTTCTTCGTCCGTTTCTCGCTCCAATTTGACCTTTATATACGCTGGCTCCCCGGCAACGATGCTATCCTCATCCAAGAGTGTGAAATCTAAATCGATGCTTGGATATTTGTCATTTGTGAATGCCGCGACCTGGGCAAGTTGCTTGTTATCAAGCCCAAGGCGCTTGATTAAAGAAGCATAGTCCTTATTCTCTGCTGGGTCCATGGCTTCCATGAACTCGAAAATGTCTCGGATCCTGCGTGAAGGGCCACAGTTAGTTACTGATGAACTATCAGGGAACTGGAAAGGGTAGCTATACTTGAACTCGTTGGCGACTTTGATCGCCTCGGGGCCAAAGTGTGGAATTTGCTTCAATGGGCTGTCTCTGTCCCACATTGCTTGCACGACCATCTGAGACATTTCCATGGCGTTCATGGCATTCAAATGACCTTCAGAAGAGAGTACGTCGACGCAGGCACTAAGAAGATTAAGAACTTTGTCTAAGATGACCTCCAGGTCTCTTCCTAGATCTATAGGAAGCTGCATTCGTGAGAAATGCGCTTGCAATAGGACAAACGCCTTGAAATGAGGCGAGTCATAAGTTGGCTCAGACATTTTCACCGGAACACGATCGTATATGCGACGGAGAATATGCTCTTCATGCCGCCGCACCTGGATACTCTCGAATTCGGTGGCAGACGTAACAATTTCGAGGATCCCTTTAAGTTTCGTTCGCGCAGTCAAGGAAAGGAGGAAAGTTTGCATCGTGATGAAAGAGATATTGTAATATGCAGCGATCATTGCCGCGTTAAGGGGCGACACCGTGTCGTCCTCCTCATCTAGATCGATAATCCTCGCTTCTGCAAGTTCCTTCAATGTATTTTCCACAAGCTCGGACAAAAACGCGCTAAGGCCTTCATGGCTCAGGTCACTTAGTCCGTAATAGCTCGGATTTGCCAAGAGACGTCGATAAAAGTAGGTATAGGTCATCCAATCCACGGCATCCTGGGTAGAAGTGATAGTCTTCGTGCTAATCTCTGTCACAAAGGCATCGTGTAGATAGATTTGTAAGTGACTTTCCATTGGCAGAGCTTCATTGAGAAACTTTTTATAGTAATCCCGCCTTACCGCAGGGACCATCAGCACGCCTTTCCCGCTCCTATCATCCAACGGACGGGAAGCCCTTCCAAACATTTGAAGGATTTCGCTAACTGGATAGTCGATATATCTATGCTCTCGGCCGTCAAAGAACTGAGTATTCATTATGATGACAAGGTGGGCTGTGAATTCGATTTCCCAGCACACATCCCGCGAGGCTAGCATGACCTGGATTGCGCCAATGTTGAACAGGTGAGAAACGATACGCTTATCGCTTTTGCTAAGTGCCTCATGGTAATAACCAATACCGTGAGACAAAGACTCTGCCAAGGCCCGCTCGTCAATACGTTCGAGTAGGGGTGCAATTTGCTCAATTTCGGTATGGAGAAACCGATCCTCAGCATCATCCGCGATACAAGCGGCCACTAAATCTAAAGCCGTTGAGCGAGTTTGTTTGCGAGTAGGAACGAACACCAACGCAGGTTTGGAGGGAGACAGCTGCAGAATAGACGAATAGGCAGGCCTTGCCATCGCAAGCATGAGCGACGGAAAATGGGGGATAGTGAAAGACTGGAGATGTAGCTCAAGAGGCACTGGCCTGGCATGGGGGCTGAAATTGTAAATAGTGTGCTTTTTAGCTCCCAGCCACTCCCCGAGGTCGCGCGCATTCGACAGCGGGACACCTAAACCAACAATACGAAGGTTGCTTTCTGTCTGGAGGGCGATGTAGTGCATTCGGGAAACCACCACTTCATATACGTAACCGCCTTGGCCACCTAACATATGTAACTCATCTGCAATAAGTAATTCGACGGCTTGGACATTTTTTCGGCGCTGCCATAGCCGTGAAACCACATCCCATTGAATAGGTGTGGCCAGGACAAGGTCTGCGCGATCGAGGATTCTAAGATCCGCCGTAGTCTCTCCGATAAGTTTTGAAATCACCTTGCCGCCGCTGATACTTTTGAGTCTACCTTGCCAGTCAACGAGACGTTGATCAACTAACTCCTGGAAAGGAGCAATGTAAACCGCTTTTCCAGCACCGGGGTTCGCCCAATGGCGAAGCAAAGCAAATTCAGCGCACACCGTTTTCCCGCTACCCGTGGGTGCCCCGACGAATACATTGTCGTCAGAGTCAAATAGTGACTTGAAGACTTGAGTCTGAACCTTGTTGAAATGCTCCCAATTCGGGTACAAGGCCTGATACTCCGGTCGTTTTAGGGCTTTGATCGGCACTCGTTGCATATCCAACAGCGGAGTATGGGGGGGGAATCTTTCGGGAAGAATCAGTTTTTGGAAAGCCACGGCAATTTTAGTTTCTGAATGCATCCAACGATCGGAAGACAGCGAGATAAAATAGTTCGGCGGCATTGGCTCAGTTATGGGCACAGTAAACTCCACTAGATGTTCATTCATCTCCCCTGTCGCAAATTCCCTTCGAAGCACAAATTGATCATAGAATAGTATGTCTTCTCCATCGCAATCTTCAACGATAATCCAAAAGCTCTCAGCGTTACCATGTAGTAAATCGTCCCAGACAAAGTTTGGCGTTATCGTAAGCTCAACGCGAAGCATGGAACGCGTCATTGGCTGCACCTGAGCTTGCATGTCCAGGCGAGGGAATTTTGCAACTAGGTCACATACTGTTCGGCCGGCCTTGGGCATGCCAAGTAACTCCCCCATCCGAGGAGGATCAAGATCGAAATAGCTTGACCACGGGACGTCAATTCGCTCAGCTTTCTGAATGATTTCACGAGGACAAGTTGGGAACTGGCGAAGAGGAGACATTGTTGGCCACATCCGTTTCTCTGCCATTTTGCACAGATCGAGAGCCGTTTTCGCGACGGACGACCAGCCTTTCCTAAGAGTTATCTCGAATATTGCTCGAAGAATGCGACCAGCAGATTGCGTGACGTAAACCATGTCCGCCATGAGAGCGAGGCCTTCAAGTTTCAAACGAGAAATGAAAGCTTGCAACAAAACATTGATTTTTGCGTGTGGCTCTTCAATACCCTCCTTTACCGGAATAGGGACGCGACCAAGCAACTTTGCCAGCTCTAGCTTCTCGTCTTGGCGAACTGGAATATACTTGAACTCGTCGCTTAAAGAGAATATACGGAAGAGGTCAATGGTTGATATCATCGATTGGAGGTGACGGTTATAGGTAAGCATTGAGTTGTGTGTTATATAATAATGAGAGGCAATCCGGCCGAGTTCCGTAGACTGAAGCTTTCCGCTTTGCTTGTCGTATTTGACGAGACCGGCATTCCCGAGCACAGTGGCTGCCGAATGTATTAAATCGACGCGCCTTTGCTCAAGGGCTTCATCACCCTCATAGTCCGCGCCGACGCTATAGAGGCCTGGAGAGCGCAGCATTCTTACGAATAAGTAAGTATATCCCAGCCATTCAACGCCCTCGTCGCGGCTACGGACATTTCCCAACACAACTTCTGCGTTCAAATTATCCGCGAGTTTGCTCATCAGCTGACTTTCAATCGGTAGTTGCTGATTTAGCAGTGACAGGTAATATTGTAACTCCCCCTGTGTTGTGATGATGATGCCTTCACCGAACGAGTCGTACTGTGGCCGGCCCGCTCTCCCTAGCATCTGTAGGACATCTTGAGGGCTTAATTCAACCCAGCTTCCCTTCTCTGGTGAGTAAACTTGAGTTCCTTTAATGATGACAGTATGGGCTGGAAGGTTAACACCCCACGCCAATGTTGCAGTACACACAAGAACCTGCAAGCTGCCATCTGCGAAGAGATCCTCAACGGAAGTTCTGTCCACCTTACTCATACCGGCATGATGAATGCCAAACCCGTACGGCATCAAGTCTTTTAGTGACGGGTCGTTCACGCTTTCGGCTTCCTCTGCTAAGATAGCCCTGCTTGCCGCATCGCTGCGCAAGATCTGCCCAATGGTTTCCATTTCAACAGCTTTATCCCGTATATACCTGGCGGTCTTTGCAGTATCTTTTCTCGAGTGGACGAATATTAACATTTGGTTTTTGTTTGTTCCAACCTGTTCAAGGACTTTGTTATAGCAAACATCGTTCATAGTCTTCAG